AAATTTCGTTTATACAGAGTTTCGCAGAGCTTTTCAACTAAAATATTTGTACATATTTATAAAAAATGTTTACTCGTTTATTATTAATTTTTTAAATTATGAATTTCAACGAAAAATGGGATACAATAATCCTTGATCTGATACTTAACCTAAAAAATTTAACTGACTTGAATTGAAATATATTTTTTTAAAGTTCTTCTATAGTTTAGTTTAGTATACCAAAGTTTTTATTATAGCATCGTAACAGACTTCGATATTAGAATAATAAACACTTTAAATAGGTAAAGAAAATTTACTAGTACCTAATATTTGTGGGATTATTACTGTTTACAAGATTTGATCTTAACACATTTCAGTCAAACTTATTGAAGATCTAAACCACCAGGCAAATGTTAAAAAAGAAAAATACATATATACATAACATAAAATAGATAAGCTGACATGAGATCTAACCGGTTAATTGGACTGAAATGGGTGATAATAAATTCATAATAGTTTTAAGGAATGAAAGTACACAGTGGACTAAATGTCGATGATCAAACAAAAGTAACGAAAAGTGTTTTTAAACACGCCTAGAAACGATATAAATTAAAGAATTAAAAATAAAAATTCAAACGATATTAATTAAAGCCTCACTAAACGTACCTAAGCGGGTTCAGAAAAGTTATTTTGGAAACAAAAACAGAACGACGATTATTTTACATTTTATGTCCAGGTTTCACCGGCATCGGAGCCCTTTGGCGATATCATAAAAACCTGACAAGCGATACGATTTCAAACTAATGAAAATTAAACTTTCACTTCCACAAACTACTTGTTTTTTTATGGTTTTGATTTTAATGATATTCGTCACATTTTAGTATCTTGTTACTCTTGTTTACTTGTTTTACACACGTTTTGGTCTATTTATGGGTGGTTTAAGACACAGAAAATAGTTAACATTTTCTGTAATATATTAAAATAAAGCGAATACGTTTTCCGCTGAATTGTTAAAAAATGTACATATTGATTTCCAATTTATTCCGTTTTGTTGGTTACAACCCAAAGATTTGTACTCGGATGTTCATTCTGACGGACATCTTTATTGGTCAGTGACTTTCAAGATATTCGTATGTTGTAAAGCATACATTTTCGATTATTATTTAAATCAAACATCATCTTCACCAATTTCTGATTGATCAGGCAAATGAACGCCTAATCCCAAAGCACTAAAAGCTAATTACCCACACGTTCCACAAAAGGGGTTCATTCACGCAGCGTCCAGATTTATGGCGCAAAATTAATAATAATTTCAGCCGAATTAATAATGGCCAATGAAGGCTTTATGGTTTATGGCCAGTTCCCAATGATTAACAATGTGCGCACGTTTCGAAATGGATGACCATAAAGCCCGACACGATTTGCTGTTTGTTTACCATTTCTAATAAGCTGCAGCAGTGCTCATAATGCGTCTGGCCAGGCGCCTGGAGGGCCATTGGCACAGGCAGGAGGTTGTAGGTTGGAGGTTGGAGGCCCTCCAGTTGGACTCGGAGGAGGCCCCTCATGGGTCGCCCAGCAGGTGTCCGGCGGAGAGTTTAGGGGAGCGTGTGCCAGCCTCGTTATTGTCTTCATTCTTAACACCAACGAGGGAACGGGGGATCGGAGGAAACAGCTATCCGGGGCCCCCCATCAAACAGATGACGCTGATGGGACTTTCTCCCCCTCAGCATCTCTGTCCTCTTGGACCACAGAATTTAGTGTTGATCGCTGCATTGTGGGTTTTGTTGTCGTTGCCTCGTTTTCCTCATTCATGTTCGACAAGATTTTTATCGCACTTTTTCATTAACATTTTGTGGGATCTCACAGATACAGATACTGTGTCCGCTCCTCGCCTCCGCCTCCCTCCAAACTGTGTGTTTTATGTTCATCTTGATGTGTTTTCTCGTTCCTCTGGCATTTCCAACTGTTGTCGTTTGCCGTCTGTCTTTCTAATTCCATTGAAATATGATCTGTTATTATGTAAATTTTACGATTTCCTAATTTTTTAACACTTATTTTGGCTATTTGGTGACTATCGGAGGCCTGGCGCCAAAAATATATCCAACGGGGTCTGTAAGCTGTAAGCGATACGGAAATCGCCAGCGGGGGAGATCTTTGACGAGGATCCTGGGCGGGCGGCCAGTGGCCGATCTTGATCAGGTGCATCAGCCTGGCGCCCCATCAGTCCATCAACTTTTTGGTTTTCGATCATATTTCTCTTTTGAAACTCACTATTTTCGATTTGTGTGGTCCATGGTGCGATATGGAAGACACTTTCTGAGATCGAGCTACCGATAGATGTGACTGCAAATGCAATTTGATCCAATGCAATTTGATATTTGAAATGATAGAATGGGAATGTTTACTTATCTCGTGGCATGACTTATTGTTTTAAATTTGTTTTAAACATTTTGCGTGAATAATGTCAGTTTGTGATTGAGGCTCAATCTTTACTTTTTAAAGGTATACCAATTGTGATTATTTTTAATTTTAATCTATTTAGAATCTATACAAACTGTTAGGGGCGAGAGGCTTAGGTATTTAAATTTGTTCGTCACTTTTTTCTTATTATTTATTATACATTTTTAATATCTTAGGTTTATTGTATATAAGTTTAACACCAATCATAAAAAATTAGATGAAGTTATGTGTATTTGAACGGAGGTCGATTGGTGTTTAATGCGTATTGATCAAAACTTTTAAAACTTCATGACATATTAACTCGGAATCTACTTGAAAAATCATTTTGAAATTTAGAACAAAACTTCTTAAAGTAATTCTAAAGTTTTTTATGTTTTTATTATACATTTTATTTATTTTTTTATTTAATTCAGGTACTATGTAAATCATATGTTACTTAAACAAAGGAAACAGTGGAGAATAGAAAAAAAATATACATATATAGAGTAGAATAGAAAAAAATAAAATAAAATGATTATAGATATGTAGATATGTTTTGGGGAGGACTTGGGAGACTCCTTATAGCTCCTATACCTTAAAATATTTCCAAGAAGAGAAAATTATATACAATTTTTAAAGTGATCTGTTCTTATATGGTATTTAATCCAATAAGCTAATTAGCCATTTTGCTACAATTTGCACCGAAGTAAGCTTAAATGGTTATTTTATTTCGTATGTGTGTGTGGCTGCAAAGGCATAGAAGTTAACAGAAAATTGTTTTGAATTAAACAAATAATTTAAACAAGAACATAAGCCTGATAACTTTCAAATAGGTAATAAATAATACAAATCATTCCCAAGGATATTATTTCTTACTCCATATTTAAAATCCTTACACAGATTCCCTTGTTGCGCTTTTCTCTTGTGTAATTCCTTAGTCTACATCCTTCCGGAAAAAAGTGCAATCAGTGTCCAGATGAAACCGAAGATGCAGGAATCTTCGGAAATACGGGGCAGTAATTGCAATTATACGGAAGATACTAGAATCAAATGCAGCGGATAATTAAAATGGGATTGCCGGTGCGGCAGGCTCAGTGCCTGGAAGTAAGTGAGTCCTGCAAGCGAGCATCCTTCGCTTCCCGTAGAAGGAGTTCCCGGGGCGGGGTGGCGATGCAATTACAGTTACCTCCGATTTCCGCCTTTCAATATGGCGATCATTGCGCATGCGGTTCGCTGGCAGTTGGGGGGACCAAGGACTGACCAATCAGCGCTTTGTTGTTGCGCCACTGTCGTGGTGTGCGTGAGTGTATTTGCGTGTGAGCATCTGTGTGTGTGTGTTTCGGAACAGGTAACTTGGAGGGGGCGTTCTTACGGCCAACCTGTTCACACTCGCGCTCTTTCGCACGCTTCACGCTTTCCAGTGGCTGTCAAACTGTCAGTCAACGATCGCAAAAGAGCAGAGAAGAGAGAAGGGAGAGAGAGAGAGAGAGGAAGAGCGAGGAGCAGGATCTCAGGAGACGCACAGTCACGTCCCTAGTTGTAATCAGGGCTTACTAGTTCGCGCATAGTGTTACCATAGTTTAAACGTGTTACATATATATAAATTTATAATTGTAAAATAATAATGTTTATTATATATTTTTGGTAATATTTTTTAGAGTTTTAAAGTTTATTTGCTAGTTAACCCAATAGTTTTGAACTATACAAAATATGAAAAAATCGTAATAACTTAGATATTTTAATACACATTTTAAAGCACATCGTTAACAGAAATGATTTCCTATAATCTATGAATAAATGTACATAGCTGATGTGATTAATTGTACCATTAACCTAATAACCCATTTCACGATTCCAATCGCCCATTTATAGTTATTTTAAAGAAAATATGAGTAATGAGTAATGAGAAAGTTTGCTAAGGGACAATTCTGCGTCGCAAACACGTAAAAAATATATTATAATAATAATATTTTTATAACATGAGTTCCATACTTTTTATTGTATTATCAGTTTTGTATTGTATTGTATTGTATTGTATTAACTTTCGTAATAAAATTTCTATACTTTTTGTTTACTATTAAGTAGAATAAAACATATCATACATAACTTATAAAAACCTTAGCACTGAAAACACATTATGTGCGGACAAAAATAACACATACTCTTCATGTATTTAGTAACTAGAAAGTTAACGTAAATGCTCTCTTTTATCAAGAATAATTAAAACCAAAAGGTTTACAGCAACTATTTACAATGAAGTAGTAACTTTTTTGTTCACCGCCACTGTAGCTGTGGTCTCTCTCTCTCTCTATCGTACTCCCTATCTTTCTCTCTATACAGTTTGAGAGCCACACAGCCGGCTCACACACACACATATGCATTACCATGTCCGCCATCTCGCTCTAGCACACTCACACCGGCAGCAGCACCAACCATTTTTCGTTTTCTGCCTTCTGTTTTGACAGAGAGAGAGAGACACCCGCGGAAGTCGCACACAAATACACGCTCACACAGATATCCGCACAGCGCAACAACAGCTGCTGACCGAAGATACATTCAGTTTTGTTTGGGCCGTCGAGCGATCGAGAACGGGAAGCAGCGCCAGTCCAGATACGTGTACGAATACGGATACGGATACGGATACGCCAGTTGATTTCGAAAATCCGTCGCGTGCGGTTCGCTGCCCCATCTCCCGTCCGGATTCGCACAAAAGTTAAAAAAAAACCCACTCTTTCCGATCGAATAAATCAAGCGCAACAATCCAAGCACAAAGCACAAGCAGGGAGCTAATCAATTCGGTGGCGGCCATACTTTGTTGGCCGCTGATTCTACCCCCTTCCGTTCCCCTAATTGCGTTTGTGTAGGGCCATTTGTTCAAGTCACGGCCGAACAGCGAAAAGTTTGCTCGCGAAAATAATTTGCAACACGTGTTGACACAGTGCGTATGATAAATGTGTGCCCGGCAGCACAGTAGCACAGTTTATGAGTGCCAGTGAGTGTGCCAGTGTGTGAGAAGAGGCCCTGGCTTCGATCTGAATAATTTGGATAAAGCTAAAGAAAACCACGCGTTATGCCACTGCTAACACTTGCGGATATATCGAAATCAGAGTCAGAAACAGAATCCGAGACAGAGCCAGAGCCAGAGAATCGCAGCGGCGAAAGCACAAATCCCCACAAAAGGAACAACAAACAATAACTAGAAAATAAAACAAACACGGATACGTATCAACAATAAATAATCAAAATACAGGTGAGCCACATATTGGGTTTCATCGGATCTCCAACTTGCCGACGGCAAGAAGTTTACCTTTGAAAGCAGCAACTTTATTTAGGAGTTTTAAAGAAAATACAAATCAATATTTACAAAATTCTAAATTCAAAGACAACTTTTTGGTTGAATTGATAATTTGTTTATACATTTGATATATATTATGTGCCTTAATATCTGGTAAAAAAAGTTTGACTTTAATATAGAGTAATTTTATGTGGGTAACTTTTGGTCATATGAAAAATTATTATACAACTCAGCATCAGGAACATGTTGACATTAGCTAGAATATCTGATAAACTTAAACCATCAATCGTAACCAAAGTTATTGCAAAGCGCTCTCTTATAATTCCCAAGTCTGATTTCTGCGACATGTTAGTATTTTGTTCCGTAGCTTAATAGCTTTCGTGATGGAAGGGAAAATACTGTAGGAACCTCCTGGTGAACTTGTCTACTGACAATACCATAAAGTAAAGTTATGTCTATAAATCCAAGCTGACTAGAACTAAATTAATCAATTCATTCTGTTTCTCATTATTTACAACTATCACTGTTCCTTAAGTTCCGATAAAAAGCAACACATCTGTGCGGCATTATAGTTTATTTAAATGGAATAAAACAAACGCGAAAAGTGGTAAATAAAATAAGAGTGAAAGCTCCAGATGGTTCTTGGAAATGTCCAGTACCAAGTACTTGAATGTTTCCTATAAACAACAACATAACAATGAAGTTTGTATTCAAGGGATCGCAGAAAAACTATATTTAATTGTTCATAGATGTATCATTTATTTAAGTTTATGTTATTTATGTTTTAATATGCACCAAGTCCATTTCTAATGAAGCAATCCATCATATAAACCAATTGATTCACAACTTATTTGGCAATCTCAATTGGGGGAAGGAGAATGCCAGAGTGCAATTTAGCTTTTGGCGGTTCTGGCATTGGCGAATTCCAAATTGCCAGCAGCCATCAGAAACACAACTCGAGGCACTTGAGAAATATTTTTGAAACTCAAGAGATGCATGTCCAACACACAGATACACAAAATCGCAAGTATTTGGAAAATATACTTGTTTACACAGCAAATGCAAATTTTTCTGTTGTTCTATCCACCTCTCGATGGCCAGGCGGCTAAGTGCCCAGAGCTAGCCCCCAAAGTTGCATATATGTTTGTACTTGGGACCCCATCCCCTCCCCAGAGCCCACTGTGGCACACAAATTTATTAATTAGAGAAAGTACGCGACGGACGAGTCGCAGGAAAAACAATTTCCAGTTGTCATTCATTCATCACCGCGATGCCTCACGCGCGCATCTCGAATTTTGGTACTCGAATCCATCGGAAACATTTGTTACTAGTGTTTATTTTTAAAATGCTTTGCTTTATCATGCCGATTCCTGCCAAAAATTCGAAATAATATTAACTTATCGTGAGAGTATCGCTGCTCTCAACGAAACACAGCCGGGCAAAGACATCAGATACGCGGATAAGTGTGGGCGTGGACCAAAATCTGTTTGCTTGCTGAGTGTGCAAATTATTTAAAAGACACTTAAAGAAACTTAAAGATTTTGCCATTAAAGAGATTTTGATTCAAATACAATTTAAATGAGTTTGGAGGTAATTAGGGAGGGAATCAAATGTGCATCGAAACATCTCGATCTGTGTTCAAGATACGATTCTATGCTGAAAAACACAAAGATAAGACAGAATGTGGTTACATACAATCCCTGAGGCTATCAAGATCTTGGCAGTTCAAGATCAAGATTTCAAGATGATTCAATAAATAAAGTCCTCAATTCTACATATAACCCATATAGATCTTGACTGTTTTGAAAGATACTCATTGAAAGATACAACTCGGGATTGCTACTTGAATGAGTTTGGAGACCTTTACTAGATTGGCTGATAAGATGGGCCAACTGGATCTAATCGAATTTATTTTTGGCTTAGTGTATGATATGCGATTCGGCATTTATAGGAATTGGCCAGCGCGTGTTTGTCGTCAGAAGTCGCATGATTAATTGAGTGCGGAGATGGGAGCAGATGTTGCGTGCGATCTTGTGTAGCCAGGGGTATTTTCGGTTATTGGACGAAGGCATACCCATCTTCTTGGGCTTCTTGGGCTTCTTGGGTTATCTTCCATCTCGGAAGTGGTCAGATTGAAAAGTTTACGCATTCCATTGCGCCAAGAAGCGGCCAGAACAGATGCAGGCGGCCAGATACGCAAGCTTGGCCACGGCGGCTTTGATCATTTTACGCACCGACGTACTGAATCGGCCGTAATTGGAGGGCGAGGGTGCTGTGTGTGCGTGTGCGAGGGACTTTCGGCAAATTCATCTGGGTTTCATTCAAAACTTTGGCAAATGTAGCGAATCAATGCGACAAGTAGCGAAGATGCAGCACACATGCCGAGGTACAGATGCAGATACAGATACATGTGTGTGCAACCCATTAAATTGACAAATTTCATTCATTATGCCGCGTTCTATTCGATTTCTTTGTGCGTTTGTGAGTTGTGTCCCTTCACGCGGCAATTAAACGGAAAATGTTATAAATACACTCGCTTGGCCCACAAGTGTCTCGCGGATAGCGCCTGTCCTGGTCTTGGTGTTGGTCTTGGTCTTGGCCATCCGGCGGTTGCTTACTAATCCCGCCGCTCGGTTTACGCGGAACGGCGACTGGCCCACAACAGGTTGCTTGGCACAATGCTTCCCATTTGATTACATTGTATAAACACAGACGCCGCCGCCGATGATTACGGGTGTAGTTGGCACAAAACAGTTGCTCTGGACTCTCTGGACTCTGGAGGAGCTTCTCTGGCCCTGGGCCAGTTCACTCACGGAGCTCTTGGTGTGAGCAGCTGAGGAATCTAAAGTCTTGAGTCCGCCATTCAAATCCATCAACAGGTCGCCAGAAAAGCCAGAAAAGCGTGTCTGTGAGTCGAGTTTAATTACAAACTAATTAGGCAGCAACAATTCAATTTGATTACCAGCCCCATAGAACGTGGCATCGCATCTCATCTCGGCTTAGGTGTCCGCTTTCAGAGATTCCTCCAGATTCCCCCGCTTGCAGACACAATAACACTCAAATTAAAATCTTATAAAAGTCAAAATAAACAACGGGGCAGCCCGCGGGTAAAATAGAAATACTGGGCATACACACAAAGTAGGAACAGAAACAGAAACCGAAATCCGATCGATAACGCCGCACTGGAAATAAATTACAAAATTTGTAAAATAAATTAAATTAATTTTATTCGAATGCCACAAAAGTCAGGCAGCGGGCATCCAAGCGACACACTCGATAAGACATCTCTGGCTGGGGGAATTGAGAGGCAGCCAAAAGATGCAGCCCGATATCGGGTTAGAATATCTTTCAGAGGTTGCTGCCGTAGCTGATGCTGATGCTGCTGGTGTTGTGTGGTGTGGTGTGGTGTGGAATGGTCACCACATTCTCGGCGGGGGCAGGGATTTCAACGGTACAAGGCCATAAACGTTGGTATGCCATCTCTAAGCTACTATTCAGGGCTTTAAAGTTGGCTCGAGAGGTGCTTAAAATGATTTGACGATGGGGTGATGTATAAAAGTCAACAACTTATTGATATTTTAAAAAGATTCTTTGAAAACAGACAAGTGACAGGGACTTACTTCAATTGGGTCGTCTTTTTCATAGTTTAAATTTCAAGTTGTTTGCGGTTGTTTATTATTTATTCAAAAGCCTCCTCTTATCGTCACACTTTAATCTGAATAATTAAACTAATATTTACATCTTTATGAAGGCTAATAGTATCATAATGACAATGCTTAAGCATAATCAAAAGGCGTAAAATTGGAAACCAAAATGTTTTTTGATTGAGGGGAGAGCAGGTTATAGTTTCTATTATCTTCTTATATACTGGAAAACGCGAACAAACTAAAATCCACTTTGAATTGGTCGCTAATCTCACTAACTATAGAATATATATTTTACGTAGCAATATACTCTAAAATTGTCTTGTTATGGAGAAAGCTTTTTAAATTATTATATACATAATTATTATATTATATTATTATTATACATAATAGCATTTAAAATGTATACATAAAATTAATTAATAAAAATAACTAAGTTTGGAGAAACAAATATTTTAGTAGTTTGTAGTTTTGGCATTTGATTTTACCGTTTTAATGTATTAAAAACAGAAATTTTTCCTGGTTGTGATATTAAATACCTAAGTTTCCAAAAAAACATTTTTTTTTTAATAAAAGCGGAAAAAGAAACATTGCTATATATGAAAATCGACATATGGTCGTTTCTCCTTTAATGCGTGGCAAAATTCTTGATAAACTTCTAATACTCTTCTATTGTATTATATTAGCTCAGATATTACCCTTTATACAACATCCAAATAGTGTAGAGTTTATGAACTGACTTAAAACAAGATTCAGTCAAATAATTATTGAAAAACTATATTTGTTCCGCATCAACATATATTCTTAGTGCTTTAAATAATATTTATTATAAAAAAAGGTAATCACTGAGGATGCTTTCACACACTTATATAATTTATGTTAAAAATTTTGAGATTCTGGTAAAATAGCGCCATTTATTTTTAGAGATTATATCTCTAAAATGTATATATGTACTTATAAATCAATTAACTTTTATATTAATGTCAGGTTTGAATTACTTAGATTATCTCTAGGAAATATTATATACATTTGGACAAAATCTTCAATAATATTCAATAGCTCTCATAGTAAAAAATCTGGCACGGATTTCATTTATATATTGATTTTTGAACAATTTAACTTTTAGCTTTATGTAAACCTTCTCAATATTAGTTAATATTTCTATGGATATTTCACAACACTAATATGTAATATTTAGAGGTCTTCTTCGTATGCCTTGGTCCATTATTAAGAATGAAAATATAATTAATCATAAGTCTTAACACCCCATGCTAAAAAAAAATAATATTTATCGTACGAATTATAAAAGTGCACTACTTATGGTATTTCGATATAAATTATTACATATAAAACACCTTAAGGGTAGGTTTTTGTTTTCTATTTCTCCAAAAAATGTTTATAAAAGTGTGAATTTTGTCCCAAGGTCTTCTGAAATATAATTTCAAGAGGACTATTAAGATTTTTAAACCTTTTGATTGTTTTTAGGAATATTATTTTTATTTTCATAGCTTAAAACTAATGTTTAAATTATTATTTAATTGCTGTCATTATAATCAATATGCTATATATGAACTTGAATTTATTTCCATACAATTCTAAGATAAAATCGATCAGAATACAGCATAGATACATAATATCCTCAAAGCATTAGCTTTAGTGTATCCAGAGCGCTGCAGTGTATCCCATGGATACAATCCACTTGTACGCGCTGCTATATAGGCAAAAACAGATTGAAAATTTATCGCGTATTTCGTTTCACGTTCGCATATTGCTTGTTTACTTGCGTCAAACATGAAACGGCCAAAAGAAATACAAGCACAGAGAGCAAAAGAATCCCAACGAAATGAAGAAATGAAATGAGGAGAAACCCACGAGGAGGAGGCTGCGGCGGCGGATGCGGGGGATCTGGCCTAGGCCGATGACTCAAGAGCAGCCAACTTGGCGTTGGTATTTTCGTTACAGCAGCCAAACCGAAATCTCTATTTTCTTGTTTTGTATATATAATCTGCCACGGCACACACGCGAGAACTGAAACTGAAAACAGATCCAAGAATATCTCGGCTCGATATACGAGATATATACGAGGGGTGTCGCCGGGGGTCGGGGATCGGGGATCGGGATTCTCGGATCGTGGGCCAAGGGGATGTGTATCTATATCAGTTTGTCTGGACAGTCTGACTATGAGTGGAGATCGATTGCAAATATCAAAATATCTATAAAATGCATCCGAGATATTCTATCTGGGGGATACATTCGCCCCATCTCGCTCACTCCCGCACGACGGCAGCAGCAGCAGCAGCAGCAGAGTCGTCGCCGTTGCCGCCGCCGTCGTTTGGTAATTTTAGAAATATTCTTAGAACCGAATACAGAAATCTGAAATCAGAGGAATACCGAATACCGAATACCGAAACACCACGCGCCCCATATACACGTATATTGTGTAAAGAGTTTATTTTTGTAAGAGATCTCTCGGTCGGGTGCGGACAGGTTAGAGAGCTCTGGCTATAACCAAAACCATATTTCCGATAATCGAACATCGAATCGCATCCCCGTAAGTGCGCTGCGACTTAGTTAATCATGTTTGACAACATGGGGTCGGGTCCGAGGTTGTGTTTTGATTTCGATTTCGATTTTGATTCCATATCCGAGATGCTTATGAATATGGAAAAATCAAAGCAGACACGCTTGTTTTGTTTAACATTTGTGCAAATGTTGCGAGGGGCGAAAATCGTTTCCATTCAATGGTAATTTCCACAGTTTTTATGTGTCTCAATTAGCGTTGTTTCAATAATAATCCAAAGGGGCCATAAAAAGATGAAAAATCTGTGGATTAATTTGTATGATAATTGTGGCGATAATTCTGTTCAGAAAATGGGATGTTGCAATCAGATTATAGGATAGGTAATCTGTGGGTGGTAAAAATTTTGCTAAAGGCTTAGTAAGATTGATTTAACCACTATTAAACATGATCACACATAGATCTGGGATCGAAAGATAAGACCAGTAAAGATTGTAGATAAAGCTACTTCGATTTAAGGAAGAATTTTCATTTATATATTCCATGCTTCCCTAGTTTTGCTTTTCTAAAGCATTAAAATTTTTAAATGTTTTTATTATATTATATTTTAAGTCTCACAATTACCCATGGATTACTTTTAGTTTAAATATCATTTAAGTTCGTATACGACAAACATTTATTATATATTTAAAATACTATATCCTTTTCCTTTTCGTTTCCATTTCAGCGCTCAAATTACCAAAGAAGCTAACTTTAGCCTAAGCTTAGATTCAACGCACCAGTTCGTCTTGGAACTTAGAGGAGCTCTGAGGATTGCTCCTGGCAAGTGAACCCCCTCGAAGTGCAGCATCCGGAGGAGGAGTTGTATTTCTCGCACAAAATGCTACAGCATCCCGCCACAGATTTCTACGATTTGGCGGCGGCCAATGCGGCCGCTGTCCTCACCGCCCGCCACACGCCCCCCTATAGTCCCACGGGCCTCTCTGGATCTGTAATTCTGCACAACAATAACAACAACAACAGCACCACAAGCAATAATAACAACAACAACACCAGCAGCAGCACCCTGGACATAATGACGCACAACGGCGGAGGAAGCGGAGGATTACACCTGAACAGTGGCAGCAATGGAAGCGGCGGAGGCGGAGGAGGGTTGGTCAGCGGTGCAAGTTCGGGGGGCAGAGAGAACTTGCCCAGCTTTGGCTTCACCCAGGAGCAGGTGGCCTGTGTCTGTGAGGTAAGTAAATGGCGGAAAAGTCCTATGGAAAATGTCAAGTGATTGGAAGAAGCAATTATAGAGTTATTGTGTATAAGAATAGTGAAGTTTTTTCGTATTTCCTTGTAATAATAATATCTATTAAATAATATAGATTTGTAGATCTATTAAACATGATAGTAAAGATATAGAAATCCTCCCTAACCTGTCAGTTTAAGCACCAATGTATATCTTAGGAACTTACCGAAGTTTGTATACCCTTGCAGATTGAAATTCGATCACTAGGAAATAATGCAATATAAATATTATGTTGAAAACAATAAAGTAATACCTGCTTCTATTTCATTCACCATTACATATTAATATACAGTTTGACATTCACAGTTCTGCATTTTTCCCTATATCTAACGATCGTTTCTATGGCAGCTATATGATATAGCAGTCCGATTTTCATGAAATTTTACACAAACTTGTAAAAAAATATAAAATATATTTCAAATTTGATCAAAAAATTTTAAAACTGAGAAAGTTTTAATTTTTTTGTAAAAATTTTCGGATTGATTCTATGGCAGCTATATGATTTAGTCGTTTGATCCGTTCCGAAATATATACGAGTGAGAGTATTTAGAAGACTAACTGCAAAATTTCATTCAGATAGATTCAAAACTAAGGGTCTAGTTTGCGTAGAAACGGACAGACGGACAGGCGGACAGACGGACATGACTAGATCGAATCGGCTGTTGATGCTGATCAAGAATATATGTATATACTTTATATGGTCGGAGGGGCCTCCTTCACTGCGTTGCAAACTTCTAACTGAAGTTAATCTAACCTGCAAGGGTATAAAAATGAATAGAAGACTTATATGTATATTTTACAGTTAGGATAGAAAAAAAGGATCTGATGCTTCCATATCTCCCTAACTTCTTGAACTAGAATCCATACTTAATTAAGCTTAAGTCAAGAACTTTTCTTGAATTTATGCCTCGCCTCGATGCTTTTAATTTGTAGAAACTTTTAAAGTTTAAACAACAGCCAAGTACATTTGAGCTTCAAAACCAAATACTTTTAATAAAATCGATCAAGGCCAACTCATAACCATTCGAGTATAAATTAATCTCGATATACTCTCACCACACAGGTCCTTCAGCAGGCGGGCAATATCGAGAGACTGGGCCGTTTCCTTTGGTCTTTGCCACAATGTGATAAGCTGCAGCTGAACGAGTCCGTGCTGAAGGCCAAGGCGGTCGTTGCATTCCATCGTGGCCAGTACAAGGAGCTGTACCGCCTGCTCGAGCATCACCACTTCTCGCCCCAAAATCACGCCAAGCTCCAGGCCCTGTGGTTGAAAGGTGAGACGCGCCCGCCGGCTGCTTAACCCCAAAAATGTTCGAACAAATACGAATTCTTTCTCTCCGGCTGTAGCGCATTATGTGGAAGCCGAAAAACTGCGAGGAAGACCCTTGGGTGCTGTTGGCAAATATCGTGTTCGCCGTAAATTTCCACTGCCCCGCACCATCTGGGACGGCGAGGAGACGAGCTACTGTTTTAAGGTGAGTCCCACCATCGAGTCCTGCCGTGTCGAGGCCGCTTTTCATTTTAATTGTGGCAAGCGGCGAAATCGTACAAATGTCCGTTCCTTCTGAAAGTCTGTCTGATTGCCTGAGTTGCAACTGTCTGATTCTACTTTGGGGGAAACGCCTTTTCAGCCTTATCCGGGGTACTATTCACCATATACAGTGTACAGGAAACGGTGTGTTTGCTCTCGGGCAGGCTTTCAGTTGATTAAAATAACTTTAAATTCAACTTGGAATATTTATTGATGCTCCTGCGGGATACTATTATTTTGACAGCAGTTGTAATGGAACTGGAAAAAAGATATTTATGAATCAATAAAGTCCTTCAAAGAATTCTTCAATCGATCTAACCTTCTTTAATCATCTTTTTCAATATTTGAATACCCTTTGCTAAGTTGTATAATTTAATTTAAATTTCTTAAGTTTCTAACCTTGTAAAGGAGACATATCTTACATTATAAAATAAAAATAAATTAATAAGCCGAGTTAATCTAGACACGTTCGTGTTTCCATTTGAAAGTAAATTCTACTTCTAACTTTAACTTTCTAAAAAGTATTCTTTTCTAGTTATAAAAGAAACGACAAAAATATATGTAGACAAATCTATCTGTTTGTTTTACTATATCTTAACTTCAGAATTAAGTTTTTAGAATTGATATAATGGGAAATTAATAGAAAAATAATATGAAAATATTAAATCCTTTTTTAATTATTTAACAAATACGATACATACGATTAGATATACGATACGATTGCATAATTCGAAATATCCGGTTCCTGTAGCTAGTCTTCTTTGTTGTTTAAATAAACTAATAAAGTATACTCTATGCTCTAAATGGTAAACATTTATTTAAACAACAAATAAAGCTAGCTTCTTCTGCAAAATTGTCTTATATTTTCAACTCTTTCAAAGTATATTAAAGCTAAAAGATTTGGCTCCTTAAAATAAAGTCATTTAGCTCTTAGTGATTAAGATGCAATAATGACAATTTTAACTAAAAACCCTTCAGGAAATGTCTATCTAAATTATTATTATTATTTTATTTCTTCCACAGGAGAAATCCCGCTCGGTATTGAGAGACTGGTATTCGCACAATCCATATCCATCGCCGCGAGAGAAACGCGATCTGGCCGAGGCCACAGGACTGACCACCACCCAGGTGAGTAGCGATTCCCGATGCCAAAAAGCCAAAACAAAAACCAAAAACCAAAAGACCAAAATCCGAAATTCAAACGAGAAACGAAAATTAAGCCAAATGTCAAACGCATCTTTTGACAAATTTCAATTGCAATTCCTCACAGATGCCATCCTCCACATGTTAATTGCATCTCATTAATCATGGCACACACGGCCCATACTGGCGAATGTCTCTGAATCTATTTTTGTGCTTTTTACAGGTTTCCAATTGGTTCAAGAATCGACGACAAAGAGATCGAGCCGCCGAGCATAAAGAGTAAGTTGCACTTTATAACAACATATGTATGTGTATAACTTTCTGGGTAAATCATTGGGTAAATTTAAGTATATTTCAAAATTCTCAAAAGCTCCTTAGTGGGATCTATATCTGCTCTGGTTATATCAGTGGCCTACCTATAGATGAATCTATATCTTTATGCTTTATTTGAGATGTGTCTCGAGCAAGTGTCAACGCGTGCATGGTACCGCGAAAAAAAATAATATATTAATTTGCATTTAAATTTTCAATTACAAAAGCTGACGACATTTACTTTCAAGGCCGTCGAGTGGGTGGCAGAGGGGACAAAAAGGGGGGAGGGGGGCTGGCTAATTAGTGCCAAGGACATCACGCAACTGGCGCACGCTGGGAAAGATTGGGTGAGGTGCTGCGGTCGGAGGCATTGAGAGAAAGAGCCGCTGACAAAGTCATTAACGTGTTGTTCCAAATTCCAAAATACATATGTATATATACATATATATTTTCAGCAAGATATATGCATGGTATTTATTGTATTATTATTATTTGATTTGTTGATGTTTACTTTCCGCTATATAGGCATATCCCCGGCATATGTCTGGCAGGCCTCGTCACTAATTAAAAACCCCAGTCCTTTCCCTCAGCCTTTCCCCTCGGACCATTTCCCTGAACATCTGCATTTCCGCTTAAGCAAATAGTTTCAAACAGTTGTGGAACTCCTTTCGGCTGCTTCCTCCTCGAAAGAGATCCTCGGCCTCTGATATGGAATATTTTCTCAAATATTAAACATCCTTTTGGCTGGCTAGCATCCTTTTGTTTGTCTGGGCCTGGGTCCTTCTGCCGCTGCCGCTGAAAGTCATGTGAAGTGCAAACAGTTGAAAAAGTGAAATGGATTTTGTGAAGTGGCCGCATTTCCTATGCTCCCATGCATCCAATGCATTCCCTGCCGCTAACTAACATTAGTTGGTAGATTGCCAAAAAAGAAGACCCAACTTTCGCCGAGATAGTTCCATTATACTAAATGGTATATCACTTACCGCTCCTCCTCCACAACAAAGCCGCGCCTCACGAACGGCGGCCGAAAAGCGAGAAATTGTCGTAATAAAAATGAAAAAGCAAAAAACACAAATGGTAAAAAACAGAAATAATGCAAAAATATTATAAATTGGATGCCGTGGCAACCGCAAGGCACACTCATACTTTTGCGCCCAACAAAAGTACGAGTATCTCACAGATACACGTTCGTTCTCGGCTATAGTTTGCACTGCGTAGCTCCCTTTCCCAGCCCGCTGCCTCTCCCTGCCTCTTCCTCCGCCTCTGCTCCTCCTGGCTGGGTAACCCGATATATGTTTATGGCTGTTGCCTCGATGAGCAACTCAGTGTGCTGCTACTTTAACTTTTTCATACTGTTTTCCCCCTTATTCCTTTTGCATGTGCAGTCTGGGCGAGGGTGTGTGCGAGTGTGCGAGTGTATGTGTGCGTATCTGTGTTCCATGCAGCTTTGTGGCAGCCAGCAAACCACATCGGCGCCAAATCCGTATCTAAAGCGGCACTTTGAACAGCCCAGCAACTGCCAAAGTGGTTATTGTTTGAATAGGCACCACCTTGGAGAGCGGACTAGCGTCTAGGTAGATGGATGTGGGACAATCCATTTGAGATACTTCTAAGGCACCTCAAAGATACGTGCACTTATACTAGACAGATCTATGCAGATAGATGATTTAATCGAATCAATTATGGAACTATGATATCCGAACTTTAATTCTAGAACTGTATTGCCCAACCTGTGTTTTCACCAAACATAAATGCATTTCTAACATGTCAATCTATTGCCTTGTCATATTTTAAGAGGTATCTATAAGATATCAATAGTATTTCCAAGTCTCCATGTCTTGGGCATATATTTTAACATATAAATTAATATGTATAAAAGTCATCGGGTGGGATTAAGTAGCTAGGCGTGGCAATAATTTGAGACAAACTTGTCCAACGTGGGGTTCATGCAAATCTGTATAAAATATGGCAATGGCCTTAGCTATGAAGTTTTTGGCCTAAATAATGACCTTGAAAACGATAAAAAAAAATTTAAAAAGTCAGATTCTTTCTGCTCTTAATAAGATATAAGGACAATTTAACTTTAGAAAATAATAATAAATAAATCTTTTAATAAAGATCTTGAAACCGATATCAAGTTTAGAAAATTATATTTAAACAAGAAAGGAAGCTAACTTCGGCACGCCGAAGTTTATATACCCTTGCAGATAGAACTTCTATGAATAAAAAACCATACAATACAAATTATATATCTTTGTGTTAAAAAACAATGAAGTAATACCTGCTTTCATTTCATTCACCTATACATATTATATTTGCAGTTTTACATTCACTGATTTGCATTTTTCCTCCACATCAAACGATCGTTTGTATGGCACCTATATGATATAGTCGTCCGATTTTCATGAAATTTACCACAAAATTTAAGACTTAAATTAAATGCCTATACCTAAAATTTGATGAAAATCAGTTGAAAACTGAAAAGGTTATAAATTTAATTGTATTAATTTCTCGATCGTTCCTATGGGAGCTATATGATATAGTAGTCCGATTTTCATAAAATTTTATGCAAAATTGTAGAGTATAGTAAAATGGCTATATCTCAAATTTGATCCAATTCTATTAAAAACTGAAAAAGTTAAAAATTTAAAAAAAAAATTTTCCGATCATTCCTATGGCAGCTATATGATATAGTCGTCCGATCCGGCCCGTTCCGACATATATACGAGTGAGAGTATATAGAAGGCTAACTACAAAGTTTCATTCAGATAGCTTCAAAACTGAGAGACTAGTTTGCGTAGAAACGGACAGACGGACAGACGGACATGGCTAGATCGACTCGGCTGTTGATCCTGATCAAGAATATATATACTTTATATGGTCGGAGGTGCCCCCTTCACTGCGTTGCAAACTTCTGACTGAAATTATAATACCCTGCAAGGGTATAAAAAAGGTGATAAAAACTGATCCAGCTCTTATGAAATGCTCAGGGAAATTTAACTATTGAATATGTTATATTCTCGGCACTCGTGTCTAGATCGAATCGGTGACAAATTATATGCATTGTCTGTATTATATTAAAATATACATATATTACTAATTTGACTTTCTTTCCTATGTGCGTGTCTTTTTGTCTCCTCCGGTTGTTTCTCTGACAACTAATTTCAGTGCAAAATACGGTTCAATAACAAATCATATGGGTTTTGCAATGCACTTCAAGATCATTTGCTCGAATATTATTTATGATCCATGGCTAGTAATAGTTACTATTCAACTTTTGTCTAAATATTCAATCAAAAATCGCACAAAGAATCGATTTTCTATATCCAAAACAAAAAAAAAACATTATTTATCCAAAACTGGCGATCCTGGCTCAGCTGAAGACGAAGCTCAGGGCCATGCGCATATAGTCGACTGTCGATGATATGGCGGTTATAATCACTCGGTAGCGGTCGATGTACATGGTCACGAACAACAGATACTTCTTATTGGTTACCTCGAAGCGCCAGAGGTGCCGTGCGGTACCAAGGAGGTCCCAGTTTTCGGACGGGACCGCCCCGAAGTGCTGCTCGCCGATGTACTGGAAGATGCCGAAGTAGAGAGCCAGGACGAACAGCGGGTACATGATGGGCAGCAGGATGAAGAAGAACAAACCGCAGCTGTAGGCGAACTTGAGGAGCGTGGGGAAGGGCAGTGGCTGCATCCAGATTTCGAACATGTGCTCCACCAGCGGTTGCATATAGTAGACCAGCTTTCCAGGACTCGACACGTTCTGCCACTGGATGGGGTAGGATACAGATACTAGTAGTTATATAGGGCTATCCTGCGGTCTCTTTACCTACCATCTTGCGCTTGTGCAACGGCTTATTCCAGGTCTTGTGCATAATTCCGCGATCTAAATGATAATTTTAAGGATTTTCGGACAAGGAAGAAATTTTGAATTTGATGAGAGCAGAGGAAACAGCCTAGCTACATGCCAAAAAGAGCCTAAAGTATAATAATTTAAAATCCTATATGAATTGGAACAAATTGTCGTGTTTTTTTATTTACATAAATATTGACATATGTACCCTTAAAGGCCTGAGTGGGTAGGAAAATGGCACAATTGGTTGATATTCTTTATTGAAAGCTCATTTTAAATTAAACAAGACTGAAGTATATGTTACTATCTTATATAATATAGTTAATTAAAATTAAATACTTTATATACTTTCACCACATAATTTTTACTTAAACTTTATTCTTAACAATCGTTTCGTTTGGATTTGTTTTAAGTTTATTCCAGCCATAAATTTCTCATTTAAATGAGGTGTAAGAAAAGCATGACTATGTTTATATACAGATAATAATATTTCTATATTGAGAAAGGTTTAGATAACTGGTGACCGAAGTCTGAAATTGCAAGACGATAAAATTCTATGTCCGACCTCTGAGTCTAAAAAACACACAATACAAGTGTTATACAGATATTATAAACTTCTCTTTCTTTCTCATATCTAGTAACTTTATTCTGTTTTTTAATCACTTTTAATTTGACCTAATTCCATTCCAACATTCAACAACATTCCAACAGTAAGGTCTGCTTCTATCTTTTGGAACAGATGGATAAAAAGTAAGGAAAATAGCGACAAATGTGGTTGATGAAATTTTTGGGTTTTAACTAATATTGATTTCTTTTCTATTCTATATTCTGTAGAATAATATTTGAATATTTCTTCAAATCTCAAATCTTGAACCCAATCCTTAAAGAGCATCCTTTAAGGAATCTCATAGGTCCCATTATCAGTTGAGTCTTTTAACGCTCTCCTTGATTGATCTGATGGCATTATGCGCATTTCCACGGGAATTTCTGGGCCTCCTCACCTACCCTCACCTTCACGCTTACTCGCTCCCACTTCCAGACATGGCCCTGTCCCTGTCCCTGTCCGTCTCCCTCCCATTCCCTGGTAGAACCGTCAGCAGCCACCATCATACTTCATATACATACTTCATATACTCGCATTCGCACTACCGAGGCGACCCAGTCCGAGTTCCACTTCCAGTTCCAGTTCCAGTTCCAGTTCCAGTGCCAGTCCCAGTCCCAGTCCCAAGTCCATCCCACTCCCTCTCCCCTGCTCTAACCCACTCCAAGCCCCTTGTGTGTGTGTGTGTGCGCGCTCTCCCTCCTCATCCTCCGCCGGGGGGACGTCGTCATCATTCTGCGTTCGTCGAATGCCACGGTTGGCTGGAGGGTAGCTGGCCAGGGTATCGGGTTACCACAAAATGTGCGTGTGTTCTTTATTCGTTCGCCCTGCCGTTCCCCGCCAGCCGTCTCTCCGGCACGTTATTCATTTTTATTCGTTTTATTGTACATTCTGTTTTTATTATTATGTATTTTGCGCTTTTGCCCGTCTTGGGCCCTCGTCTCCTCACCGCCGCCTTTGTGTTTGCCTTCGTTTTCTCCTCATCGCTCTCCGCTCTCCGCTCTCCGCTGTTCGCTCTTGTTCTTCGTTCCTTCCCCCAACTCCGAGCTCCGAGCTCCGATGGCGTTGATAATGATGTTGTTGGTGATGATGGACCGGCTGGAGGCGCTTGCCATCCACATTGACATCCCTGGCAGCCCATCTCCGCATTTCTCCGCATCTCACTTACCCGGGAGTGGGTGTCAAGTGTACGCTCTCTTGACAATAATTAGATCTCATCTGGAGGCGGCTCCTCCTAGTACGGACACACAGTAAAAAATGCAAAGGTGCTACGATACTATACAAAATTTTTACAAATTCCAGGGATTTCTTTGAGGAATTGTACCTGAAGAAGGGATCATGACTACTACCTCTTTTGTAAGCTTAAATAGAATCAGATTTGCATTGAAATTTGCCTGTGTATCTGGCTTTATCTTGTTCCTTGAGTTACCTTATCCTAGGTGAATTTCTTGCAGTGGAGCTACTCTACAAAACTTGACCTCCAACAGGGGTTTCCTAGGGCTTCCTCTAGGTGCCTCTAAGCTGCTTAAAGTACGGACCATAATAAGGAGATTACATAAAAGTTTGGTTAGGCACAGCGGGAAATGGCGACGGGATGTTTCTCCTCCGCGAAGAGCAATTAAAAGGCAACAAAATTTTTGAAAAACTGTCAAAACAATCCTCGTCCAGCATAAAACGAGCCACACGCCAGACATTCTACATATACATATGTTTGGTTGGGCCTTGCATTTCGATCGGTTGGATAATAAAATATCTAAAAACGATGGTTACCACGGACTGGGGTAATCTTTGGGATCTTACATAGTTGTAGACAAAGGCCCGGGCAGACGCTGGCTAGACGAAAACGAAAACCCCAAGCCCTGGGCTCGGATGGGTCTTCCCCATCTTCACAGATACTACTACTCCGAGTGTCAGTGGTCGCCACGAACATTAACAACAGCCACACACATGCGTAAATTAAATGATAATTTATGATCAACACCTTTTCAGATTCCACTTATGGATCGCCGTTGCCCGTTTAGTTGGGTGTCCTGCTGAGCACACGTCCCGAGATTTGTGTACCGATCGCGCAATGCGATAACTCAACCTGTTGGCTTGCCCCGATCTCCCAATCTTCCCCAGCTTCGTGATCTTCTGAGCCCTCTTCTTAGGGCAGCGTTTCATTTTCATGTGGCCTGTGTGTGTGTTTATTTGTTTTTTGGATTTATTGGCTTATAATTTTTATTAGCAATGGAATTCCTTGGAAGCCCGAGTCCAGCCCTCATCGAGTAGAACCATATGATGGCTCAGCCTCTCCGAAGCCCTGATCCTTTCTGTTTCGTGTGAAAACTGTGGGGTAATGTCATGGGAAATAGCACGGGAATCGTTAATATATTCCGACAATATGAGCTAGGCGCCTCTTTAAAAAGAGTTTAACAACAATATCTATACTTTCAGCAACATTCCAACATTTGTAAATTGAGTTTAGTAACATTTACTTTTTTATAATCACCATATCCGAAACTATAGTATCTCATTATAGAAAGAATATATATATACAATCTAAAGACTGCATAGATCAAATAAGAATTCACTTTCAGTTCCTAAATTTGAGATTACAATAATATCACAAATAATATATATTGGAATATATTCCATTTAACTTAAGGTTTTATAGTCTAGCGATTGATAGATAGCTCTCAGATACCGGGCAGAGTTCCAACTATTGGTTTCGGTTCCATTTTGAAACTCTTCTATTCTCTAAATCTCAATCTCGCAATATACAAAACGAACAACTCAATTCACGTGACAAACTTGTTCCTGGCTCAGTCCTCTCACCGCTTCGCTCATCCCCGTTTCCAGTTAAACATAATCCGATCATGCATTATTACCAAGCTAATGAATCTGCTTAAGACGGACCCCGGCAGAAATGACTGGAGACTACAAAAAATCAATTGAGCAAACAAGTAAAAAATTAATTCCCCCTCACTGGGCACCAGACCCCAAAAAGACGACGACGACGAGGGGGAAATGGAAAGCCCGAGGAACCTTTATTCGGGGGGACCACACACAGAGTGCCAGAGCCAGAGCCAGAGCCCCAGAACCTGCTTCTTCTCTGCAATATTTGTTGTTGAATTTTGTTATAAACTTTATGTGACATTCACTTCTGGCGCAGGGAATTGTCCTTGAGACGCTCTGCTCCCGTTCGACGATGTGTGTCCTCGTCGACCACAGGAAAACTGAACCGTGAGGCATTTGTGTTCATAATGCAATCACTGGAAATGTGTGCGACCCATGGGGACCATGCCCACCAAGTGGGCGCTGTCTGTCTGTATGTGTTAATAAGTGTTGCAGAGAACGAGGGGCAGGGACTACGAAATGCTGGTAACTCGATATCATTGTTTATATGCTTCTGCTGCCTTTTGTTTGCTCCCCACTCTTCGCTCTGGGAAGGGCCTTTTCCCATGTTGGTGTGCTTGAGCCATCGATTTTTGCCTAGATCGAGCGTCACTTTAATGCGGACACCGGACTGGGGGAGTCCGAGAGTCCGTCTTGGGAAATTTGGGCAAGAGTGTCCATCAAATGCCACATGTCGCCGGCTCAGTGGCCCAAGTTCAAGTTCATGCTAACGCTGCAAGAAATACTCGTCAGTCCGCGGCAACGCCGCTGGTGGCAGCCACTCGCGGGATATAATCTACAATTACACGATTGCCGATATCGTACAGCTGGCCAGCGCCGTATGGGGGCCCCCCAGAGCAAACTCTCCAGCTCCAGCTCCTACAGCTCTTCCATCTCCTTAAGACTGCTTCAAGGGATAGGAATCTACGTCAAGCGGGGAACTGGAGTCAGCAAATAACTCTCGCGGTTAAACTGGGCTCGGGAGAGGTTCTGCTAAGCAAAAGCCTGAGATCCTGCCCTCCGCCATCGTCCCCATTGCGACTGATCGCAAATTTGTCGAGTGTGCGCTTAAATGTTTCTGCATTGCCACGAACAAGGCCTGTTGCCTGCTTCCACACACTTGGTCCGGGTACTTCTGATAGCCGGAATAAGTTTGGCATTTGGCCAGTAAATACCTCTGAATCTCGCCCTGAAAATATTGTTTTAAAGTGTACAAGATTCCTTTTAAATTAAGGTTTTGTAACCTTTTCTTTTTATGACAACTTTTCGCCTTACTATTTAAGTATCAGACAAATCGACCGTAAACGAAAAGCGTTTATTTCGACTTATGTCATTTATTTTAATGAGAAACAGGAACAGAATTGTACTATTAAGCGATACAGCTAAAACATTTTACCTTAAAGAGCTGTAGTGTCATTTCTGTTCCATCAGTTTTCCTGTAATAAGCTGCCATTTTATAAATTCGAAAATATAGTAAGAGAAAGTCCTTATTCATGTTAACTCTCTAATTGACGTTAGACAAAATTTAATTTAATTAGCAAAGAATAAAGTCGATCCGAAAATCCTAATCTTATCCTTTACATTAACAAGAAACTCAATGTTAAAGTTTAACAAAACAAAGAATAAATATTATGAGTCTAAGCAAACATTAATATATTGAAATTGTTCTTTAAACAACAATAAAATGTTATGTGAAATATTAAAAATAGACAGGCAAAGCATATATCTACGGGGATGCCATAAAAATTGGTGTGGACTGGAAACCATTAAAAATAACATCCAAAAAATATTGGTTCAATTCAAATCCAGACTGAATACTGTGCCTTATAATTTGATAAAACAATATATAACATATTAATGAGGCTGGAAGGGTATCCAACCTTGGCTTACACTTATTTCTGCAGCTGCCACGCCAATGTTATTTGTTATTTGTTGCTGTTGCCCGCTGCTGTCATCAATTTCTGCGCAAACTGGTTCCGCGATGCGGCTGCTGATTACCGATAACTGATTGTGCTCGTCCATGCAATTGGCGACAAGATTAACACTTTGCCGATGATTGCCGGCGGTGGAGGAGAGGCGTCTGCTCGAGTTTCGGGCTTGCTGTGGCCGGGTATTGGCCAAAGGGCCCAAGTGGCCATCCCCGGGGGCGTCTTAAATTAACCCTAAAGTGATGCGACATTCGAATGCCATTTGCGGAATCAGCCACAAATAATAAAAGTCAAGCTACTTAGCTGGAGATGCGGCAGCAGCCCTCTCACACCCACTTGAACCCCTCGAAAGTGAGGTGGCGTGGCTCGAATGTCTGACTCTGAAATCAGATGCGACTCATCCGAATGCTCCAGGGAACCCAGCTCCGTCTCCCTTGCTCCGAGTCACTCGGTCGACACCTCAACACGAACACGACACCATTTATAGAAATGGGAGAGCAGACGATTTCCTTCCGGAATTCATTTCAATTGCAATTGCTGTGTGCCCTGTCATTTGTCATTTGTTTATAAATAAATTATGCACTCCCGAGCATGTGTCCCGCTCTCTCTCTCTCTCTCTCTCTCTCTCTCTCCCCGTGTGGGTGTGTTGACAGCAGTAAAAGCAGTAAATTAGTTCCAGCAATTGACACATTTTAATGTGAACGATGCTGACACCCAAAGGCATATGTTCGGGGTCATAGCGCGTACTATAGCTACCGCTGGTAGAGCGTGGAAGGGTGTTAAGGGAGATCTATGATACCACAGGAGAAATTATTAAATTGAAATATTTACTGTAATGTGCCTAATGGAAATTAAAAATCGTAATACTTGTGTTTGAGTTGCATTATAAAATTATATTGGGTCGACAGTTCAATTATTCAAATCAATTCAAATTTATAGGAGAGAGTGAGTTGCAATTATTTTGTCATGTTTTTTTTTTAAGTGAAACATAAATTTACCGACTTTAAAATTGTTATTAAAACACTTATTTTATATTTATTTTTTCATTATTATTTATACATTGAATATGTACATCTTAACGTCAAAAATAGTTTAATCATTTTTAAAATGATAACACCTTTTCCATACACTTTTTTAGATGCAAGCTATTAATATATGTATGTATATTAATTGTATAGTGATTAGCTTGTATCAAGGATTCCAAAGAAAGGGTATCTTAAGAATATTAAATGGAAATTTGTTTTATTTCTTAAAATATAACATTTTGTTCCTCAATCTTTAAAGCCTTCTTCGGGGACTTCGGGGATCACAGCTGTAGGCATATATACCTATAATTCATAAATGTTATGTCCATTATGTTAACTTATCAGCTCCCTTTAGGGTCGTAGGAATGTTACTTTAATTTTTGAAAATAATACCCTAATATATACAGCATTAACAATAGCTATATAAAGAAGAAAAGAAAAGACAGATATAATATAACAACAAATACTCTTTACTTACAGCGGCTCCACGGACAAACAACACTTGGACTCCTCCAGCGACTCGGAGATGGAGGGCAGCCTCCTGCCCAGCCAAGGTGCGCAACAGCAGCAGCAACAGCAGCTCTCGCCTGGCAACAGCGGCGGCAACAACAACAACAACAACGGCCTCCATCAACAGCAACTGCAGCATGTTGCCGCCGAGCAGAGTCTGCAACACCACCCACACCCACACCAGCAACATCCCGCCGCCAGCAGTGTCGCCAGCAAGGGCGGCAGCACCGCCAGTGGCGGCGGAGGCGGTGGGGCAGTCAGTGCGGCAACTGCTGCACAAATGCAGATGCCCCCACTCTCCGCAGCCGTGGCCTATTCGCACCTGCACAGCGTGATGGGGGCCATGCCCATGACCGCCATGTACGACATGGGCGAGTACCAGCACTTATGATTCTAGTTGGAGGCGGCCGCTGCCGCCGGGGGCCCAGGGGTCAGTGGGACGGGCGGCAGTGGCAGCAGCAGCCACATCACCCACGACTGGTCGCCGGCGTTGCAACGCCAGCGCCAGCGCCACCAGCAGCAGCAATCGGATAGCTTCTACTTCTGAGATAGTGAGTTCGCAATATTGCCGAAACCCATCAGCATAGCAACAAATTCTAGATATGAATATCACTCATATACCTAAAAGCACTGGCAGGACTTAAAACCAAGACGATTTTGGATCCAGAACCACTCGCAGCAATATCCTGTTGAATACCAATATTGTTATCAGGCAACAGAAGAGACTAACGGCTTTAACATATTGCTTTTAGTTTCCGTATTTGAAATTGATCAATTTTCACTTTGTTTAGAATTAACCAAACCATCAGGGCTGCCAGAGAAATCGCAGTGGCTTTGAAATCTACTAAAATGGCGTCCAAAAGTGAGCTACAGAAATCACTACGGTTCCTTAAAGCCCTTAAAAGGTGTCCAAAGTGAAGCTACTGAGAAAATTTACACCGATACCTCAAGAATTGCATTGTATACCTTTGTATAAACTCTAGTGGTTTCTGGAGAATCCTAGAATGATTTGGATGGAGAGGAATTCATTTCATATTTTTCTATACCTTTTCAATTGATTTCAAAGACTAGGAAACGCTCTCGCACCAAAAATCTCTCATTCAAAATCGTGGTTTCAGTTCAGGCAGTACCTTGGTAAGTGATGGATATGTGATTGAAAGCACAACCACTCTTCCGGATAGCACAACTTGGCATTTTCTTCAGCCATCGAGGGAGAGATATAGAACTATACATAAGTGGAAGGATTGGCACCCAAGCTGCAGCACAGGCTTTTAGCTAAACTCCGGCTAAAACACACAGATACAGCCACCAAGCCGCATCGATCTATGTAAATAGCTAGGCTTTAGTTTTAGGACGGTTGGACAGCCGACCGAAATGCAAATCAAATTAAAATGTGCAAAAATTAAATATACCACTTACATGCATAAATTATACACTTTTAATTGTAGCCTCTAGTAATTATATTTTTGTTAAAAATAAATCCTATTAAATTATTTTCAAATGCCACCGCCTAGAACTATGTTTCTGAATTGAAGATACATATATATTTTAAAAACCCATGATAAAGGCTCATCCTGATTTACAGGTAAGTGATTCCCACGATGTAAACAAGATCGTTTCTTACCTGTACAATTTGCTGATAATGATAACGCCTGTCCGGGCCCATTACCATCGGCTGACCGCAACAATGCCAGTGGGCTGGCTGCACTAATCCGCGCCGACAGGTTAGCCAACTAATGCTAATGGCCATGCCTAATGGACGACGGCGGCGGCGTCGGCGCGTGCGCTCCGCTTTTCTCGCACGCGTCCCAAACCCGGCTCAGGATCCAGGTCGCGCCGTGTCGCGTCCCATGTAATGAGCGAGTCGGTGGCAAAGTTCGAGCAGCACTTGGCAACGGGGCGGTGCCTGGCAACCCCGACGAGTGCGCAGGGCGGCTAGTGGGGGTGGATGCTGTCTGACTGGCTGTTGGCTGCAGGGCCGAGGGTTGAGAGCTCTTTGATTTGTTTATTGATACTGTAGTTACATATTCCAGACGTCACCACTCCCGTCATCGTCATCCTGGGAAATCGGCCGTTGCCAGGCGGAGAAGGGGGCACACGTGTGTCTGGGCCGGCTCTGATTGAGATTGATGCCGCATCTCTGGTTACAAAATATTTTGACTTCTTTTATCCTGCGGCGGCGTTCTGTCGATAATTAAATTGACGGACTTAAAGTGTTGCTTTTGGTTCGAAATCGGATTTAATGCGGAAATTCCACCTTCCTCTTATACTCGGGTTGTCGTTGCCATTTAATGCCTACATTTCTTGGAAACATTTTTTTTATTTATTCAATTTCTGCAACTGTAGTGTTTCTCGGGTCAAAGGAAATCTCCGAAACGCCTCACAAAGCCTTGGAATACAATGCACACTGCAAATAATGAATGCATATGTACATATATGATGTGTCCTGTCTCTTCCTATTGTTAATCTTCTCTAAAGTGACTATGTCCTTTCCAAAGGCCTTATTTTGTGGAGAACCTTGTTGAGGTTTCACTTCCGAAGTGTTACCATTTCGAACCCATTTTTGCAACTTTTTTTAATAGAAAAATAAAATGATTTTTATATTAAAAACTTGGGATAGTGAACCATATTTTATTCGAGGTCTCGACCATATATAAAGCTTAAGTGAATGAAAAATCGTTAAACGCATTAAGATGCTTAAAATAAAAACAGATAAGTAGAACAACGAACAAAAACATTTGTTAACCCTTTTAAAATCTTTATATTTATTTTTAAATTCTTTAAATTTTGAAATACCGTTGAACAACGGAATTGCAGGTACTTTTATTTTTATGAGAACATATAAGAACACGAAAAATTATTATAATTATAATGAAAGTGATTAGTTTGGCTGATAGTTAAATATTTATTAATAAATTGTTCAAAATTTCAAACATATCGGTCTAACGGCACAAATTGAAAAAAAAGCGTTTTGAAAAACGAGTTTACCCTGTATAAAATTATATTTTAAATATTACTGTTATTGACACATATTTGTAGCAACGATTTCTAAAACAATTATAACTTTATTTTGCTAAAGTATAAAATCTTCGAGAGCCAGATTTTTTTTAAATTTAATTAATAAACCAGTAAATATAAATTCTATACAAAATCCAGTTGAAATAGCTTTCAAATTGATAAATGTGTTTATGCTTAATTTTATTACCATTATATTATAATAAACAAGAAAGGAAGCTAACCTCGGCACGCCGAAGTTTATATACCCTTGCAGATAGAACTTCTATGAATAGGAATCCATACAATAAAAATTATATATATTTGTGTTAAAAAACAATGAAGTAATACCTGCTATCATTTCATTCACCTATACATATTATATTTGCAGTTTTACATTCACAGATTTGCATTTTTCCTCTACATCAAACGATCGCTTGTATGGCACCTATATGATATAGTCGTCCGATTTTCATGAAAGTTGGCACTAAATTTAAAGACTAATATAAAATGGCTATACCTCAAATTTTATGAAAATCTGTTGAAAACCGAAAAAGTTATAATTTTTAATTGTATTAATTTCTCAATCGTTCCTATGGGAGCTATATAATATAGTAGTCCGATTTTCATAAAATTCTATGCAAAATTGTAGAGTATAGTAAAATGGCTATATCTCAAATTTGATCAAATTCTATTGAAAACTGAAAAAGTTAAAAAATTTTTTGTAAAAATTTTCCGATCATTCCTATGGCAGCTATATGATATAGTCGTCCGATCCGGCCCGTTCCGACATATACGAGTGAGAGTATATAGAAGGCTAACTACAAAGTTTCATTCAGATAGCTTCAAAACTGAGAGACTAGTTTGCGTAGAAACGGACAGACGGACAGACGGACAGAAGGACAGACGGACAGACGGACAGACGGACAGACGGACATGGCTAGATCGACTCGGCTGTTGATCCTGATCAAGAATATATATACTTTATATAGTCGGAGGTGCCTCCTTCACTGCGTTGCAAACTTCTGACTGAAATTATAATACCCTGCAAGGGTATAAAAATACAAAATCAGGCTCGTTTCATTTGTATTCAGCCATGTTCCCCACCTTATAAGCAAAGCCATCAACCCTTCTATATTATCAGATTTTTTCTGTATGACAGCTGTTGTTAGTAGTAAATCATCAATATTTTGAAAACGACAAATTCTATGTTATGTAGATTTTTTATTGCATTAAAATTAATTTTAAAAAATTATTATTTTCAGAAATTTAATTTTTTTTGTAATAACATCGATAGTCACCAAAAAATATATATCGATATTTACCCACCTCTATCCAACGTGCACGTTTTAATTTTAATTCAATTTTTTTAAATTTGATCGTGCTCCCCGAATCAAGAAATATACAATGCAAACAGAGGACAACGCAAAACGAAAGCGGCCGAAGAGGAAGGGTAATCGCTTCATGCGAAATGCCAAGGGCTTCGCCAAGCAGGGAATATTCGGCCGCGGGACGCACATCGACGATGAGCAGTTCAGCTACTTCATCAACATTTTGGATGCCATGAAAGCTGGATTCGAGGAAGTAGAAGAGCGCGGTGAGAGAAACGCAATACTGTCTCCTAATGCATTTATTTACTCCAACTGTAATTTTTTTTCGCAGTGAACATGGCCAACAATGTGTTCGAGCAGACCAACGACCAGGAAATCCACCTAGCATCTAACCAAATCGTCTCCAAGGCACTGGAGTCGCTGGTCGGCTTCGTGGATGACGTCCAGTTGGAGCGGTATTTTAACAAATTCGGCGACAATCTGCGACCCCTGTGCTCTGACCGGTTTGCGTCTCACGTTCTGCAAAAAATGCTAGAGATCGCCTTCCTGCGAGGTGTGGGCAAGAAGTCTGTCGACCAGGAGCAAAGCGATGCAGCCAAACGTGCCAAGCCGGATGCAGCCCAGATCGAGGAGGAATACAACCTGGAGGCCGACTTCAGTGAAGAGCACCGAGAAAACTGTCGACAGTTCGTGTTGCGCATCTCAAAGTTCATGCTGAACAATCTGGAAGACTTTGTGTGGGACACCTGCGCCAGCCACATCATGCGGACAGCTATTCTCAGTCTGGTGGGAATGCATGTACCGAAAATTGCCTTCGAGAAGGGAGGCGCTGAAATGGCCAAACATCGGAAGCTGTACGAGGTGCCGGACGAATGGCACGAGGTGATGAAGGAGTTCCCACAGCGCCTGGAGATGTGGCCCCAGTTCACAGACTTCCCCTACCAAGAGCACTCATCGGCGCTGCTTGGCGTCATCTGCTTGGCCCTGAGTGTGGCAGACAAAAGCATGCTGAAGCACTTTGGGAAAAAAATCCTTACGGTCAGCTTGCTGAAGCCAAGCGATGCTGAAGAAGATGAGAAGAAAGACGAAAAGGATGCCAAAATCGAAATCAAAGATGACGACGATATGGAAGAGGGAAATACGCAGCCAAATCCTAAGGGCGGGGAGGAACAGAAGGAAGAAGTTGACGCGCCCATCATGCCCAAAGTCTTCCATCACCAGAGCTCTGTCATTCTGCTCGAAACTATTTTAAGCGTGGCGGGAGCCAAGTTACTGACCCAGCTGTACGCAATGCTATTCTGCGGTCGCGTTGCTTACCTTGCGCAGCAGCACGAGACAAACTTCTCAATCCAGCGCCTCCTGCAGCACATCAAAGAGACATCAGACTTCGAGGCCGTCTTTACCGAGCTGCAGCCACAGGTGGAAGGACTGCTCAAAATGGGGTACACTGGCGTGGTGTCCGCCCTGAGTGCCACTTGCCTACGACTGGGCACCAAGCAGGCCCAGATGATAGCAGCTCTTCAAAGCGCTCTTTATGTGAGCGGCGGTGACAAAGATAAGTCCAAGCTCTTCTTTAACTGTCTGGTTAAGCTGAAGCCCTTTGAAGTGGTGGGCAGCGACGAGTCGGGCTTCGTTCACTTGCATGGCTCCTTGATCGCACAACATATCCTGCAGTTCAACAAACCCATCTTCCTTGTTAACTGCATCCTGGATCTGCCCGCTACGCAGCTGTCGCTGGTGTTCAACACTCCCAATGGCTCCCACATCGTAGATGCCTTTATGCAAAGCAAGTTTATTGGTGAAAAGTCCCGCGAGAGGTTGATACGCCAGCTCGAAGGGTTCTACGTCGACTTGGCCATCACCCGGCACGGCTCCCGCGTTCTCGAACAGTGCTTCAAGGCCGCGCAGGAAGCCCAGAAGCTCCGCATTGCCAAGGAGCTGTTTTCCAAGGCAAACATGCTAAAGGGTTCGCCCTACGGTCGGCTCATCTACACAAAATACCGGATGGATACGTACAAGCTGTCGCCCAGTCAATGGCAGGAAAGTTTGTCAAAGCATCTGGACGTCGAGCAGCCCAAGGAGATAAAGCGGAAAACAGCGAAAACAGCTGCAGAAGCTTTCAAGGATATCCTTAGCTAGTATCTAAACTTTTGTGTTTAAATACATCGACGTATCGAAAAACTTATTGATAGGATATTGTAAATATAAGATCACTTTTTATTACAACATTGATATTTTTCCTAACTTAACTTCTACTACAATGAATTAGTCTCTTCAAAACAATTTAAAGAGACTTATTAAGTTACGTTATTTTTATTTCTTTCCAGCAATAAAGTGAACAAAACGAGAAATTAAACGCATGGTAAAGACCCATTGCTTGAATGGTCCGTAAACAAGACTTTGAATGTTAACGATTTACAGTTGCTAGTTTTGTTTTTAATTTAAAAGTTTAATCAATGGTCCCATTAAAGGAAAATATCTGCTTCAAAATTATTGTGATTATTAGTAATTGCTCTCTCAGCGATCATTTTTGAAACAACTTTTGATTTGGGTGCTCGTATTTGTCATTATCAGCCCGGCCGGGTGGAAAGACGCTTTTCATCGAAGCTCCCTAGCTTAGTGTTATTGTGGCTGACAAGGCATAAACATGTGGGTACTGCGCGTAGCTCTTGTCTGTGGCATTCTGACCACTGTGTTGGCCTTTGGCGACGAGGCCATCTTTGAGGATGAGGACATATACAATCAGGCGCTGCCTCCAGTCCCCCATACCGGCATCACGTTACCCGGGACCAAATGGTGCGGGCCGGGCAACACGGCAGCCAACTATGAGGATCTGGGCAGGGAGCGGGAGACGGACAAGTGTTGTCGGGATCACGACCACTGCGATGAAATCATCGAGTCACACGGTCAGCTCCATGGACTGCCTATTAATACAGATTGGTTTCCCATGTGAGTGGCAGTAAATTCAGAATTTCCTTATTGATTTTTCGAACCCTGAGCCGACACATGCCTTGAATTTTAGCCTAAAGTGCACCTGCGAGCAGGCTTTCATCAATTGTCTGCAAGCGGTGAACACCATAGCATCCAACACGCTGGGAAGGATCTATTACGGCAGCAGGAGCAGGTGCTTCGCTAACGGCTATCCTACTCTGGGTTGTAAGCAGTACCAAGAGGGCACATTTCGCAAACGTTGTATCCTTTACCAGGTGGATAAGAGCAAGGCCAAGGTTTGGCAATTCTACGACATGCCTTTCTTCACGATCCAGGCGAAAAAAGGATGACAACCGAGCAAAGATTTGTAAATAAAAATAGAATATAATAGGAATTTAGCGGGAGATTTATAAGTCCTCATATAATGTATTGCAAATACAAAATTTCTTGTTTGGTTTTAAAAACCTTTTGTTTTAAATTACATCAATAGCCGACCTTGCGCAAAGATAAGTAAACATTAGATTTGTTTTGACAACAATCTTCTACTTGAATATAGACAGTCGCTTATCGCCGGGTGATGTCAAAGCTCAATCTCAGGATTCCTCGCCGCTGTCTTTGGTTACGTGTGTGTAGAGTGCCAAGTCGTACAACTGCCAGCACTGAGACCGACCTTTGTCCACGTGGTAACTGATACAGCGCTTCTCGAAGATGTGCTTCTGGGTCTCGCGACAGGAAACGATGGGATGCCCATAGGCGAAACAAACCTCCTGGCTGCTAAAGTACATCCTCCCCACAGCCAGAGAGTGATAATTGGCTAGAGCGGTGAGACAGTTTCTAAAAGCAGACTCACAGGAGCAGGAGAATCTGACAGAAATGCGAGACTTCAGGTAAGGTAGAGTGAAACCGCGATAGGACTCTTACATAGGAAACATCCCGTCATTCCTCAGGCCATGGGCTTCCTTTTGTGGCAGAATACACTCCTTACAATTGTCGTGAGCCCGACAGCACATATCCAGCTCCCGCTCGGTGCCGAGGTCATCGTAGTTGTTTGCTATGTTTCCAGGACCACACCACTTGGTGCCCGGGACAACAAAACTCACTCCATCACTTGAATGAAAGGCACAGAACAACACGAGTACCAAAAGAGGCGCAAGAAAAACAGTACCGGAATACATTGCTTACAAGGGCAGCTCAGTCTGATTACTGATTTCGATGGGGTTTTCAGAGATTTTTATGCAGATTTTGGTTGAAATTCCGAAAGAGATTTCGACAAAAGCAACTTAATGAATAAATCACTGTGGCGCGTTTGATTAACGACTGAGCAGTCAATAAAAATTGCGTCTAATGAAATATCATGCATACATACATACATGTGGAGATACATATTTAGTTTTAATAAATAATATAAAGACAGAATTAGACGCTCACGAACATATAGCTATAAGTTATCCATAGATAAGTACAAAACGTTCGGGCTTTGGCCCACATTAAAGCACAGCGGTTAATACAAAGGCAAGTACACACTACTACACGGTTGCTACAGGACCAAAATGAATGCTGTATAAGTATATAAAACTATTTCCTAGGGGTAAATTTACGCTTCGCTCTTCTGACGGTTTTGCATGACCTGGCGCAGCTGAGGGAACGTGCTTTTCGTCTGAGCTGGATGCAGGCGGGCGCACAGCGATGTAAAGGGTTCGTAGAGCGAAGGCCGCTCCATTGCGTTTACCGTGTAGTGCTTAATTCTTTCCCTTTGGCACCAGATATTGGCCCGGTCCATAATCTTCTCTACGGGATTGGGAGCAGCCCGTGCTCGTACATTAGCCAGCACCACGACGGGAATCTCCTTTTTCTCCTTGTGCTTATCGATGTCCGTTTTTATGTCGGCCAGCATGTCGAGGCTACGCGGGTCCATGGGATCGTATACCAGCACAAAAGCGTCCGGGAACTGGAGGTAGTGACGCGGCAGCTGCTGCTGCTCGCCCTGCAGCCCAGCTGTGTCATAGATGCGCAAGGTCTCGCGGGCCCCTCCTCGTCCGGTGTCCACACTGGCCACGTAGATGTCCTCAATGGTTGGATGCAATTCCTACAGGTAGAAGGCAGGGATTTCACATTAATATGGATCGTATCGAAGGGACAGTCCCCACTCACAGTCTCGGGATTAACGTGGCCGTAGACCAGCTGCTCAATGAGCGCCGTCTTGCCCACACCCTTCATACCACACACCAGCACCTTGCCGACCTTGCCGATTTTGGCATTTAGCATTTTTATTAAATAAATAAATAAAATAAACAAAACTTTCACTGAGCCCAATGCAGTGTTGCCAGATGAAATTTAGTTTTGCCCCTAAAAAATCTCAAACAGCTGAAATTTCCTCCTGTAAGTTTCCCCTAGGTTACAAAAATCAGTTAAATTCAAATACATAAACTATAAACAATAATTGACTTATATGTAGAAAAGCATCTGCCATTTTTTTGCTATTTTATTTCGCAGTTTATCTTTATCTAGTTGCCTCTCGCTCTCTCTCACTGTTTTGATTGTTTTTTTTTTTTTTGTTCACCGAACTGAAATCATTAATTTTCCAGCGTTTCTTCAAAAAAATTTATATTACAGGCTAATAAAAACCAATACAACTGTAATTAAGAAGATTAAAAATCCCTTAATCTAGGGGGAAAACTGGCCCTACGCCAATGTGACCGGAGATTGGCTTCCCGAAATTACATTATTGAACCAAAATCTAAAACCGTTTTAATGTAGCTAAATTATTATTAACAATTAACTGAAATAATCCTTAATATCCCGATACTTAGATTTAGTCATTTAGTCGTACAGGGAATCCCCTAATCTAAATCTATTTGCACTGCCATCTTAGCAGAGCCAATGTTTCCTCTTGCTCATACCAAACATTTGCTTTTATTTGTGTGTTGCTCAACATTTTCATTGCAACATGTACAAATGTTTTCTTCTACCTTCCACACTGTTCAATTAATTTATGAATTAATGTAAATAAGTATTAGCCATAGGACACATAATGAACATACATATCATACATTTATTTATTGCAAAAATGCAATTAAGTACTTTTATCCTGGCGCCTCCCCTGATTAAAGTTTACGAGACAGAAAATCAAATACAGTTTTCCTTGGTGTCAATGGAAGTATATTTCCTTACTAAACATATATATGGTTGTATGAATTCCTATCAATAATGCTTACTATTCCATTTTTTGTGGGATAACACTAAAAATCTTTAATCTGGACACTGCCATAGAGGTGCAAAATTTGATCTTACATAGCAATGGGGTGAACTGAATTAGTTATGGCTAGGACCAACGTAGTTGGTATCTCAGTTTTCGAAGGTGAATGCGTGTATTGAACACGACATCCCAAAGTGGACTACTGATGCCATATCCGGAGGTTTGGTGAGAGAAGTGGTGATGGTAATGGTACCGCTTCATGTGAATGAAGGCCCCCGCTGACGGGTTTCCGTAATGCAGGTAGTAGTGCATCATGTCGTAGCAGAGATATCCGAGCAGAGCTCCTGATAGCACCACCCTAGGATGCAGGATCACGTAGCTGATCGGGGTGTAGATGACAGTGGCAAGCACTGCTCCCGGCAATGGCGGGAACACCAGTCGCATGGGATCAAAAGGCACCTTGTGGTGCAATCCGTGGATCATGAAGTGGAAGGTGCAAAGCCAAGGGCCGCTGTTGTTGCGCAGCTTTACGTGAAACACCCAGCGATGCAGAGTGTACTCAAGAAAGGTCCACAAGAGTATGCCAAACAAAAAGTAACCGGCAAGCCCCAGAAGCTGAAATATAGATACATTTGGCCAAGTTAGAAGAGGATATAGGCTGAAATTATAGATAGATAACTCACCTGTCTCTTATCCTGCCAGGCGCTAGAAACCTCGTCCCTCGCGCACTGGAAGATCACCGGAATCCAGAAGGTTGGTACCAGCCACCAAGGCGTTTTCGTGCACATCTCTAAGTACCAGGGACCAAATAATCGCAACGGCCTGTCCACCGGCTTGTGCACCCACTCATCATAGCAATACGTTAGGTTTGCTATCTGTGGTAGCATTGCCTTTGACCAGTCCACCAAGTGCTGTAATTGAAATGCACAAAATGAGTTTGATAAAACTTAAAGCTAAATATTCGATACACAATTTAAGCAGTTTTTTTCTATTTTAATAAAAACCATCATTACAAACTGGTATCGCTTGTCGAATATTTTATATTAATTTTGATAGGGTCATATAAACAGTAACTTTCGTATACAAATTCTTTTTAATTACACCATAATAAAATATTTCTAAGTGTCACATCAATAATAGAGACCTTTATGGGAACCCAGATTAGATTTCGCAGAAGGTTGAAAAGGTGGGAACTATATTCAAAAGAAAACACTTTTCAAAATTAACAGTCAAAGTAATTTGTATTTGAAAACAATGAAAACAAAAATGGATACTTAGATTTGACAGGTGTGGCAGCATTGGCGTGCCACATAGATATATCGAATATCGGTTATCGGCTATCGAACTATCGACAGCAGGCAATGTAACAAGCAGCTGGTTCAAAGTTGTCATTTAAACTTCTCCGCACTTGACACAATAACAACGCAGTTTCCGTTTGCCGTACTCGAAAACAGATTTGCTGAATAATAGTCGCCGTACTGTTAGCGCGGGACTAGGTGGATCATGTCTAATTCATCAGTGCGCCCTATTCCCACGCTGAAGGGCATCTTTTCGGTGCCGCGTAAGATACCTTTTCCAAACAGCCCTTGGGCCATGGCAACCAGTTGGTAATTTGTTTTGGTCTTCGTTCCCACAGGCGTTACACAGTCCCGAAACTTTCTCAAGGAAAACAAGGTAAGCCTACGTTCGCTGGAAAAGACGACTAGCGAAAAGTTGGCCGCCAAGCAGCCAGTGCGTCCAAGCTGGATGCCTCCTCAGCTTCGGCGCTCAGTTTCTGAGGCGAGGGAGGGCAAGGAATCAAAGACGGAAAGACCGCAGCGCAAGACCAAGACACAGGGAAACTCCCTGCAACATGCCGCCACCACCTCTCGTTCACAGCACCAGCTGACTCTCGCCATTCCGGGCGAGGGCGAGCGTTTCGATGGTCTGGAGGAACGCGATCCCCTCTTCTACGCTCCATCGGAACGGGTGGAAGCAGAGAACCTTTTGGACTCGGCATCCGAAGCGCCTTCAGATCGTTGCCAATCTTGCGGCACCCACCGGAGCTCCAACAGCATTGCCATTCAGACGGAGGACATAACTGATGAAATATACCTCACAAACGCTCTTAAAAAGTAAACAATCATGAACTTGATCTGGCGTAATCCTAACCGCTTAATTTCTTTCTAGATGCAATTTCGATGGAAGATCCATAATAGAGGACACACGTTCAAAGATTGAAGACAACTACAAACAACTGCATTACGAGGACGAGGAAGAGTTGCAGCAGCTACCGTTATCAGCCCGCTCGAACTCTTCGAAAAACAGCCGCTTCCACATGTCTGAGGTTGAAGCACTACCCATGCTCGAGAACGAACCCAAGAACTTTGGTGGCTCTGATGAGGAAGGGCCACTAAGTGCCCGTAGCCGTTTTACAACGGCCTCCAATGTCACAACAATCACCAATAAGTCTAAGCGTCGTGAACATAAACTAGGGTGTGAGTATACTGACGATAGTGTAGTTTCATTTAACACAAATATTATCTTACTTTCAAGTACTTTACTCATTTTCTAAATGATATTTAATAATTTTGAATTACAATTTAAATTAGGAGTTTGCAGCGCACTGTTTATGGGTTTCTCTGAAATATTGAAGACTATCTATCTACTTATATTACGTATTTGCCTCGTATAACGTATATCTTAATATTTATACCCTTGCAGGGTATTATAATTTCAGTCAGAAGTTTGCAACGCACTGAAGGAGGCACCTCCGACTATATAAAGTATATATATCCTTGATCAGGATCAAAAGCCTACTCGATCTAGCCATGTCCGTCTGTCCATCTGTCCGTCTGTCCGTTTCTACGCAAACTAGTCTCTCAGTTTTGAAGCTATTTGAATGAAACTTTGTAGTTAGTCTTCTATATGATCTCACAAATTTGAGATATATCCATTTTATATCAGATTTAAATTTTGTGTAAAATTTTATAAAAATCGGACGACTATATCATATAGGTGCCATACAAACGATCCTTAGATGTGGAGCAAAAACACAAATCTGTGAATGTAAAACTGCAAATATAATATGTATAGGTGAATGAAATGAAAGCAGGTATTACTTCATTGTTTTTTAACATAAATATATATAATTTATATTGTATGGATTCCTAGTCATCGAAGTTCTATCTGCAAGGGTATATAAACTTCGGCGTTCCGAAGTTAGCTTCCTTTCTTGTTAAACGATAAATCAATATTATGTTATGTTTTATAAAGAGAGGGCACTTTTGCTGATTATAAGATTTACTTATTACTTTACTTAACCTATTTACAAAACAATGGGTTTTATCTATTTTTTCAACAGCCCGAGACGAGGTGCGCCTGCCACGTTACTTGGAGAAGCAGAAACGTGAAAAGGCCGAGGCCAAGCAGCTTGCTGATATGCGGGATCCAGACTGTCCCCGGGGCCATGTATTGCTTAGCGATCAGGATCGGTTGACCTACCTCAACAATGCACAGAAGCGTGAGTTTAACTAACTACGAGTTCCATTTCGAAATTCAACAATTTCCTTAATAGGTTACGAAAGTCTCGTTAACGAGCTGAATCACATGCCCATGACCGCACAAACCTTGCGCGTGCGCACCCGCAAGGCAGAGATTGACAAGGAGCTTACTACAGTCGAGGAGCAAATCCGGGTATACTCAAAGGCGAAAGTCTATGTGATGGCCCACAAGTCTCGTCAGCTGTAAAGGACTAACCGACTCGTCCAATCTTAAAGCATTTTATCGACTGATTAAGCTAGGACACCACAAATGACTTGCGTTAGTTATATATTTTTTAGCCAGAGAGGGAATGAATGCAGAATACAAAAAAAAAACTTGCACATTCGGCTACTAGCGTTACAAATTAAAAGAGCAGTCTATCAAACTCACCTCCATGCTCTCGTCCAACTGGTTGTTGTTCTTGTCTTCGGTTTCCCTCGGCCGCTGGCGAGTATTCTGCTCATCGGTCCCTGTAAAGCTCTGCCTAGTTTTTTGAGCGGCGTCATTCGAATCCATTTTGTACTCCTTCATCAGATACATGGCAGCATCAGAGTGTGGCGGGGCTTTCATAAAGCGAGCTGTCATATCCGCCCCCTTTAGGCCTTTGAGGGTGTTTATGCCTCCGGGGTGCTTGTGCATAAACTCAGACAGGTCGTATAGCTGCTGGCGGTACTTCACAATGAACTTCTCGTTCGCCACATCCTCCTTTGGCAAGTCCATGTCGATGGACTTTGTGGCGGTAACTGGAATGCGGAAAGCAACAGTATAAGTTATATAGAAGTTCTAATTTTACTATAATTAATTAGTTTGCGTGCAATCTGTACATTATTGTTTAAGGTATCATCTCTATCAGACATAGTCAATTAAATAGCGGTAGTGGCCTTTGTAAAAGCAAACATTCTTATCAATAGGAATCGGGAGGAGTATTTTTGAGTAACAGCATCAATTTTTATCCGAGTCTGGAGTAAGAAAATATTAATACATAAAGGCGAGGAAGCTCGAATTGATTCCGCTGATAAGCGGCGGACAAAGCCAGTAAACAAAAACAAATATTAAGGACGTCTCGTTCCCAAACACCGATATAATTTTGGCCACAGAAATTTTTCTTTTTTTGCACTGCACCCCAAGTTAATCCTTTGTGGTATTGGTGGTGATAAATATTTAATCTTTCCGATTGTAATGGAAATAATGTTAGAAGTGTAACGTTAGCTAAACAATTCTTTACTTGTGGCGATAGTCGAGGGAATATAATGACAGAGATTAGGGATATCAATTGCCAGTCGTAATTACAAATCGTAGAGCAATGCAGAAATGGCACAGAATGCGATTCTCCTTCAGGCGGCCGTGGGCCGTGGATGAGTTCCATTATGTGAACTTGGCAATCAGTGTACGCCACGCCAGATGTTTCTTTCCGTAGATGAATGCCACACAAACGTTTCCATTCTCCACTTGGCTGGGGCGGCGGGACTTTGGCCCAGTTGGCCATTCCACACCGCACATATGCACATTTGTATGTACATGTTTTGGGGCTGTCTATACAGTTTTTATATTGTACTTATCATGGCTGATACGAGAGCCTGTAAGCGCGCAGGGATTTGGTGTGGACGAGTGGGAGTAGTCGGGTCGTTTGTCAAAGTCGCAAGTGGTAAGTCCCAAATCGCGGTGCCCCGATAGGAGACGGAGCAGGTGCTCTGAGTCAGAGGCCGTACCTGCGCTGCGTCACATTGATTAATAGTGGGTGCCCTATCTGACACATTTGCAAATAGGCTAGGCATTATCTCTTCGATGTCATATCTCTCTCCCCGCAGACCTGTCTAACTCCCTTTGCCCGGGACTATAGACGGTTCCGTCAAACGAACTCTGCCACTTGTGTTTACACGCGGTTAATGGGTTCCGCGCAGGGAGCGAGAATGGGTCTCACTCAGAGCGAGTTGTTCACTATCAGGTGTCATCTATTATCTATCCGGGTTAGCTTTGCCCTAGATGCCTGCTTACACCGACCGGTCAAGGTGTATCGAGAAGTTACCCAATATCTTATCTTCGGCGGTGACAAAATATTAAAAACCCCAACAGATAGAGATAGTATTCATGAGTAAACTAAGTTCGCTTCCTTTTCCTACAACTTATTGGTAATTAACATATCCGTCCATTAGTTCACATAGATTTCGACACCGAAGTACTACGAGATACCAGACATAGAACATATACCATAGACTGACCAGGTTAGGAGCGATTAATGTAGTTAGATCGGATTACAAATCTCTCGGCAGCGGAACCCGGACCGCACGCAATGCAACGCAACTAGCAACTGAACTTGGGCCCGGTCCCACCCACTCGCCCAACATATCCGCACCGGCGACTGCGACGCGAGCAGCGCGGCCCAGGGCTAGCTCCTAGCCGCTAAGCACTAGCTGCCTCTGCCACAAGATAAGCGGGCCACACGAAATTGGGCGATAAGATAGGTCCGCTCGGGTTAAAATAGTGCTGGAGTTACTCTCTTTAGTTATAGCCCTGGAGAGAGTGCCGCCGGATCGTGATTAGCGACTTTAGACGGACGACATGTACCGAACTCTTATCGGCCGATCTGCAAGAAGCCATATAGCCCGTTATCGCGGGGTGTTCTAATTTTGCTAAACAATCCTGACGTAGATCTCGATAACGATAGCCAGGCAACGGATCAGGGAGTCATTATCAGGACATGAATACAGCCAAGTTAAAGGTAATTTCAGATGACTCACCGCAGATTGGGCCTTTGATTTTAGCACTCAGTAATGACTCAGCCTCCTAATTACTTTTAAAATAAATTTAGCACAACAGTTAATTGATAGAAGTAAATGTGTACACAATCCTTTAAAATTATAAACGAAAACTTGCTTGCTTTGAGTACAATGGATTTGAGTATTGAAGATAATTTTAAGCAGCATGTTCTGCACGATATACAGGGGATTCCCTATTTTGAACGGCTGATCGCCGATATTTTAAGTAATCCCTGGGAATCCCCTGAAAGTTTTGGTTTATCGAAATCCTTCCAATCAGAAAGGTTTTGGAAATAACTAATAAATATACTGGAAATAACTTTAAATTAACAATTAATCAATTGAATATTTCCTCTTCAAACTATAGCAGACTGTCATAACGATTAAGAGTTTGAAGTAAGAGTTTAGAAAAGCCACAATTGCGTGGTACACGATCTTTGGCTGCATTTATAGGGAATCCCATCGCATTGAGGCTTGGAGGCAATCGAAGAAACCACGAGTTGACACAGTTCGTCCATAAATCAAAGCTGGCAATTGCGACTATATACACTGAGGTAAAACTGTATGTTTTTCATTAACCATTCATCCAAATCCAAATGAATCATTCATCAATGGCAAGCGAATTCCTGAGAAGCGGAAATGCTACGGCATTCTGTCAACTTTATGAGTGTCTGCTGGGCTTTCACACTCCCCGACCCCAACCCAAGATTCCAGCTGTGAGTGGGTGGGTGGGACTGTGGCCTTTACAAGTGTCACTTTGACGGTAAAGGGCGCCAAGCCTGTGTCTCGCACCAGTTGTGTCTCGGGAGGGGCAGCAGCAGTACTGAGGAATACGGATAATTATATGTACATATGTATGTGCATCTATCGGCTCGGACTGTATCGCCGTTTTAATATCGACTGAGCTGGCAGGGAAGCGAGTTGATTGGCTTGAGTGCTAGGCCTCTGCGATAATGGCGGAGCAACCACTAATTACTCTCCAATATGCCAAGCATATTAACATCAATCAAATAGAACATTCCTTGGTAAGAGTATTATATGGCCATAGAGGATAAAAGAGCGACATTGAAGGAGTGACTTTCATAACGAAAACTATATTTTCAGTCATTAAATATGCATTTATACATATGTATATGTTGAACATCATAATGTAAGTGTCAGGTATCATAGCTTATGCTCATATTGTAGGAATATGTTTCTATTCTTTTTCAAAATAATTCACTTAAATCGAGACTCGACTTTTATGCCAAATTCCAGATCGTTTTCAGAAGACAAACCCCAGCACAGGCTTTATCTAATACTGTATCGATTCCGCTATAAACTAACATACATATGTATGTACATATGTTCATGAGAACATATTTGTAGAGCACTCTTCTTTATTGATTAGGTAAAAACAACATTGAATAGAAAATAATCTTCTGGTTATAATATTTTAGGTTATATCAAAGTTTTTACCTTTACGAATTTGTGATATACCGTAGTAGTTGTTGTGTTATACTTACTGTACAGTGTGCTCCTTATTTAAAAGTCACAGTTTCTATAACTATACACATTTTAAAAGTTTCTGCAATTTAATTGGTAATCTAATGATGGTATTATCCAATGTATTTTTACACTAGGAACAGGAAGTTGACTTTAATGAGATATCCCAAAATTTGGAAGATTGTCAATTTTGTTAAACAATTTGGTTAATAATATAATTCTAAAAATAATAATAATTAGACCTAATAAAAAGGAAAATAGTAAGCAGTACATTATATTAAAATGTTGTATCTAGTTCTAATCACGTTTAAGAAGCATTAAAATACTTATATTTAAGTTGTAAGTCAATTTCATAATTATTATCAAATTTTGACAGCCTTTGTTTAAGTCATCCGTTATTTATTTTATGTGTATATGATTCTTGATTCTATGGTTCTTTTTTTATACACAATAACTGAAGTCAAGCACGTTATTCCTAATCTACAATCAGGAGTCATTAAAACTAGATAAATACCGATATCGCCCCAGATGGATGAATGTCACGCCAAATATAAAAATTTATTGGGACCCCACCATCCATCACCCTCACATACATATGTAGTCTTATCAGAAGTAAACGGACTGTTTTTTATAGTAGTGTTTAGGGAGCAAAGTCTTTTGTAGCATAGTGTTAGGCATGTTTATATACTTTGATTTTTTATATAAATCCATTCATTCCAATATATTTTCTATGCTTCAATCAACAATAGACAACAAGAAAGGAAGCTAACCCAAAAGCAACATTAATGATTTTATTTTTGATAAAGATTTTTCAGTATTAATTTTTTCTTTGGTTGTTGTTGAAAAATGTTATAATTCCGGTGCATAATCAAAAATTGTCATATTTTTGAGTAGAGGAAACGTATGTAAGAACTCGATTTATATTCGTACACATTTTCAATAATATTCAAGCGGAAAGAATCCCCAACAAGATTGAAGCTCTACTAAATGCGGCAAAGACATAATATAATCTGTCGAAAGCATGCGTAAACAGACGTACATTTACTTCAAGTAAAATGGTGAATTAAAGACAGAAAATTGTTTTTAAAATTATCTAAAGTGAATTTCTTCTAGTAGTTCAAATGTTAGATGCGAATTAAACTAACGTTCAGCATTCTGTGTTTTACAAGCAAAATCAAAAATATTTCAGTCCTCGCCGATCTCCTTTAACTACACAGAGAGAATTTAAAATGTCCCACTGAAAGGGAAGATTTCTCACTTTCAATAACATATTTTTGTTCTGAAATTAGTGCAAGAGTATAGAAACTTCGTCGCATTTCTTGATATATTTAATTAAGTGAAGAGCACAAATAAATATTTGGTTTTTGGGCCACAGACAACCGTCCTTTTAAGCTCTTTTTATTTTAAACGATTATTCAGTAATTGTATCTTAAGTCTAGTTTTGTATTTTGTTATCCAATTAAACCGTATATATTCCAATTATATATTTCCAAAGCAAGGAGCTATACTATTAGTGGGCATTCCCGTTGGTGGCCACCTTGGCAGATCCATTACTGTGTCCATTGGCATGGATCTTCTTGCCATTGGTGGCAGATTCAAGAGTGCATGGTTGGCCCAGGATCTTAGCCCTCTTTACCGGAGGCTCATTCGTGATGGTAGCGAAGTCGAACTGTAAGACACAAAAAGTTTTAATATGCAAGCGAGGTGGCATGCGAAGTAATCCTGCTTACCCGCTGCTCCAGGGTCATGTGTGAGATGGGCGGAAGGCCAATGCAGCCGCGCAGTATATTCTCGATGGCAGCACGCTGGCGGAATAGAGAGTTGACCACCTGACAGCCCTGGGGCACCAGTGGGGCCTTGCACAGATAGCTCAGCAGAGAAAGGACCGGTTTGAAGGGTACCCAGGGGGCGGACTCGTTCTCTGCGCTGCGGAGCTGGATGCGAGTGCTCAGCTCTCCCAGGATGACCAGGTCCAGAATCAAGGGTGTGGCCAGTAGGGAGTCCTCGCACGTGTTGTGGATCACCAGGGTGTTGTGGCCACCCATCATGATCTCGGATGTGTACTCGTCCATGGCCCTCTTGCTGTCGCCCACATAGGGCACGTATTTAATGACCACCACATGATCGGGATGCTCGTCGGGCCCGTAGAGCAGCTTGTTGGAGGCCACCATGTCGTCCACCACATTACTCTTGGATATCTGGAAAAGCAAGGCGTCGACTGGTATACTGATCTTATTCTCACAAATCATCCAGGATATCTACCTCCTTGGAGCGGAACTGCTGGGGAGCGGAAAGATTCTTGCCGTCGTTGTTTCCCAAGTGGTTGTAGCTGGCAATCGACACTGGCTTGATGCCGGCCCCCACCAGGAAGTCCACCAGAACGCTCTTGATCTTGGTCTGGCCGGACTTGAAGTCGTCACCGGCGATGAAGACCTTCTTCTCCTCGGCCAACTGGATTAGTCCGGGGACAAAGGTGTTCTGCGGCGAGCCGTTGATGTAGGTGCACTGTCGGATGGAAGCAGAAGAATATAGATTTCATTTAATTCCAGTTAATTTTATGTAAAGTTTACAGACTTACCCCCTCAGCAATGCTGGCCATTGCGAAGATCGTCGATGGGGAGACCTCCGAGTTGTTGGCCTGCAGCGAGGCCAGGAGCTCCTGGCTGGTAGTATTGAGACCCGGTTGAACATCAGAAAAGCGCTCTGTGTTGGCGGTCCATAGGACAATGACGGACTCGACCCCACTTCGCTGGCGGAATTCGCGAATGTCCTTCCTGATCTGCTCGTACTGCTCCAGGCGCGTTCCCCCAATCACATTGTCGGCGCGATCCGACTGATTGGCCGCAATGAAATCCGGGTCGTAGATGGATGGCCGCGGCTTAAGCAGAGCCAGCTGATCGTAGATCTGGTCCTGCAGAGCCACGTCCAGAACCTCGGCGCGGCGCATGGCGTCACCCAGATGCAGTCCGCTGATATCCCAGCCATCAACGATGATGTTGTCCGGCTCCACCATGGGCAGCAGCTCCTTCATCGGCACGTACACGTCCGCGCCGGTCTCATCGGATCCGATGAAAACCGTGGAGGCCTGGGTGATGGAGCCGAACCAGTTGGCCTGCTGCACGCCCGTCCGCTTGCGCCACTTCAGCTGCCGGCGGTTGGCTTCCAGGGCGGCGGTCAGTGTGGAGCCGTTGTTGCCGCCCCACCCCACCAGCATCACGCCCAGTTTGGGCACATGGCGGCCGGTCCGTATCTTCAGCGCCGTAGTCTGGGGGTGCACCTGCAAAGATCGCATAATCGATTAGCTAATTAACCGATTAGCCCTATGCGGCCATAGCATAGCACAACCCGTTTGGACTTATTATAGGTCCGGCGGTGCCTTATCTTTATTCCATATCGTGCCACCCAAGTCAGGTAGCCGTATAAATTATGATCGCGTGATTTCTACGAAGCGAACCTGATTTCAATAACCGTTGTCGAGAGCGGGGTGTTTGTGATCACAGGGGCTCTTGGCGACAGCCGGTGGATTTATAATTATATTTCACCAGATGTGTGGGATATCACATAAGGAGCGCAGTAATAATGTCAGCTTTACTCCCTAAAATGTTTATTTAATTATTTCAAACATCAATCGAGTTACTAAGTTACATTTTCAACACACTGTTTCGTTGTTTACATTCTGTGCGGGTGCCGACAGAGGCCTGGGGGAGAAATTAACTGCCATTGGCTTTGCTAAACTGACCCGCTTCTTAATACGTAATGGAAATATAAATTACTTATATTTAATATTCTCAAATATATTTAAATAAAATATGTATTTAATTAAATTCCCAAAACAAGAAATATGTGTATACAACTAACAGGTATCCAACAGTCTCATTTCCCATGCCTTCCTCTTAATGCCATATTTTAGCAGGTCTTGTCCGATTTCTGCCGAGTCAACGTGCTCTTTGATTGGAAGCAAAAATAAAAACTGATGAATAAGTAATGATGATAATGATGATGATGATTGCATTAATAATTTGACAACGTGCTTGTCCAAAGTCCGCCAGAAAGTTGGGCAAAAACAAGAAGAAGCCGCTTGCCGGCCGGCGAAATATGTAATCAGTGAGCTTGCAGCAGTGGAAAGCGCTCTCTTGGGCCCGCCACTTAAGAGAGCGGCGCTTCTCTTCGGGCACGGAACTCTCTTGGCGGCCATCGCCTGACATTGACCTTGAAGTGCAGCGGGAGTGGGCGTGTGTGATGTAAACAGAGCACGTACACCGACCGCAATCACCCAGATTGGATTTACTGGCCATCTCTATTTCGGCATTATTATATATTTCTGTTTGTTTAGGTGCCAGAAAAAGGCGCCTGCGCGCAGAATCACGCCACCCGCTGTCCGGGATAATGACGAGATATCACCAGTGTTTATCATCGTCAGCTGCTGTATCAGTACAGTGCGAGTAATCAATAAGCTGTAACTGTCACAGGCCATGTAACGGTGGACGCCAGTGGGTAAGGTAAACCGCAAAACACCGCCCACGCTTATCGCTATTTTTATCTGCAGCGAATTGGGGAGCGGCCCTATTGGCCCTATGGTATTTTCCCCCCATTTTGGCACAGCTGGAAAATTTATACCTGCCTACACTTGGGAGCTATTTTCAAAACTATTAAAATCTTTAGTTTTGATAACAAAAAATTAGCATTCCATTTTAGCTAGTTATATCAGAGTGCAGCTGGGCTGTTTATGTAAAAAAAGGGTAATAATTTTGTTAGCTGTTTAAGAGCAAATATAAATTGATTGTAGAAAGAACTTAGTACACTCAGGTTTTGTAAAAAATTACATTATTTTTAAACAAGAATTGAAGGATTCACATATTTATACTTCAATATGTAAGTCTTGAAATCATTGAAGTAAGAACCAAGAAAAGAACATTTTCATAATTATTTAAGAAACCTAGAGTGTAAAAAAAATTATCTAGTTATTTAAGGTATTTGTTTAAAACTAAAGGCTTTGTTAAAAAAAGAGTACTATTTAAGCTTTTACATGTCTGTACTCAAAGATTTTTGTATTGATAAAATTTTAATTAGAACCAAAAATTGAATTTATTGCAATAAGACACGTTGTTAGTAAATTAAAATAAAAAGTATTAGAAGAATTTTCTTAAAAATGGAAAAATTCTAAAAATATTTAACATTTCCAACTAACTTTTATTGGAACTTCTGGGTCCAGATTTCAGATAAGTTAATTGTATGCACGCTTTAAACGGTTCCCAATAGAGCGTGAATTATTATTCTGTCTCTCTTGTAAATATATCCACGATAATATTGATACTATTCTCTGAGTGTGGACAAGTGCGCATGGGTGTAGCAGGAGAGCATCTGCACACGCACACACATTGGAAAAGTTCAATGTGAAGGTCAGCCCCGGAACGTGAAAATGCGCTTTTGAAAGCCAAAACCCATGACTGATGATCGGAGATGCCGCCGCATGCAACCGGTGGTCGGGGGAGAGGCTCACCTGCAGCTGTCCAGATGAGGTACGCTTCACGTGCGACGTCTGGTACTCGTAGTCCGATGTGATGAAGTCATTTTCCACCCGCACCTTCGGGGAGACGACTTCCAGCGTGGAGGCATTGGTGGGCTTCATTTTCGGTTGGGTGTGGGATTTCCGCTTACTCTTCTCTCTCGGGGGAGCACTTTGTGTTTATCAATTAGCGCGTTTGATGTGCTTGTTTTACGAACTGAAAGCGCTCTGGTCGAAGCAAAAGTTCGCGGCGAATGACTCGCTTGGACTGGAAGCAGACCGCTTTTATAGATTCCCCAACAGCGAAAAGTTTTCTCTTACTCTTAATGCCATGCTCTCTCCCACACTCAGAACAAAAATCGAACCGAAAAGAACTATACATTTACAGATATAGAAAATCAAATCAACTTTTCTCTTACACGTATTCGAAATACCCTTCTGAACTTTAACCATTCCTACCATTTATATTAATAAATATTTTCCCAAATTTAAAGCAAGATTTTCGTTATAGCGATATTAGCTCCGAGTGCCCGAGCTTCGCAAGCACACTTAAGAGGGAACCAGAAGATATCGGAAATTTTCCGGCACGCGTGGGATTTCTCAATCAGCAAGGCGGAGTGGGAGTCCTGCTCTTCATCTTTCAGAGATCGCCGGGCAGGTGACCGCATTCAATTTACTTATTTCCATAATTAATTGAGTGACCAATTGAGTATAATTTCAAGGGAATAGTTTGGCTATGGAAAATTTTAAAGTTTTCTGGTAAACATTTTCGATCAATTCTGTTAATATTTCGTAAATAAATAAATGTATACAAAATATAGGACAGGGAATACTTTAACAACTTAAAAGTTAAAATTGTTTATATGTGAGTGAGAAATAGAATAAAGATGCTAGATACGTGAAAAATCCCAATTAACTTTGTTATATTGATAAAAAATAATAATAACTGAAAATGTGTTGTTTATCTCTTAAGCAGGCTTTATTTAGCCCTAAAGTGTTGCTACCGCTGATATGAGGTTTTATACAACATAAAGTAGGAAGACTTTTCGACCCATCATAAGTATAAATTCTCAAGCAGTCTTACCAGGCGAAACGATCTAGCACCTGTTTCGTTTAATCGGTATTTAGTATACGTTTAATATATTTATATGATAGTCAATTTACCAATGTTTTCAAAGAACGAAACATATTTTTTTTTATAAAAGTAAAGTTAATAAAGTAAAACTTTAAAGATATATAACAATTCTAATACAGCAGAAAAGCTGAAGATTCCAATATCTCTTCTATCCATATAAAAGAGGAAATGGAGGAATGAATCCACATTTTATTTGTCAAACGTTCTGAGAAATAACTTACATTTGTCCTTTACCACATTTATAATGATAACGCACATTTACATTTTTCATAAGAAGACATCGGGGGATATAAAATATTTCATCGCCCATATACAATAAATAAACTGAACCATAGAATCATCTGAAGCATCGGTAAAATCATGAACCATTGGGATGCTCGGAATCATTGCAAAATTATTCTTGGCTGGCCTCCTGAAAACACAGACAAGCGCTTTTGGCGAATTTTCTAGAATTAAGAATCCAGAAGCAAGCGAGGCTTCTTACAGAAAACTTTCCATTGCAGTCAATTGAAGGCGAAGTGCGAGCTCAAATTACTATTTGTTGACCAATCAATGCAGTGGGCCTGGCTTCAAGCGATCGAGAAATTTCTATGGGAAAACTTTTCCATTGGAGCATTAAGGCCGCCCAGCAGAAACACCAGACCAGGCAGGCAGCAGGCAGACAGGCACATGCTGCAGTGGGCGTCTCGTTTCCCTCACATGCAACCTTATCGTCAGCTCTAAGCTGGCACGTAGTTCCAGAAAATTTATAACGACCAAGTGTGCTCGGTATCAGTCCATATCCATTTCCTGCTGAGGACGAAGACTGAAAGTTGTATAACATAAATTTACTGTATGTATTTCTCAAGGCGACCTTGAACTCAAGTAGCGAACTTAGGGTATAATGACAAATAATAATTACATTGCTTACGAGTGCTATTTATGCCAAGATATTTGAAATTCAAATAACTGGCTAATACAATTTGTAATACAGATTCGTGCGTTTAGCCTATGTCTAAATTATGTACAATTATTATAAATTTTACTATAAATAGGAAGTAAGGAAATCACGGTGATCACAATCTGATAAGCACTACACTTCTTCGAACGAAGCAAAGGAATGTATAAGCATAAACACAATAAGCTTGAAATCAAAAAGAATGCATATAAATAAAATCAAACTAGTTGTCCAAGAACTCCCACTCGCTGGAGGTGTTAGAGTCACTAGTGGCCGGCGGGGTTTCTTTGCGCAAGGGGTCACCTGCCCTCCGAAAGTCGGGAAGGAAGCTACTGTACTCCGTTTCGTCCTCCACGATTAGGTTTGCCTTTGGCTGGCTATTGACAAACTTCAGTGGCGTCACCTTCGGCTTTAATAGCGGACAGGCCCGAATTCCATCCACCGGCTGGCCGGCATTATAGTCCGTGTCCGCTATGTGGTCATGTGTTTGTCGCCGTAAGGTGGTCTGAACACTAGCCTCTTCCAGTTGCGTGGTGGGATAGCACCGGATTAGTGATTCGTTTAGCTCGGGCGTCACCGCCTTGGCAGCAATTAGCTCCTCCTGGGTTAGTGGGACCAAGTGAACTTCGGGCAAGTTCAGTTCGGCGGCCAAGGACTTGGCCTTTTCCGCGACCGTCTTCTGCAGACTGCCCGGACTCAGAGCGTCGGGAAGGTGCTGTAGAAAGGCTGTCTTCATGTCCAGCGGCGAGGCTAGGCCATTGCTGCAAATCATCCAATTTTTATAAGTATGTAAAGGTTAGGGGATAAGAAGACTGTGTACTTCTCCATCTGGCAGTAGCTGGCTTCCATTAGTGTGGCGGCGTTTGTGAGTGGCACCCTATGCTCTTGCGTCTCATGGCCGATTTCCACTATGCCCGAACTACTACAGACCGGCGGCTCCTTTTCCACTGCTGTCTTTCTACTAGTGTGGACAATAAACTGGTCAAAGTCCATCTCGCCGATGCGGCGGAAAATATCCAAGCGACGGTTCTGCTGAGCCAACGGCGACTCGACGGCCAATTCTATTGGCACATTCAGGTCCAGTTGTTCCCCGGCCGGCAATTCGAAGCACTCCTCAGCGCCCTGTAGTACGGGCTCAGACTGCAGCTCCACTGGCGACTCGAGTTGCGCGTTTTGTGATGACGCTCCCATCACCGGAACAGGTGGCGGCATTAGTGGATTGAAGATCACCTTAGTCCTTTTGTTCGGCGGTTCGGGGAGTGGGGCCAAGCGTAACAGTGAGCGCTCGCCCTCCAGCACAAATATTTCCTTGTCATAGACACAAAAGTCAAGAATCTTTCGGAATCCACGAGCAACTGCTTCAACCTTGAGTTTGTCCAAGTTCAAAATGTACAGGGTGGCGTCGTCATGTGTCACCAAGAGTGAGTCGCAGCCATCGTACAGGTAGAGCTGTCGAAAGTTGCTGCTAGCCACGTAGCCCATTTCGCCATTTCCCGCTAGTGATGGCCCAGTCGGAGCTGTAGATGAAGTTACAGATGCGGCCAAGTTGTGGCTGCTGGACGGTTCGTGGAACTGCTTTGGGTTGAGAATGGGTATCTCCCAAGTTGGACTGCGCAACACGGCGTCTCTAAACAACACGGTCTTGGAGACGTTGCCAGCGATGTCAGCCACCCAGAAGCGTAGGCCAGGGCGACCGCAGACGAGCTGCATCCTGTTGTCCTGAGATTTTCTGAGAAACACAGCTCCACAGTCAATAAGCTGTTTCCGGTCCTTCTTGCCCACTTGCGTTATCGTCCACTGTGAGGTGCTAGCGTCGCGCTGGCATACAATGCAGCGATAGAGCGTGGCCACCAGCAGATGGCTCTGCAGCACGCTGAGCTGGACGATCTCGTATGCTTCGCTCAGGATCTCCACGGACTTGCTGAGGTGCTGTTTCATGGAATACATAGTAGTTTACGTTCTTCAGAAATTTTTTTTTAATCTGTTACTTACCGCCTGGTAATCGAACTCAGTAAGCACCACCACACCCTGGCGGTCGCCGGAGTAGAGCTTCATCCCGTTTTTTGACCACTCACAACAGCTGACCACGCACTTGTGGAGGTCCCTGATGGTGTAGCGCTCAATGGGCCTACTACGCGTACCCAAAACCAGGTCCAAGTCTCGAGGCAGCTCCTTCTGAATTTGGAAAATGCTCACCTGCCCGTTGGCGCACCCCGCCGCAACCATATATTCCACCGAGTTGACAATACGCACGCACGTTATTCGAGTGGCCACCTGTAAAGGAAGAGGGAGGGAAAAGCATACGCTTAATGGGGAAACCACACGCAAGAGTGCGAGGTGAGTACGAGGATGAGTCATTGTCATCGCTATCGCTTACCTCCGCCTTCAGTTTCTGCATTTCTCCCGACTGGCGGTTGTACCAAAAAACAATGCCCGCGTCACTGCCGATTGCCAGGAACTGTTCGGTGGCGTCAACGCAGGTCAGATTGAGATATGCGGGAAAGAACCCACGTTGCAGCTGGACCGGAATGTGATCAATGATGTCTGTCAGCGGAGCCCACTCCCGGATGGAGCACAACTCCTTGCTGGTGGCCATGGCGGAGCTGCTGGAAATTACGCCTTAGAAACCGAAGGATTAAGTCTCCGGCTTAAACAAAACCCTAAATAATAGAGGTGCAAAAACCTCGATGAATTCGAATTTTCTAAATCATCGATGTTTCTGTGCCGTCACTATTGAGAGAAAAAGCAAAGGAAAGAGCAGTTTTTTTTATTTTTGAATTATTATGTATTATTAAATATAATATTAAAACTGAAACAAAGTTTATCTGACCGCATGCACAAAAATCTGAATTTTTTAATAATGTTTTAGACTTTTAAAAGAAATGAAATCAGTTTTCTAAATTTATTTTAAGAGGACAAGAGAATAATTTTGTTGTTTTTTTATTTTAATACAACCCGTTTCTTTTACTGTAGTGACACGATCCAACTAACTATCTAAGTAATTTCAGTATATGTATACAAATTGGTTTAAAAAAAACCAAAGCTTTAAGCAGAACTGTCAGACTACAAATGTTTTAAGGAATATAACGATACAATTCCTATAAGAGTATACATATTAATATATAAAGAGTATATTATATTATATTATATTTTAATAAACTTATACAGGACAGTGTTAATAAAGTAAAACTTATCAATAACATTTAAAAAAAAAAAACATTTTTTAAATTAATCTTTAAGACTTTTATGTTCTCAGTTATTAGTTTTCTGAGTTTATTTAACGAGGCCAACTGACTAAATATTTTGTTTTTTAATTTTATTACAACCCGTTTCTACTACGGTAGTGACCCAATCCACGTAACTATTTAAGTTATTTAATTATATATAAATAAATTGTTTTTTAGAAAACAAAGCTTTAAGGCAAAAATGTCAGAAAACAAATGTTTGAAGGAATATTACAATACTATTCCTATAAGAGTTTATAATCAATTAAGCTTATTTTTTAACTTGTATTAATGTTCTAATTGAAAAATACTTTTCTATTACAAAGTTAATCCTAGTGGATGTCGTTTTGGATTTAAATCGGGTTTATTCTTATTTATTAATTATCTAGTCTATATTTTTAAATATGCTTATAAGAATAATAATGTAAACATTTAAAAATAATTTATAAATTTTTAAGAACGATACCAAGATGAAAAACTATAATAGATGCTCCTGGGAAACGGGCTTCTTTAAGTTCATCAATCATGTGCATCTGAACATAACAATTATTTTTTAAAACAACTACTTTCGTCTTATGGCAACGCTTGCCTGGGCCATCTGTTTTTTTGGAATGCTTTCCAACACTACTTTAACGGCGTTTACTAACACGGTGATTTAATCTCTGAAAAAAGTTTTGTCTCCCAAATATCCTGCCAAATTACCTCAAAAACTGCGGATTCCGAGCACCAAATGGGCTGCGAGTGACTATTAGAGGACACCAAGAGCCCCGGAGACACTCAGCACCACCACCTTCTTCTACCCATCAGCAGTAGCGCGGTGTAGATAAAGCAGCTGCCGTGGGGTAAAGTTCACAAAACGTTACTTGTCTGGAGTTAGTCAGAATTTGTCGTTATGGTTGACAACAATAACCTGCGCAGTGCTGTGATCAGCGAGGCGCCACTGGTTCCGCCCTCGAGCAGTTTTGGACCGGGGCCGTCCAGTGGCTTGGGTCCACCGGAGGCTGTTCTGCGTACTCCATACGGCAATGTTAGGGCACTGCCAAGTACAGCACAGCCGCCCCCCCTGCCCCAGTCCCCGTTCCAGCAGACACAGCAGTACGGATTCGGCGGGGGATACGGCGGCAACAGTTACGGCCTCGGGGGCGGCTTTGGGGGCTTCAACAGTGGCGCTTTCGGATACGGGGGATTGGGAGGTGGTTTCGGGAGTGCCTACGGTTATGGTGGTGGCTACGGCGGGGGCTTTGGCACTGGATACAGCCGATTCGGAGCGCTGGGGGCCAACGACCCTGAGCAGCGGTTTATTCAGATGGCCGAGGCCAGCTCTCGGCCGGCATTCCAGAGCATCGAATCGCTGGTATCGGCGATTGGAAACATTGCCTCCATGCTAGACTCGACGTTCTTCGCCCTGACCAGCTCTTTCCGAGCAATTCTAGGAGTGGCGGCGAACTTTGGACGTCTGCGAAGTGTGTTTGCACAGTTCTGGACGACTTTTGCGATCTTTAGGGGTCTGAACTGGATCTACAGAAAGTGAGTTATGCAGGCTATTGATGAAAATGTGTACTATTGATACAATTTCCTTTTAGGATTCTCTTCTGGCTACGCCTGTCGAATCTTGATCCTTCATCTGCTGCTTTCAAGAAAGCCTTTGCGGAAGCCCTAAACGAGAACAATACCCAAGCAGGAGGAGCGCCTCAAGCCCCGCGAAAGGGTACTTCACCCTGGCCGGTGCTGGCCTTTCTCAGTTTCATCTTCACTGCGCCTTACCTAATTATGAAGCTGCTGGGCACCGTGACGAACACCGCCCAGGAGGAAGGTAGGCATCAAGCACATTGCAAAGTTCAATTTATCTAATCGAGAGAGCACTTTGCTCCGGCCATGTGCTATAATCTGAACGATAAGGCCCGCAAACTGTTAAGATAAGCCCGCAAATAATGTATTTACTTTTGTTACCGTAGCCCGTAATCCGGCCAAGTGGACGACACCGATTCAAACTCAAGCTGTTTACGATTTCGTGGGACGCAGCCAGAGCGAGCTATCGCTGCGCGCCGGCCAGCCGCTTCAGGTGGCCCCCCGCGATATCCAGCAAACCCTTAACCTGCTCAATACCGGCTGGGCTCTGGCCACTATAGATGGTCGAACCTCTGGCATTATTCCCATCAACTATGTAAAGTCACCTCAGCAAATGCGACAGGAGATCCAAGAGCAAATGAAACCCGCACAGCCTCAGCCACAGCCAGAGCTGATGGATTTGTCTGCGGGGGCCTTCGCGCCGCCGCCGTTGGAGCAGCAAATGAACTACGATTTCAACTTGGCCGCACAGCAGGAAGGTCCGCCATCCACAACAGCAGCGGCCTTCGAAGAGGGCTTCGCCTGAGCTCTGGTCAACTCTCGTGAAAATTACCTCTAAGTTTAGTTTTGTTTTGGTGTTCAGCTTTTGTATACGCACCTCCATATGTTTTAAGATAGCTTTTCGCCCTTTGTACATTTCCATTTAGTTGTTACCGTCAATTACTCAACTAAGTAAACATCCTAGAAACCATGTAGCATTTTTTTTGTTTGTTTTTTAGCCTATAGTCAATTTTTTAGCTTCAAAGGTACTTCTGTGGAAAGAGGGAAATACGGTGCATTGCTTGGTTTATCATATTTTACAATATGCAACTCACTTTATTAACTCTTTACTCGAATCGGTTTCATCTCTGCCGTTTGTTATTTCCTTTTCATCAATATGCATTATTTATTTCGATTTATTACACAACTACATGCTCTCGACACTTACTCGTTAACGCCTTCTACTTTGACTTTCTACTAATTTGTATTTGTATTTGTATGCTTTGTATTCACTTGAAGAGAGTTCGATAATATAAATACAAATTCAGAAAATGTGTATATCGCTTTTTAAATGTTATTACTAATTTTAGGTAGGTTGATTATTTTGCAATTATCTGTTCTCCATTGTCAACTTAAAATCATGGTGAAACGTCATTCGTTCGTTCATCGAGGGACTATTAATTTAAGCAAATGAAACATATTTCATATGTTTGATCTTGTCTGCAGTTAAAACTGCGAGTGGCCTTTCGAAAATAATTGCATTTCTTTACTGTTGTGTGTGTACAATTTTGGTATATAATATATGTATAATTAAGAGACAATTACCACCCGTAACATAATCGCGGTCACTTAGGCCTACCCAAACATGAAAAGGCAAGGTGGGGTAGGAGCTGGGAGACTCATAACAACTAATAAGAGAAAGAACATTTGCCTGGGCCAATTAATTGAATATGTAAATTGTTTGAACTAAAATACGGAGTTCCTGCTTAACTAGACAAATTATTTTAAAAACGTTTTGAGCTTAAACATAAATCTTCAATGATACAATTAAAAACTGTGTATGCAGATTACATGTACACGCACATACATGGACCACTGATTCTGGCTCTTCATAATTTAAAAGTCTCTCATTGAGAAAGTAAGCAGAACCAAATGTGTGGCAGGGTGGAGTGGAGTGAATCACCTAGCCAGGGGCAAACTTAGCGTGGCAGACCCAACAATGCGTTGATAAACGTAAAACTAAATGTATCCTCCGCATCTGCAACTCCTCCATCCGCGTCCGCATCGGCCATAAAAGATGGCACAATGCCGGCGGCCCCGTCAGCTCAATCAATGTCGTCCTCAAGCTCATCATCATCCAACTCCAGCTTGAACTCGCCATCGGTGGTGGTGTGCTGTGCCGAGTGCTGTGCAAAGCCTTGGGATTCATTGGTAGTCTCCAGGTACCCGTTAAACTCATTATCCTCGTCGTCCGAATCGTACATGGTTTCCACTGTCTTACCAGTGCCGTACGCTGAAACACAAGTAGATTGGGCATAGATAACGCAAAATTATCTTAGAAGTCTATTAGCTTCCTACCTTCTACGTATTTGCCAAGATTTGGCGGCACCCAGGACTTGACTCGTTCAATGTTCTCCGGCGTGCACTCTCCCTTATCCAGCCCTACAGGAATTACAAGTTATAAAAGTTAATCCCCAATCGAAATGATTATCTTGGAAGGTGCACTTACCCAATAGAAGGCCCATACGCTTAAGGACCTCAATATCATCGTGCATTTCGAAGGTCTTGTCAAACTTGAAAATGTATTCGGACCTGAAACACGAGGCAAAAGAACATCAGAGACAAGATTAATAATGAATTGGTATTAGAAGACAGAAGACTAACTTGTCGTTGGTTACACTGCAGTTGATTTTGGTGGACTTGTGCGTGTTCACGATTATGAACGGCAGCTGAATCGAGGCATTTGGAGAAGGCACCACGCCCTGGCTTTCGTTACGCTTATTTCGCTCAACCAAGCCTTTGAATGCCACATGTTGCATGACCATTTCTCGCAGCATCTCGTGCTTTTGCTTTATTCGCTCGCGACGGCGGCAATTCTCCTCTTCCACGGCCAGAACTTGCTATTGAAATGGATTAACATTAGCGCTGGTACGGTGGGTGGTAGATCGAAAAGAATGTACCTCGGCTGAATTGGCGGGAAGGCCTATCCAGCGAATCTCCTTTTTATCCTTGGAGATAACATTGATTGCCATCAGTACGTTGAGAGCATCGTAGACACGACGTCGGATATTCTTTTGATCACAGTTGTTGTCGTACGCATTGTTCTTCATCTCCTCGCTGACCAGATCGTCGGCCACCTCATTATATGTGGTCTTTCCCTTTTCCTCCACCTTCTCGCAGACCTTCATCGAGAAGTGCCGCAGGCCCTTTCCGGCCTTGTCCGGCTTGCGTTTCCTTTGGACTGACGACGACGAGCCGGACAGGGAGTGCAGGGAGTTGCTCTGAATGGCATGGCTAATAGAGGGAAACAATTAGCTTCTGTAACCTGCCATCCCCTGTTTAGAACTTACAGTTTTGATTTTATTTTCATAGGATTGTTTGGCGTATACTTCACATAGCGATCCCCTTTTATCTGAAAAGAAGAGGTGTCAGTTGCGCCCAGAGAATGCGGACTCTGTGACCAACTTACCACGTCGTACATGTTGCCGCTGCCTCCGCCTGCACTTTTCTGCGCCACCACAGTCGTGTACGAAGTATCTGCAAAACGGACCGATCGACAGGTTATTAAAGGCGTGCGCCCAGCGCTTAGGGGTTCTATTTCTTACTTTCTGTTTTTGGAATGGCCAGTCCGTTGTCCTGCAGCCGTATGAATTGTCCCTGAGTGCCAGAGCCCTGCGTATTAACAAATAATTTGTTGTGGTTAGTTCGGCCAAGGGAACACCCTATCGAAGCTCACCATCTGACTGAAGGCGCCCATGCGTCCCACGTTGCCGATGCCGCTGCCAGTTGCACTACCATTTCCGCTGTTACGCGCCGATGTAGTGTACACGATGGCGGACTTGCCGCCCTCCATCTCGGACTTCAGTTGTGCCGGTTTGAGCATCTTGGCGATTTGTCCTGCGGGAGGAGATGCGAGATTCGTACGCCTGAGTTTCGGATACACACATAACACGCGGCTGAGTTGCTTCTTTGATAACGCAACTGCACGTATGTATTCTCACAGATACAAATGCGGCAGTGTGTGCGGTGGTACTATCAACGATGCGTTGTGTTCGACGCGCGGCGAGCGAAAAGAATAGAGCGAACGAAGCGACGAAACAAACGAATCGAGTAGAGCGCGCTACTGGAGGCGAATGCAGCTACAACACCAGCGGCCATACAACGCCATCCATCTTTGCGGTGGAACATTAGGGGTGCATACATCTACGCGTACCCACTCACATACACAGCGGCGACGTGTGTGTACACACGATGGTGGGACAAGGATAAAGATGCAGAAACAGAAGCAGAAACAGAAACAACCCGAAACCAGATCGCCTGGCCATAGAGATGAGCAGCACGTGACCGAAAGTGAACCCTATCAAACTAGTGGTGGGTCGATACAAGTTCGTGACTAGGGACGATACCTGGTCAGTCACTGGTTGTTGCTTCCAATTGATTGCTAAGAACCGGAGCTGATATACCGATCAGTTTTAATTTCCACACCAACAGACATTACCCGAAAGGACATTATAGGAAATGTTTTTCGAACAAAATAACTTTAAGGAGCAGTAAATGATCACCACTGATGATAATTTTACTCACTATAAGCGGTAATGGTTTAAGTACTCTTATGTATTATGTATTTATTATTGATGCACTTGGTATTTGTAAATTGTTATTAAAATTATAAAAAATATATGTTTTTAAGCATAGAAATTCGATATCTTGTTATACATCAATAAAATACTTTATTCAAGTCAATCATGAAAGTGAAATAATTATTTATAAAAATAATTTAAAATCCTAATAACAATACTTAAATTATATTGTGTTTTGTACTAGGGATATAAATTACCATATCGTGAAGATGTAAACAATACAAAATATGTATTGTGAATTCGTGAATCGTCGCACGATGGCAGCCCTGGAATTCATAGCCATGTAACCGGCTTTTTTCTAAGCATTTCAAGTTTTACAGCTTGCTTCGATGGGATAATTATTCACCTGTCGCCGCCCGATATTTGCATAATCATAACAACAAACAAAGCAAGTGGACGAAGAAGAATCGCGATGAGGAGGAGTTCAAAACAAAAACAGCAAAGGGTCGAAGAATACTAAAAATATCTGCCAACTCCCTCAATTTGCCCCGCCACACACCTGCGAATGACTCACGGAGGCTTAACCAATGTGGAATACAAGTGTTCCTCCGGGCGGAGGGTCCTGGGAGCCTTGCACTCGACTGCACAGTGTCCCACAACGTTCAAAGGGAACAAATAATCCTCGATAGAGGCAATACCATAGTTGTTCGGCCATACGAAACAACCAGTTAACCACCAACCGGCCCGAAACGAAACTACGTTTATGCGTGCCACAAATTCGTAAACAAATAATAACAAAAGTAACTGGATAATCAAGACAAAAAAGAAAACAAACAGTGGGTGGTTGTGGAAACTTATTCACCTATTAAGCAGGGCTACATTTGATACTGTTATTTCATATGCTTACAAAATACGTGAACATAAGAAAATAAGGTCCTATAAAAATACTTTTCAAATTTTTAACCCATAAAATGGCGAACTGCTACATAATAATAATAACGATAACTGCTACACCTGATAAAGAAATCTTCGATCTAAAAAACTCTAAGCTGTAGTGTGGGCGGTTTATTGGTTATTACTTTTTGCAACAATTGTCGCATAAACGCGGCAACCTACAAACACACACGTGTACAAAGTCGCTTACACATGTTTGGCGTTCGCCTGTTTTGGGCCTCAGCTTCGTTGACGTGTGTTTGTGTGGAATTGTTGTTCTTGCTTTGGCTATTTTCTCTCTGTACCTCGAGCCCGACTCGCGCGCTCTCCACTAACCGCCACGGGGGGACACATGACAGAATATAACGCCTTTCCGCCGAATCTATGGCTGGAACTGCCCAAATCTCTTAGGCGGCCTGCGAGAAATGCGAAATCCTCACCCCGAATATGCAGCAGCTAAGCGGAATAATCAGCTGTTGGACGCCCGATAAAATGTGGGAGAAACGCTTCGGTGTGTGTATTTGTGTGCGGGTAAGAGTGTGTGTGTGTGTGTGAGCGCGCCAACTGGGCGATGGGCGGCGAATGGAATATGGTGGTGGAATAGGGGGGGTGGTGGCAAACCGATTTTAGTTGTTATTTTGCGGGGTCTCCGCCTTTTATTATTACTTTTTGCCAATTTCTAGCACTGTGGCACCGCTCTGCGCGCCCCGGCTCGTCTCGTTGGCCCCCAAAACGTATCAAACGATGAATATTGTAGTCAAAAGAAACCCGAAAAAGAAAAGATGGCGTTTACGCTGCCCATGCAACTTTGTAGTATCGCACCCGCCTCCATCCGTGCGTGTGTGCGTGTCACCGAGCGCGCGGGTGTGTGTGTGTGTATGTGAGCGATAGCGCACACACCAACGCAAGGCCAGTTCACTTATCCTTACGGAAGATGGAGGGAGTTCCTCCAGTTCCGCCCACTTACCGTGTTCGTCCCGGAAGAAGAAGTTCACCTCGTCCGCCTTTACTACACCGCTCGCGGAGGTGTGCGCCATCTTTGCAGTACCAACAGCCGCAACAGCAGTTGTTCTCCCCCGCTTCCTTTTGTTGTTATCGCTGCCGCTCAGGTAGGCAGGTGCAGGCTCCCGTAAGGCTTACCGCTGGGCAGCCAAATGGAAGGTTCGGGCACGTAGAGCAACGTGTATAGATAGGTTTGGGTGGGGGAGCGGGCGAGTGACGTACTGCACCCACGGGCTGGCACGTGTGCAAATCCGGATCTGATCGGGTCGGATCCGGACCACAAACACACTCCGCACAAGTTGCAAACTCGCTGTTGTTCGAGTCAAAATGGCGAGCGCATTTTTGTTCACTTCCAGAGCATTTTTTCTGGTCACACACACACAGCGGCGGCCGCAAAATCGCCGCGGAGCCTCTTTTTCGGTCACTTTTTCGCGAACTTGGCGTAGTTCGATTTTTACCACCTTGGGTGCAAAAGACTCGCCGGACTCGTCGCTTTCAAACGCGGTATTGGATCACGGATTTAACAAACTTGGAGGCACAGCACGATGGACACAAAATTTCCATCAAGTCGTTGCTTTTCGTTTTCATGTGGGAAAGGCTAAGCAGGCTGTGTGCGGGTGCGAATGAAATGGCAGACAGTGCGCGCCAATTTACGCATCAATCGCTAGAGCTGGCTGGGCCAGTTACGATGGTATCGATACATCGAATTGGCCGATCGATGACAGATTTAAAAATGCAGATAAGGTTTTCACATATTTCAAATAGAGCGCCGTTCACAGAGAGCAAAGATTTCACTTGCTATGCTAAAGATCCGCGAGCTTCATAATTGTCAAGTTAAAAAGAGTTCTTAATGCGAAAATTAAACATGGTAAGACAGAAACCAATGACATTGAAAATATTTGGCTTCAATATATCGAAAATTTACCAGCTCTAATTTACACATTATTTATATCAGTGTTGCAGGCAGCTGATAGCCAGCGGCCATATACAGCACTGGCAGCAAATGTAAACAAAGTTGCCACTGCGCATCTCCGCGATATTTTCATGGCAGCCCAACACTATCACACTGCGGAGCCAACAAAAAGATTTACCCCGATATTGGCGTTGAAAAATGATAAAGCAGGGCTCAAACGACCAGCCGAGCAGAGATCCCTCCGGATTTTAACGAGACCGCCCCCATCCATTCAGCTCTCAGCTCCCGCGGAGGAGCAGCCGCAGCCACAGAATGGTAGATCCGGTGGCAGCACTGTGCAACTACAATGTCCTGGAAGTGATTTTTTCCTACCTGGAACTGGACGACCTAAGTAAATGCTCGCAGGTGTGCAAGAGCTGGTACCACTTTCTGAACGACGAGATCAGCGATGTGTGGCGATGGCACTGCCTGAACAAGCTGCCCAAGGAGGCGCTCAAGTCAGACTTGTTGGCCTCCCTCTCTACCTACAAGACGAAGCTCAGGGCCTATTTCCACGCTTGGAGTCCGAACGACTGTTCGCGCAACGTGTACATAAAGCCAAATGGATTCACCCTGCATCGGTAAGGCAGAACGCCGGTGTCCATCCGTCTGCGCGCTCGAAATCTAACAATTGGTTTATTCTGTCCGTCAGCAATCCCGTTGCTCAGAGCACAGATGCGGCCCGCGGCAAAATCGGATTCAAGCACGGACGCCACGCGTGGGAGGTTATTTGGGAAGGACCATTGGGCACCGTGGCGGTCATAGGCATATCCACGAAAGAGGCGGCCCTACAGTGCCACGGCTACGTAGCCTTGCTGGGCTCAGACGAGCAGAGTTGGGGCTGGAACCTGGTCGAGAACCACCTGTTGCACAACGGCGACATGCAGGGCAGCTACCCGCTTCTGAACAACGCCCCCAAATACCAGGTCGGCGAGAGGATACGCGTCATACTCGACTGTGATGATAATACACTGTCCTTCGAGAAGAACTACGAGTTTCTGGGCGTGGCCTTCAGGGGTACGATCTGATCTGAAAAGTCCCGGCCTTTATACATTATCTTTTGCTGTTCTTCTTTTAGGGCTGCCGGACAAGAAGCTCTATCCCACAGTATCTGCTGTCTATGGCAACACCGAGGTGTCAATGGTCTACCTGGGCACTCCGTTGGATGGATAGTTCTGGCAGGGATGAACACAGATGCAGCCTTACCGCGTACAATTTGTTTAAAAAACTCAATGGGTCAAACTAGTTTTATGTGTACATTTGTATTTATCTTGATTACGTTTGCTTCATTCCACCTGCAACTCAGTTCGATATTTTAAATTTAGTTAATAGTTTGAGATTGTACAAAATTTTGCATTTCTTTGTTTTAACGCCACGCCAAAGTTTAAGTCCAATTCCGCACTATCTTCACCTGGCAATTTACGTTAGTTATATAAACCAAATGAATAAATTATAGCGATTAATCAATAATTGAATCGTGTTTTAATACATATATCGCGTAAGATTGCGCAGAAAGAAGTGCAACTTCTGGTGCACTAAACCCTATTACTTCGCAATGTCCGCGGAGCTCTTAATCTTGGCCCAGTTGTCTTCATCAAACAGATCATCGAAGTCATTATAGAAGTCGGCGTGGACATGCTTATCGTTAGCTGGGAGATGATCCATCATCATTCCCGTAGCACCTCCAGACTAGAAGGACGAACGTTTGTGCATTTTATCATTCACTATTTTCAACAAAATTCTTGCGTGGAAGCTTACCTCGTCCATTTCCATGTAGCCAGGCCCTTCAGAAAACATTTCGTCGGCAGCCAGAGAAGGTTTCATGTTTAGGTCCATAATAAGCTCCTTTTAAATGTATTTCTTATTTGATTTTACACTTTTGTTTGACAAATTTTTCAGTCACTTTGACTGAGTTGCCACTGCGGAGTATGTGCGTCATCTGGCAGCACTGTCAGCCAGCTGATTCCGGCTAGCGATTGGAATAAGTAAATATTTTTATAATCCTTGACGAGATGGTGCGTGTTGGCCTGCAGATCTCCGCCACACTGGAGAATATAGATAAGCTGGAGACCAGCCACCCCGACTACCCCTTCTTTGTGAAGCTCACGTGTACCAACTGCGGAGATAAGTCGGACAAGTGGCATGACATCACCGAGTCGGAGCGCGTGGACAGGACAGGACAGACACGCAATGCAGCCGGTTCCAATTTCGTTATGAAGTGCAAGATGTGTGGGCGCGAGAATAGCATTGACATCGTGGAAAAGTCAAATGGTAAGGGGTTAGTCTGGGGGCCGGTTTTGAAATGGTTAATCCCGATCCTTCCTCCACAGTCGCCTATACTGCCGACGATGCCGGTCACTTCAAGACCATAGTCGTCTTTGACTGCCGGGGCGTGGAGCCGGTGGAGTTCTCGCCCCGAGCTGGATGGCGCGTCTCCTCATCAGAGAATGGTCAGTCCTTTGAGGATGTCGACCTGTCTGATGACGATTGGGTGGATTACGACCAGAAGAATAATAACTCTGTGGGCGTCTATGAGTTCGCATCAAAGTTTATCAAGCTTAAGAAGTGATATGCACAGGAGGTTTCTCGGTGGTTTCTATAAGAGTGTAAATTCTGATATCTACTATGCCCAAAACGAGCGATGTAATTACTTTATATCAAACACAATATGATTATATTGAACATAGCCAGGAATCGGTTATGGATAATACCGATTTTTTAAACTAAAACTTTTTAAAGGCTTTTGGGAACCACAATATTGGACATATCCATATACAGTCGAATCCCGATAATTCGTACCCCGCTAAATCGAAAATCGCGATAATTCGTAAAAAATTCTGTCCCCTTGAAAAAAACTCGTTAATTCGTAAAATTCCATACATTTTGGTCCCCTCGTTAATTCGTAGTATTAGGCGCAACGCAAAGAATATTGAACCTCTTATAAATCGTAATTTTGTTTCGAAACGTCTTATAAATCGTAATGCGATGCGAAATATTTTGTTAGATTTTGCAGAAATCAGAACGGAGAAGAAATTTTATAGAATTTACAAACCAGAGCATTAATTCCTCAACTTAAACATTATTTTTCGACTCATGATGTGCCAAATAGTGTGTTTGACAACCTAATAGGTTTAGAAAACGCAATGGAAAAAATAAAAGAAAAAACACGAAGCAATCAAAATTACCAATTATTTTAAAGCTTGAATTTTCGTTTTTAATAATTTAATGTTTCTGCTTAATTTTGTTTGTTAATTTTTTGTTTAATTTTCCTTTAATTTGAAAAACGTAAAAATGAATGTACATATTTATTATGTTTGTTTAATTTTAATTAAGCTAAATACATATGTAAACATGATGTGAAATGTAAAAACCCCGTTTATTCGACTCTTTCATTTTTGAGCCCCTTTAAATAGAAATCTCGATAAATCGAATTCCCGTCTAATTCGTAAAAAAGTGATCCCCTTGCCATTTCGAATTATCGGGACTCGACTGTAATTGATTTAATTATATGTGGAAGGAATAATTGATGTACTTTCGAACCGCAAAGATATGCCCATTCCATCGTATTCTTAATATGCCGGCTTAATGAGATTTTGTGTCCAAAATTGACAGTGATCTATAATAAGAAAATTTATACATTTGCTGTAGAAATTTATATGTATACTTTATAAGATCAGAGAGGCCTTTTCTGTAGGAAAGCCTGTGGTCTAAATGGCATAATGTTCTCAATACGGTTATATGCTACTAAAAAATCGTAAACATTATCTGATGACTTTTTCTCTCTTATTGTGGGCACAGTGAGAGAAAGTAGCGAGCCGACTCGCTCTTTTGTTAAATGTTTTTTCTTTGCAATTGTATTGATTTTAATGCCGGCAAGCTACTTTGATTTTAGATTGAGCACGAAAGATAGCCTTCTCGCAATTGTTTTTGCCTCTCTGTGTGCGTTTGCATGATGATAATTTTCAAGACATTTTAGTATTTCGCCAGACGTTGGCGGGCGTACTCGGCGATAGAACGCGATCCGGATCCATTTTCTGGACACAAACAATAGTAAAGCGTCTGTCACGCTTTGCTCAATAATTGGTGAATAATTACTTTGGAAGCACCTGTCAAGTGTTTGGTATGCCGTCTCCGGCAGTTACACGTAATAGTTGTCGAACAGGCAGTTTAATGGCATTACTTCTATGGATCGTTCAAAATCCGCTGTGATTAGATAACGGGAGCACGGTTATCTGGACACCGGCCCAGTGTATTATAGCAGAAATCCCAACGGAATAAAAGATTTTGCCGTGCACCTGACCTTTGTCAGCTAACGTGACCCCCTTCCCCTTGGCCCTGAAACCCGAGCCGGATTACCGGCTGGCGACTCCCACAATTTTCACTTCATCATCCAATATGCATATTTTTCAAGGCTGGCACGCACCCGATATTGTATTACTAGGTAAATATGTATACTGACGACACATTGTAGACCCATATGTATTCCGATTGCAATACTCTTCCGTTATAAGGATTGTGGCATGCAACAATTTATCTCAATTGACAAAGATTGGTTTGCATGACTGCATGTATAAACATAACTATATTAATTAGTATTCAAGTCTATCTATCATTCCTAAAAGCAATTAATAGTTGCGAACCGTTGAAGTGGGTTTTGAAATACTTTTTTACAAAAATGTATTCTTAGTTTCTGATAAATGTCATTCCCAGGATAGCTTTTCCAATGCAATGCCTGTTTGTTTAGGAAAGAATATTATTTTATTGAGAAGAAAATTTGTACATATGTATGTATATACTTTTCTGGGTTTGATTTTGTATAATTTAAAGTAAGCACGAACAAGAAATAAATTTGGATCAACATAAAGTTTGTTCAATTGTCTCGGTGATTTTGTAGCTGAAATATTAATTCTATTTATGTTCGCTTTTTTATATACATTTGTATGTATCTGTAGAATATTAAACAGTGCCGGAGAACATAAATTCCCATAAGGTACAGAGAAACATCACCTGATAATTTGACATTCATTGTATAATAACTTTAAAGTTTATCATTTGATTGTACGTATTGTTTGAATTTATAACATTTTAATTTACTTTTGAGACAGTTTAGGGTATATTAGCAGTTTGTTAGAAATGTGTAATGAACGTAATTTTAAAACAAATTCGATTGTTGTAGCTTTAGCTAACATTAGTCTTGATATATGTATGTACATATATAGTTCCGTAAGTTCAGATGGACATCGACTCGCTTGGAAAAGGTTGCTGAAAAATATATCAATCAAAAAATATATTTTTTGTGTTATGTACAAGATTTAAACTTTAATCTTTATTTATTCACATGTTAAATATAAAAGCTACATACATATGTATTTATACCCTTGCAGGGTATTGTAATTTCAGTCGGAAGTTTACAACGCATTGAAGAAGTCAGCTCCGACCATATAAAATACATATATTCTTGATCAGCATCAACAGCCGAGTCGATCTAGCCATGTCCGTCTGTCCGTTTCTTCGCAAACTAGTCTTTCAGCTTTGAAGCAACCTGAACGAAACTTTGTAGTAAGACTTCAGTATATTCTCACTCGTATATACATATGTCGGAACGGGCCAGATCGGACGACTATATCATATAGCTGCCATAGGAATGATCGGAGAATTTTTACAAAAACAAATTAAAACATTTTAAGTTTTAAACAGAATTTAAAAACATTTCAGATATAGCCAATTCATAATATTCTACAATTTTATGAAAAGCCAACAACTATATCATATAGCTGCCAGAGGAAAAATATAAAAAATATAACCTTTTCAGTTTTCAACAGGTTTTTATTAATTTTGAGATAAAGCCCTTTTTATTATTCCAGAATTTGGATTTTAGTTTTATGAAAATCGGACGAATAAATAATACAGCTGCCATACAAACGTTCATTAAATATAGAGGAAAATGCAAAACCGTGAATGTTGAACTGAAACAAGAAAGGAAGCTAACTTCGGACTCCGAAGTTTATATACCCTTGCAGTTAGAACTTCGATGACTAGGAATCCATACAATATAAATTATATATATTTATGTTAAAAAACAATGAAGTAACACCTGCTTTCATTTCATTCACCTATACATATTATATTTTCAGTTTTACATTCACAGATTTGCATTTTTGCTCCACATCTAACGATCGTTTGTATGGCACCTATGTGATATAGTCGTTAGATTTTCATAAAATTTGACACAAAATTTAAGACTGATATAAAATGGCTATATCTCAAATTTAATAAAAAAACTGCTGAAAACTGAAAACGTTATAATTTTTAATTATATTCATTTCTTGATCGTTCCTATGGCAGCTATGTGATATAGTAGTCAGGTTTTTTTAGAACAATACAAAAAATATAGTTTAAAATAAAATGGCTATATCTCATATTTGATGAAAATTTGGTGAAAACTGAAGAAGTTATAATTTTTAATTGTATTAATTTATCGATCCTTCCTATGGGAGCCATACGATATATTAGTTCGATTTTCATAAAATTTTACACAAAATTGTAGAATAATATGAAACGGCTATATCTCAAATTTGATGAAAATCTTTTGAAAACTGAAAGTGTTATACTTTTTAATTGAATTATTTTCTCGATCGTTCCTATGGGAGCTATACGATATAGTCGTCCAATTTTCATAAAATTTTACACAAAATTGTAGAATAATATGAAATGGCTATATTTCAAATTTGATCAAATTCTGTTGAAAACTAAAAATGTTTAAATTTTTTTGTAAAAATTTTCCGATCACTCCTATGGCAGCTATATGATATAGTCGTCCGATCCGGCCCGTTCCGACATATATACGAGTAAGAGTATATAGAAGACCAACTGCAAAGTTTCATTTAGATAGCTTCAAAACTGAGAGACAAGTTTGCGTAGAAACGGACAGACGGACATGGCTAGATCGACTCGGCTGTTGATCCTGGTCAATATACTTTACTATATATACTATATACTTTATATAGTCGGAGGTGCCTCCTTCACTGCGTTGCAAACTTCTGACTGAAATTATAATACCCTGCAAGGGTATAAATATATGTATAGGTGAATGAAATGAAAGCAGGAATTACTTCATTGTTTTTTAACATAAATATATAAGGGTATATAAACTTCGGCGTGCCGAAGTTAGCTTCCTTTCTGGTTTGAACATGAAATTATTGCAGGAATCGTGATTTTTGTCGCCAAAATGAATATTTTCATATAATAAAAAAACATATTCTACTATATTTTAGGAGTTCTATGTTTTTAGGACATTTCAACTATTTTCCAAATTGCAGGCCAATGAATGTATTTCAATACATAAGCTTATTTTATTTTGTGCGACCCTGAACTTGAATCTTTTCGGGTTCCCCATTACAAACCACCGTCACCATGTCAGCTCCAGGACCTGGATATCCCGACTTTGATGATATACTCGGTCAAATTGGAGAGTTTGGCCGATTCCAGCGACGAAACTATTTACTCATCTGCCTCCCGGTTTTGTTCGCTGCGGCCAATAGTCTGTCGTATGTTTTCACGGCGGGATCTCCCACCTATCGATGCCAAGTTCCCGGCTGCGACAGCCCGGACGAGCCCGACTATGGAGCGGATTGGGTGTCTGCTGCCGTGCCTGGCACCTGGAACAATCAGGGACACTTCACTCCACTGACCTGCGAGAGGTTTGTGGCGAATGTGAGCAGCATCCAATCCAGGCCAGATGAATGGTGTTCGGTTGAGAACTTTACAAAGGAGACGGAGCGATGCCAACAGTTTGTGTACGGCAGCACGGAGCAGACCATCGTACAGCAGTGGGGACTACAATGCCGGGAGAACCTCTGGAAACTGGCCTTCGTGGGTACAATGCACTTTGCTGGTCTGGTAGTTGGAACAGCAATTTCCGGCTACCTAGCCGACCGGTGAGTATAAGATATGTAAGATGTATAAATTTCAAATCTAAACCGATTAATGGGGAACTTATAGCCCCGTTTATTAGTTTCATCCCTGTCACCACTAATACAAATATCGCTTGTCTTTCAGATTCGGTCGAAAAAACGTCTTTCTAATCTGCATTGTGTTTATGGCGCTAACAGGTGTGGCGCAGGCGCTGTCCTGGAACTACACCAGCTTCCTAGTCTTTGCACTGCTCAACGCCGTAGGTACTTCCGGCGTCTACCCGCTGGCCTTCATCATCGGCGTGGAGATGGTGGGGCCACGGAAGCGCGAAATGTGCTCCATCGTTCTTAACTACTTCTACGCGGTGGGAGAGGCGCTCCTGGGTCTGGCAGCATTTCTGCCCAATTGGCGTCATCTGCAGCTGGCGCTCTCGCTACCACCACTGCTCTGCGTTGCCTATTTCTGGCTGGTGCCCGAGTCAGTCCGGTGGCTACTGGCACGCAATCGTCGCGCACAGGCCGCCGTGATTATCCGGCGAGCGGCTAAGGTAAACCGGCGGGACATCTCCGTAGAGCTAATGGCGAGCTTTAAAGAGCAGGAGGTGAATGGGACAGTACTTACCGAGCTGGAAGAACCTGGCGCGCCTGTGGAGTTAAAGGACGACCAGATTTGGCGTGCCGTCAAAGAGGTATTCGGCTCCCACATTCTTTTGGCTCGGTATGCTATCATGCTGTTTGTGTGGGCAGTGAACGCCATTGTCTACTATGGCCTCTCGCTGAATGCCACCAACTTGAGCGGCAATAAGTACTTTAACTTCGCCCTGGTCTGTCTTGTGGAGATCCCCGGCTATAGCATCGCATGGGTGGGTATCTACCGCCTTTGGCTTGAGGATATTTTAAGTTTGTAATTGTAATCCGTGTCCCACAGTTTTGTTTGCGCAGACTAGGACGGCGTCTTGCCCTATCTGGCTCTCTGTTGCTGTGCTCCGCCACCTGTGTAGCCAGCGGTTTTGTCACCATGGGTAACTATTTTATTTTTTTAATACAATTAAAAAGTCGTTGTGTACTTTAATAACTTAGTTGACTCGTTTTTGTTCGTGTTCATTATAAATACAAAGCTTCAGAAGTGAATTTAAAGAAAAGGTTTAACAATTATTGTTTTATAAGAGTTTTCGAAAATCCACAAAAAAGAAGGATGAGAGAATTCAAACATGTTTAATTTGAAATAAAAATATTAAATTGCTAGGAAAATAAATGAAATTACTTATTTCATTCAAAAAACATAACACAGCAAATTTTATACAAAACATTTGCCTTTTAATGTTCTTTAATTTGTATAAGTTTTTAAATTGTTAAATAGTAATATTTTATCAGTGTTTCTTATTAATTATTCCCGTATTAAATTTATTTGTGCTTTCCCACAAAGCGAAAAGCGATTGGATTTCCTGGAGTTGTAAGTGCTCTCGAGTCGGATTCGACATCGTTTCTCCCCGTTCCCTTTATCCATCGACCCTGTACGTTTATAATAATCCCTTCCCCCAGGTGCCAACTGGCTGGTCGTGACACTTTTTCTTATTGGCAAGCTAGGAATTACCTCCTCGTTCGCCGTCATATATACGTTCACTGCAGAAATGATGCCAACGGTTTGTGAAATTTCTCTTTCCTTTGAACCCGACTGATCGATCTTGTCCATTTCAGGTCATTCGGAGCGGAGGCGTTGGCGTTATGTCTACATTCGCTCGTTTTGGGGCGATGCTGGCACCGTTCGTGCCACTGTTGGTAAGCTCAAGTTAAACATTTTGACTCTTCTCTGGGGTTACGTTTTTTCCAATTTATTTTTTCCTAAACTTTCAAAACACATAAAACTTAAATATGAGCCGAAATCTGTCGACCAATGATGTAAAATATAATAAAAAAAAACTTTTTTATTTCCAAACAGTCGACGTACTACGAACCGCTTCCCCTGCTCCTCTTCGGTGCCACATCGCTAGTGGCCGGACTCCTCTCGCTGCTGTTGCCAGAAACTTTTCATCAGAAGCTGCCCGATACGGTAAGTAGGGCTAACTTTAGAATCCTTAATAAGCTCTACCCATCACTACAGGTCGAGGAGGCTATTGCGCTGGGAAAATAATTAACCCTAATTAACCCACGAATCATTTAAGAGTGAGTTGGCTTGCCATTTCACTCAACGTTATTTAAAAATTTTTATAAAGAACTACATAATTTAAAATATGTATATATGTAAAATCATCTTATTTTAAGTATTTTTTACGATGCATAATAGTTAAGCTTATTGTTACACAAATAGACTGAGTATGCAAATGCTTCTTATAATTATGTGAAATAAAGATATAGCATTTTAGATTATTCGATATACGCAGAATTTGTAACTTTTCAGAAAAACAAACTAGATTTTTTGCTGTTAAAATAGATTTAATTACTTGAGAGAACTCTACATATACCACTTAGTATTATAGTCAGTCCCCAAAAAGACCCTCGAACAACTGCGGATCGCTGACATGACCGAGGCGACTCAGTAGCTTGTATTGCCGGCTAGGATCGCTTCGCAGACAGATGGGCGACACGAATTTCAGCCGAGAAGGGGTTCGCTGCTCCCAGCTGGGAAGAAGATCTTGGGGTCCACCAAGGTCTCTTTTCGTCGACCCCAGAAGTCAACGTAGGCGAGCTTCAGCAGATCCTGCTGCTCATTTACATAGATGAAGCCGACGAGGTTTGTGGCAGCATAGCTGGCGATTGTAAGGGTGGCTAGGCCACTTACACCGATGGCAGCGTAAATGCCCAGCGCATCCGTTGTCACCTGCCCGGCGTGCCCCAGGGCGAATGCAATGGGCATCCCGGTCGCTGTGATGGCCGCCTGATAAACTTTCAGCTTACTGAGGGCGGCCACGAATCGTATTCCTGGCAGGCTGTAAATAGTTCGCCATTCCGTGAAGGCGGCGTCCTCGTGGGCCGAACTGTGCTGGCTCCTCCGAAAGTGCGAAATGACTGCGGACATAGAGCTCCTCCGGCAGAGCCACACTGAAGTTCAATAAACACTAATTTACATATTGAATAGATATCTCTCGATTAATAGGGAATAGAGGAACTCACTTGTTTAAACTTAAACGAAACAAGTTTAGTTTTTAGCACTTGCATAAGGATTTTGAAGTCAGTTCAATTTTTAGTAGAGGTGCGCAAAACAGAATCATCGATTTCTGTGGGTGCGCAAAACATCGATGAAAACATTAATGCATAGTGGTGCGCAAAACATCGATGAAAACATTATATCGGCAATGCTGCCCTTTTCAGCAAGTGCATGAGACCGGCGCTTTTGAAAAGTGGCGCGCACTTCTTCGTATAAGTTGTGCTGTTACGTCAGGACCGAGCGTATAAATATAGCAGAGCCAGATGACTTCGCGGCGAGCGGAGAGCGATCAATAAATAAATCACTTATACCAGGTCTCAGTCGACGATCAGATCTCGCAGCCTCTTGCGGAACTTTTAAGTCCCAACGTATTTAATAATTGCGGAGTATGTGCATACCATATTTTCAAAGAATTTGTTGCAATAAGTACTCTTTAGTTTGCAAATCCCTAATTGGGAAAAAGTTGAATACTTTCTAATATACGCCGTTAATGTTCGCTGACAAGCGTGAGCGAAAACGTTTATTTTTGTACTTTCGCGTGTGCTTCGGAGCCAGAAATAGTTTTCTGCACACAGAAGAACACTAATTTACACCAAACAATGCTGTTCGAATTGGCAAGGTTCAATTGGCTACAGAACAGAATGTAAATATAAAAGAATCTTGTTTTCACACTCTTTTGGGAAAAGTCGAATTGCTAAAAATTAAATGTAAGCTTGATCAATTCTGTTTGTTTTGCAAACCAGCCCTCATTACGAGCAATCTGTGACCAACAGTGGATTAATTGGATCCTAATGGATCTAAATTGGTCTCGAATTATTATTCTTAAAGGTCGATAGTTAAAATCTTGGAACACTAGAAAAATATACTACAACTACTATAACCATCAGTTTGCAACGCTCTGAACGAGGCTGTGGCCCTGTGAGACGTGCATACATTAAATTATTTTTATATATTCTTCAACAGCATCAACAGACCCTTCAATATATCAATGTATCTATTGGTTTTATTTAACCCTTTTAAATGACAGTGCTAAGAAGTGTTAACCTCGTTATTTATATGTTTAAATAAGTAAATGCCTTCTTTCATATAAATAGGACTACTCCGTATCTGTAGCTCTAGTTTATATTGAGTAAGTTAAACATAACTAAAAGTTATGATGTATTACTTTAAGAAAAAGTGAAAAACACTCGATTGTAATTTTCAATGATGTGAGAAACAAGGTAACCAAAGCTTTCTTCGTAAGAAAATAGAATTGGGGCTTATTATCCGGTACTATTTATCCGATAACTAATTGTTTTCATTAATTTTTGTTACAACTTAGTATATATCTAATTACTATCTACTTTCAAATTCAAGTCTTTAAGACAAACTTTAAATGACAGAAGTGGTAACTCTACAATTTAAAATATCTCAGTTCTAGTGGCCATGAGCTAAATCGCTACGACTTGTGAAGCTTAACAAGAATTTATTTACTTTTTAAATTCAAAGTTGTTTTTTAATTATCATTTTAAACTAAAGGACTCATTCCGCAAGACTAGATGATGATGTGGATAGAAGATGCAGATCAGGGTACAAATGTAAATACCCTATAAGTGAACTAGAAAGTAAGCTAATTTCGACACGTCAAAGTTTATATACATCACTGATTTGATCATTCAAAATTAAAAAATCTATCTTATATATTGTTCTTTCAAAAACCAAATAATTCATACTTTCAGTACTTATTATATGATCAGTCATACATAGATAAATTCAAAACTGAGACTAGTTTGCGTAGACACGGACAAACGGACATGGCTAGATCGACTTGGCTGTTGATGCTGATCAATAATATACATATTTTATACAGTCGGAGATAAATCCTGATATGGCTCCCTCACTGCACTGCAAACTTTTGATCGCAATTATAACTATTATACACATATATATGAATAAAATGTAATATATCACCCCACTTCTAATAAGGCAATGTCCATGACAGCGTTGGGGGTCAGCGCCCTGTTCATGGTGGGATGCTGTACCATCGCCCAGATCGCCCGCGTCATCTGCCGACGCCTGGTGGCTCGCGAGGGAATCGTCCCTATCCTCATTAACGAGGCGATCGCTGCCGCAGAGCTGTGCGCTTGCTGCTTTGAGCTCATTATTGGTAAGTGACCGATCTGTATATTAGGGAATTGAAGACACATTTCACACGCAGTGGCCGACAACTTCGGAGTGTCAATGTACGCCGTCTGCCTCTTCCTGCTGACCGTGTGGTGGGGCCGCGTGTGGGGTGACGCCTCCGCCTGCCCTTACACCCACATGGAGGACGTCCTGGAGGGGCGAACCAGCTTCAAGGAGATGGCACTCCGCAGCTGGGCTGAGCTGATGGGCGGCTGCTGCGTCTACCGGATTGTCCAGCTCTTTTGGTGGCTGGAGTTGGCCGAGACTCATCGAGGACGTGCCTTCGAGTCTTGCAATGCCGACCTGCAGGTCAGCCCGTATCTGGGCGCAGTTATCGAGGGCGTGGCTACCTTACTATGCCGCCTGGCGTCCAAGGCTATCAGTGCCAAGGAGCCACGTTTTGGCAGCTACATCGATTCCTTCATTGGAACCAGCCTGGTGGTGGCGGGTGAGTAGAGCTTCTCCGATCCAATGCGATCCGATTCCGAAATCCTGGTCTCAAGTAGTTTACGCCTTTAACTATGTCCTGCTTGCAGCCTTTAACTTCTCCGGCGGCTACTTCAATCCGGTGTTGGCCACAGCCCTCAAGTGGGGTTGTCGCGGCCACACCCACCTTGAGCACATCATCGTCTACTGGATCGGCGCCTGCGCCGGCGCTGTGCTCTCCATTCCGGTCTTCAAGCTTCCCGTAGTGCGTCGCATCCTTCTTGGCGCGGAGGCGGAATCCAAGGCAAAGCTGGAATAGAAGTGAACAGAAAATTGGCATTAACTTGCTCACATGAAAAGTGCCTGTTTTTAGAAATGTTTTTAATTTCCCACGATTCGCCCTACTCCACTTAAGCTGCGCGCATATCTTGCCTCGTACTGTAATAAGAACCAATTTGATTGGAAACTAAAAAAAAACAGTACTGAAAACGAAAGCAAGACAATTTGTAGGCTATAATATAACCATTTACAGATAAAACAGATACAGATATTTTTTTAATGATAGCCTCAGAATGCGAATATTTGTTATGACACATTTTATTTATATGTTAATAAAGATTATTTTAGTTTTTGATTTAATTTATTTTATACAAATCAATGAACAGTTCTATTCCTTATTTTAAATATAACTGCCAAGGTCGAGCCTCAATTTTTTGAATGCCCAACACTGTCATTGCTTAGCTTCTCTTCGCTGAGCAGCACTAGCAAAACCACTCGCGCTAGCCAGCACTGAAACAGCTGGTCCGAATTTGTCTGCAATAAATACAAACATGTTGAGCGACGACGATAATTTGGGCATTTACGATGATTTGGATGAGTTTCAGCAAGCCGAAGATCATGTAAGCGAGCCCAAACTACTGGTGGCGGTACCCGATCACAGCTCACATTCTTACAGAAATCAAAGGAGCTGCTGGCATGGGAAGTCAAACACAGAAATGCGCTGACCGAAATCGAGGACCTGAAGGCGCGAAACATAGCACTGGAAAAGAAGATCAGGACAATGGAAGTCAACCTGCAGAATCTTTTGGACACGGCGAAGTCGGAGGTGAAAAGAAAGGAGGTACTGATAGGTCAGCTGCGTAAAGAGTAAGTGATGCGTCCTGCTGGCCAACTTTGTTGCTTTTGACACCTTGTAATAACACAGGAAAGACGACATATGCTTCAGGCGAAAGCGAGGACGGGAAGTCGAAGAACCAGTGGAGAAAGAAGCCGAAAATAAGCGGCTGAAAGCGGCCTCAAAGGTAGATCGAGAAGTTAAAAAAAATCCATTCCGCGCGGACTTAAAAATTGACTCAAAATCGGTTGGAAAACGAAGATCTCGAAGCAAGTCTCCTAGATCGAGACCAAAGATCCAAGATCATGGGTCGGCGACCCGGCGCAAGTCGAGAGAACGACGCTGCAGTCGAAGTCCAAGACATTCAAGCCGGCAAGAGGAGCACCGAAGCCGTGGGAGCAACTCTCGCCGCAGAAGCCGCTCCCCCTTACATAGGTTAGTGAAGCAGATTCCAAGAGGTTCGGCAATTGATAGCAGCGTATGACTTTTGTTTTTGTAGAGCACAGGTGTCGGAATCAAAGTCGCAGAAAATCCAGTCATTTCCTGGGGAAGATACTAAAAATGGCCGGGATATTGGGAACAAGCCGCACAACGAAAAGACCAAGAAAATGATATATGAAATCGCTACACCTTTAACACCCAACGAACTGTCTTCGCCGGAAGTGGCAACGAAAAAAGCGCAAGCCCTGACATATGAATGTAGCGATGGCGACTTACAAAGGAATACGCCCTTTGAATCGAATACCCCAACCACTGAAATCATCCAAAACATTAATGCGTTCGTTTCAAAAGAAGAGCGTATTCCCCGTTTGGACATTTGTGAGCTAGCAGCCAACAACCGTGAATCATCTGACACCACGTCTCAGTCCAAGCACCCTGAAATCATATTAGACGAGATTTTGCCACAGGAATCAGTAACCTGCGATCCCATAACTGTTCATATGGAATCAAAAACCGGTCCTATTTCCGATAATAATGCCCAAACCGACGAATATCGGCAGGTAGAAGGAAATGTTGAGCTTGACAAGCCATCAATATATACACCGATAAGAAGCACAAGCTATGAACCTACTGGCCCAGGCGATGTAGAAATATCGGCACACAATCATTTAATTAATAAATTAACGAAAAATAACAGCGTGGTCCATGCAGAACTGAAAGCTGAGTTATTAGTTGCTTCCGGTGAAGCTCAAAGACGTGATGATATCAATTGCAGCTCGGCAGGAAACGTCCCAGAGCCAAAAAACAAGAGCTTCGACGTAGAAATAGACATAATTGAAGACATTCGGTTGCCAGAAGTAGCGGATATTGGCCATATTGCGGTTATAGTCAATGAACTGTGCGGTGGTCTAGAAGTCCAAAAAAAAAACGTGTCGGATGAGCAGAAAAATTCTTCTGGCAGAGACGGACATTGCAGCGATTATAATGAAAGAAACAGCTCCGCTATCGAGTTGAAGGACCCAACAACACCATCCTCTAATTCCAACGTTTTGTACGCTCAGCCAGACTCCACCAAAATCGATCACAACGATACGGAGAACGAAGTCATTCTAGAAGCTGCTCTGAACTTGCTAGAGAGTAGTGATCTGGTCCCACCTGCCCAGAGTGCACCAAATCTGAGCCTTGAAGAAGATGCCATCGAGAAGGCATTGGGGCAGTTGCATCAGACGTCGTCCCCAGATGAAACGGTAGTGACCTCCACGTCCAACCGAGCGCGGAAGACTGAAAACCATTGTGCACCCACTAGCACGAGCCTCCGAAATTCTCCCCTTCACGCGAAGGAGGCGATAATCAAAGAAATTTCGACCGATATGGAAAACACTAATGACAGTCAGTCCCAGGTTTCTAGAGTACTCGAACTGGAGGCTCCACCGTCGCCAGGGCAGGATATCACCATTGATGAGACAGTAGACGATGGCTGTATTTCGAACGAGGAGGTTTCAACAGTTACCAAACGCTGCTCCCTGGGTCATACCGACTACCAATTCGAGCAAAGAAACGACGAGATTATTCTTCGCGTAAAGCGTCGCACACGACGCCGACGTTCAACACCTATTGAGGTGGAAGTTCTGAATCCTCCTCCTACAGGAGGCAAACCAGATTAATTAATAAATCATATACGTAAATATTTGTATCTGAATGCGAGCAAGTAGATTTCTTACATTTTTAGGTGCTGAAACACATTGTTACATGGGAACAGAAATACACTTTAAATTTTATATTCCAAATTGTACATCACTGGAAAAAATCAGGGAATCTGGAATAGACCAGGGATTATCCTCAGAATTTCGGGTACCAAGTATACAAATTTATATTCCAAATTGTACATCACTGGAAAACTCGGATCAGCCAAGGATGACCCTCCGAGTTTTGTATGCCATGCATTTAATTTATATTCCAAGTTGTAGACTATGTGCTCGTAAATAAAGGAAGTATCCGATGCGTACATGTTAAATTCTAAGAATCCAGTTATTATCCATTGTACAGGGATAATCCTCCGAGTTTATGGTACCATGTAATAATTTATATTCCAAATTGTACATCACTGGAAAACTCGAAGAATTGTGAATCGACCATGCATGTTCCTCAGAGTTTTGAATATAATATATTAGATTTATATTGTATATTATGTGGTCTCGTACTTCCGAATTTGTAATTGTTAAATTCTGAGAAACAGAATTTTTAATCGGCCGGGGTTGAACCTCCAAGTTTTCGGTACCATGAGTAAATAACCAACCAAAAATAGCATCCGATAACTGTTGAGAGAGTAAAGGGAAACTAATTTTAATTGAGGAAAAATTTTAAGAAAAAGGGAAGCTAACTTCGGGACACCGAAGTTTGTAAGTTATTTTTTGTTTGCCATTTGCCATTTGAGCCTACCGTTTTCAAGCAATAAGATCATATTTTATAGACACTGTAGTTTGTCATAGATATGTCCAGATCGTTTTTAGGTCTGATATATGATTAATTACTCTGATTTAGTAACTACTGGAGTATTTCTAAGTTTAATGAATGACTTGATGATTGTAGCTTTTATTATTGTCAAGTATGTAACTATACGTTAAGTTAACTGGTAAATATAACGTTATATGATATATTCATTTAATTAAGTTGTTTTGTCGTCCCTTCTATCCCTGTGACAAACTTATAAACTAACTGAAATATAAAGAAACCGATCTGCAAAGTTATAGGCAACTTACCGATTGAAATTATTAGGATGATGGCGGTAACCAAAATTGATGAGAACTTATATGCCACACATAAATATATTAGAAATACTATGTCGATTATTATCCTCAGGAGACCGGTTATAAGGTAAAGAACAACGAAGTTTTTATTCGGCTAAATGAATTATAAATTGGCATTAATTTAACATAATAGATCGTGACGATAGAATTCTTACCTTGAAAACTGAAACTATGACCAAAATGCATGCTACGATATGCGCGACGTGAATAACGAGGCATACCATCCATAAAATGCTGGCAGTCCCAGACAAAGCTAAAAGGTTGTCGCATACGGTTAACCTGTTATTTCATATTTAATATTAACGAGCTATACTTACCACCACCACCACCGCCGGCGGCCCCAGCAAATATAAGGTCGATGATAGCGACTATTAGAGCTCCCCATTTCAGCTCAAGGCAGCAGCAATCTTTAAAAACGGGTAACCCCATTCTGTTTCTCAGGAATTATATGTATTCTTTAGTGTCGAATCGGTTCAGACTGTGTTTTTTAAGGGGACCGAGTAAGAATGACGTATGTGAAATGACTAATATATGAGGCCTAACTTGATTTGAGATTTTGAAAATGGAAATTTTAGGAAAAAGTTGAGGTTTTGCAAATGGATGTTTTTAAGAGTCGTTCTCAGCGTACCACGATACGGCAGTGAGATAAAAACAAGTGGCAGATTTGAGATTTTGAAAATGGAAATTTTTGGAAAAAGTTGGAGGTTTTGAAAATGGATGCTTTTAAGAGTCGTTCTCAACGTACCACGACACGGCAGTGAGATAAAAATAAGTGGCAGGAACTGAAAAAAATTGAGAATAATTAAAGTTAAGGTATAACATATCATTTGATTTTTTTTATTTTAGGTATTAATATATGTATATTCCTACATTAATGAAAGTTCGGGATACCGATATATGTTTACCCCTGCGGCTTGCACTTTTACTCTATCCATACTACATATATAACCGATGGTATAATAAGTTTATATATTAAACAAAATCTCGGAATCATAAAAATTACATCTTAGAGTAGATGTTAAAAACGGCGCAAATATAATATATTTTCTACACGTCCCGACCAATCCAATGGTAGCTATACAGCTAATAGGTCCGACTTATGAACATATATCCAAATGAAAATAAAAGGACTTCTTTCAAGTTTCACTTAGATATCTCCAAAACTGATCGACTAATTTCGCCGAAACGGACAGACGGACTAGGCTAGATCAACCCCGCTTTTGATGCTGATTTGGAATATAATACAATCGGAAAAGACTATAACATAATCTCAAAGTTTTGTGAAATAAAAAGTAATGTTCCAAAAACGACGAACCTTCAGTTTAACCTAGACTTAAGATGATAATTGAGTCGGATTTGACAAGGTTCTAAGAGAACGAGGAAGGATGTGCAATAGGGTTTCCTTCAGAAATACGTTGAACACTGTCCACGATAATCTTTTCACGATATTAATACTTACACAAGCTAAAGCCGATTAACCAATAGCATGTTTTATTGTCGTGACACTTGGCCACCATCCATAGCATAATTAAAAACAACAACACAAAACGAACAATGGCGGTGGTTAGGTAGGGAGCCACCATCCACTTTGCCTCCTATAAAAGTCGCGAACATTATTAGGAACGAAGTCGAGGGAGAAGAGTTTTGCACTTACCGAGAAGGAAGAAACTATAATCAATATACAAGCGCCGACATGGAGGACAAGGACGATCACAAGGAATACCCACATTGCATAGCCAAATCTGCTGTGATAATACTCATCGGGGTTGATCCACCACGTGGAACCAGACTCAGTATATGGCGTAGCTACATAATAGTCCAGTTCAGCCTTGCGTCTGATCCCTTTTAAAATTTTGTTTTACCACCTCCGGGATGAGAATAAGATGCGTGGTTTACTTACATGGAAAGAAGACGCCGCACAGAAGACTTAAAATCAAATCAACAAAGCCAATTATGATGACGGCAAACTTGATCTCAATGCAACCAAGAAACTTTTGAACGAACGTCATTTTAATTTAGCTCCGATTCAGATTTTTTGCTTTAATTTTTCTTGTGCTCCGTTCGATAACTTAAAGTTCTACAGGTTTGTACAACTTGACTTATTGGCTTTATCTCCAAGGCTCCCTAGATTTATTTTGCGATATTGAACTGGTAAAATGCCGGATAGGTAACCCAAATTTGTTATTTTAAAAATGACTACTTGGTAGGTATGTTTATCACTTCGGGTTTCTTTTGGAAAACAAAAAAAATTTTTTCTTGAACGATCGAAAAGTGAAAAATGCAAATCCGTGAATGTAAAACTGTAAATATAATATGTATATGTAAATGAAATTAAAGCAGGTATTACTTCATTGTTTTTTTTTACATAAATATTTATCATTTATATTGTATGGATTCCAAGTCATCGAGTCTATCTGCAAGAGTATATAAACTTCGGCACGCCGACGTTAGCTTCCTTTCTTGTTGAATTTCATTTCAATCACCTATATTATTATATTTACAGTCTTACATTCACGGTTTTTGCATTTTGCTCTATATCTAATTATCGATTGTATGACAGCTATATGATATAGTAGTCGGATTTTTATAAAATGTTAAACAAAACTGAAGAATAAAATAAATGAAAGTCTGTTGAAAACTGCGAGATATAATTTTTTTTTTTGTAAAGTTTTCCTATCGGATCTGTGGCCCGTTCCGACATATATACGAGTGAGAGAGATAAAAGACTAACTGCAAAGTTTCATGCAGATAACTTTAAAACTGAGAGACTAGTTTGCTTAGAAACGAACAGCCGGATATGTCTAGATTGATTCGACTGTTGATGCTGATCGAGAATATATAGACTTTGTATGGTCGGAAATGACTCCTTCACTGCTTAGTAATATTTTCACTGAAATTATAATACCCTGCAAGGGTAGAATTATATTTGAAGTTAAAGCTTTTGGAAAACGGTGCATGTTTAATTTTATCTAAGATCCCTTAAGAACATATTTTAAAAATTTCCTTTAAACTCTGCTGATACTCCTAGTTAGTCTTCTTTGATGGCCCGTGGTCCAATTCCAAGATCAATTAGCTCTTTGCAGTGATAATTGTAAGTAAGGCAGTCGATACGTATGCCAACGATACAATGTGACATTTATTTCCAGTACGAGTGCCTAGTCCTGGGCATGGTGTTCATAGTTCATTTTTCGTGTTAGAACTCTGCTCTGTCAGCCTTTTTTAGAATACTGGTGAGCAAGGATTTGGATTTGAACCAATTCAAAATCGGATGAAATAATGTGATGAAACTTATCTTTTCTTGGTGAACGAAAAGTAATTCTGTGCTGCATACTATGTAACAGCGTACTTAAGAAATCGAAATCGGACTCTTTATGTGTTTATTAATTTTTATATCGGATTTAATATATCCTCTTCATGTTATGGGCACCTCAAAACTTTAGCCTCTAAAATAAATTCAGTTGGCTTTTTAATATTACAATATTAAAACCGTTTATAACCAAAAATTTGGAAAGTCCAACTGTGTAACATTGATCGGTGGCAGAGATAAACACGGATATCTTGTGGATATTGGATGCAGACCTGGAACATAAATACATAACATATGTGAATAAAAACCCTGGAATCGCAATTATAAATATAATACCACATATTCATATAAATCGCATGTAATATATATAAGTTACATTTGTATTTATTTATAACAATATTATTTATAACAATAAAACAGAAAGCTCCATTACAGCGTTTGGGGTCTTGGTGAGATACTGTACAATCGCTCAGATCGCCCGTGACCTCAGCCGACGTCTGGTGGCTCGCGACACGGGTGAGAGTGGCCCCTCAAGTGGGGCTGCGACGGCAGCACACACCCACAGATCTGGCACCACCTCCGCAGAGCGCCCCGATCTCAAACTACCGAAATCTGAACCTCGACAAAGATGCTTTCGAGGGTGCTTTGGGGTAATTGCATCAGTCGTCGCCCCGAGAAGAAACGGTCGTCCAACCGAGCGCAGAAGACTATTGTGCACCCACCAGCACGAGCCTCCGAAATTCTCCAGCTGACAATTAAGGAAACTTAACTGATATGAACACTAATCAATCATCCAACCCAGACTACTTAATAAATTATATACATTAATATTTGTATCTGAATACCAGAAGATTTAATAAAGTTTTGGATCAAAAATACACATTCAATTTTGTATTCCAAATTTTACATCACTGAAAAACTCAGGGAATCTCGAATCGAACAGGGAATGTCATCCCAGCTATACTCCAAATTTTACATCATATACTTGTATGTGTAACTTTTAATTTCTGAAAATCGGCCAGGGATGATCCTCCAAGGTTCGCTTACCATATATTAAATTTATACTCCGAATTAAACATCATATGTACATCATTGGAAAACTCAGGGAATTGCGAATCAGCCAGGGATGAGCTCCGAGTGGTGGATACCATGTATTAAATTTATATTCCAAATTGTGCGTCACAGAAAGCTCTGAGAACTCTGATCCTCGGAGTTTTGGATACCATGTCTTGAATTTATTCTCCGAATTTTACATTATGTGAGCACTACTGAAAAACTCGGAGAATTGAAAATCTATCATGGATGATCCTCCGAGTTTTGAATGTTATATATTTAATTTATATTCCAAATTGTGCAGCATTTGCTCGTAAATGAAGAATGTATACGATGCGTACATGTTAAATGCTTGGAAATAGGTTTTTCATTGGTTAGGCGTGATCCTCCGAATTTGTGGGACAATGTTATAATTTTAAACTCCAAATTGTACATCACAGGAAATGTCGGGAAATCGCAAATCAGACAGGGATGATCCTCCGAGCCTTAAATACCACGCATTAAATTTATATTTCATTGTACATAATGTGTACATCACAGAAAACTTTGAGAACTCTGAATGATCCTCGGAGTTTTGGATAGCATGCCTTAAATTTATTCTCCGAATTTTACATTATGTGAACACTACTGGAAAACTCGGAGAATTGAAAATTTATCATGGATGATCCTCCAAGTTGTAATATCATGAATTAAATTTACATTCCAAATTGTACATTCTAAATGTGTAATTGTTAAATTCTGAGAAACAGAATTTTTAATCGGCCGGGGTTGAACCTCCAAGTTTTCGGTACCATGAGTAAATAACCAACCAAAAATAGCATCCGATAACTGTTGAGAGAGTAAAAGGAAACTAATTTTAATTGAGGAAAAATTTAAAGAAAAAGGGAAGCTAACTTCGGGACACCGAAGTTTATAAGTTCTTTTTTGTTTGCCATTTGTCATTTGAGCCTACCGTTTTCAAGCAATAAGATCATATTTTATAGACACTGTAGTTTGTCATAGATATGTCCAGATCGTTTTTAGGGCTGATATATGATTAATTACTCTGATTTAGTAACTACTGGAGTATTTCTAAGTTTAATGAATGACTTGATGATTGTAGCTTTTATTATTGTCAAGTATGTAACTATACGTTAAGTTAACTGGTAAATATAACGTTATATGATATATTCATTTAATTAAGTTGTTTTGTCGTCCCTTCTATCCCTGTGACAAACTTATAAACTAACTGAAATATAAAGAAACCGATCTGCAAAGTTATAGGCAACTTACCGATTGAAATTATTAGGATGATGGCGGTAACCAAAATTGATGAGAACTTATATGCCACACATAAATATATTAGAAATACTATGTCGATTATTATCCTCAGGAGACCGGTTATAAGGTAAAGAACAACGAAGTTTTTATTCGGCTAAATGAATTATAAATTGGCATTAATTTAACATAATAGATCGTGACGATAGAATTCTTACCTTGAAAACTGAAACTATGACCAAAATGCATGCTACGATATGCGCGACGTGAATAACGAGGCATACCATCCATAAAATGCTGGCAGTCCCAGACAAAGCTAAAAGGTTGTCGCATACGGTTAACCTGTTATTTCATATTTAATATTAACGAGCTATACTTACAACCACCACCACCGCCGGCGGCCCCAGCAAATATAAGGTCGATGATAGCGACTATTAGAGCTCCCCATTTCAGCTCAAGGCAGCAGCAATCTTTAAAAACGGGTAACCCCATTCTGTTTCTCAGGAATTATATGTATTCTTTAGTGTCGAATCGGTTCAGACTGTGTTTTTTAAGGGGACCGAGTAAGAATGACGTATGTGAAATGACTAAAATATGAGGCCTAACTTGATTTGAGATTTTGAAAATGGAAATTTTAGGAAAAAGTTGAGGTTTTGCAAATGGATGTTTTTAAGAGTCGTTCTCAGCGTACCACGAAACGGCAGTGAGATAAAAACAAGTGGCAGATTTGAGATTTTGAAAATGGAAATTTTTGGAAAAAGTTGGAGGTTTTGAAAATGGATGTTTTTAAGAGTCGTTCTCAACGTACCACGACACGGCAGTGAGATAAAAATAAGTGGCAGGAACTGAAAAAAATTTAGAAAAATTAAAGTTAAGCTATATTTATATATATCATTGGATTATATTATTTTCGGTATTAATATATATTCCTACATTAATTATATTAAGTTTTTATATTAAACAAAATCTCTGAATCATAAATATGACATCTCAGAGTATATGAGCTATACAGCAAAGGGATCCGATCTGTACCGTTCCGACTTATTACCATTTATCCAAATAAGAATAGAGAGAAGGCTATTTTCAAGATTCACTTAGATATCTCTAAAACTGATCGACTAATTGCGCCAAAACCGACAGACGGACTTGGCTAGATGAACCCGGCTTTTGGTGCCGTTTGAAATATAATACAATCGTATTTGACAAGGAGCCAAGAGAGCGAGGAAGAAAGAGGAATAGGGTTTCCTTAGAAATACGTTTTATCTTTTCCGGATATTAATACTTTCACAAACTAAGGCCGATTAACCAATAACATATTTTATTATCATGACACTTGGGGATGGGAAGAAGACCTAAAATCAAATCAATAACCAAGAAACTTTTGAACAAACGCCAAACGTTTAGTTCCGATTCCGATTTTTTGCTTAAATTTTTTCTTGTTCTCCGTTCGATAGCTAAAACTTCTATAGTTTTGTAAAACTTTACTAAGTGACCTTTTCTCCAAGGCTCTCTGCATTTATTTTCCCTTATTTGATAGGTAAATAATAAGTAAACTTATTTTAAACAATCCAACACGGAAAAGCACACATAGACGAGAAGTGCTGACAATGGCGGAATCTGTGGATAATGGTGGAAAATATAGACGAGACAGGAGGAAGTTTGCCTTGATCTCTTACATCCTGACTGTAGTTTTTTTGCTTGTTGCTTTTGGAGAATGGTGCATGTTTTATTTTATGTAAGAGCCCTTAAGGATATTCCTCTAAAATGTTAAGCTCTGCTTAATTCTTAGAAAGGCGGCTAAGGACTTTTTTATTCTCAAACCCTGGATAATGTCTATTATTTTTGTAATTGGACTAATACTCCTCGTTCTGTTCATCTTCTTTGAAGTCCTGCGGTTTAATTTCAAGATCAATTGGCTCTTTGCACTGCTGATTGTAAGAAAGCCAGTCGATACGTATGCCAATGATCTAAGGTGACCTTTACTTCCAGTACGAATGTGTTGTCCTTGGCGTTGTCCCGCTGGTGGTTCGCCAGCAGCTTAATCCGTTTCTGATCAGTTTCGGTGTATGGACTTTTGCTCTGTTGGTCTTTGTTGTATTCGGCACTTTAATACCGGTAAGCACGAGTTTGGAGTTAAACCAAATCAATATCAGGGATCCTTATAGCTCACGTCTCGATCAAAATATTGATTAAATATCCATTTTTCTCCTCTCCAAAGTGTGACCTGACCCTAAATGTCGTGGTGTTATATGTACTTGCTGTGACGTCCATTATCGGCGCTATATTCTTTCTTATGCTTTATATCGTGATTAATATCCCATATTCCTTCATTGTCGTTTGTTTCTTCATTGTTCTGAGCATATGTTTGGTGAGTGCTAAACTGCAAAACAAAGTATTTTTGGGTGCTATTAAAAGGCGAAAAAGGCGCTTAAAAAGTCCTTTCTGATTTTCAATTTTATCATATCATATATATCGTCTCAGAGACAGAAAGGCATTATTTATCAATATTTTAAGTATTTTCATTCAATTCCCTTTTTTAATTTGCCTTTAATCAGCACCAAAAAATGCATTTTAAAATACTTAGTATACATATCTGGCGGTGTCTTTAATGCGTCTAAAAACTATATATTTTCAGTTCGTAATGTATCACGCACAGATTATTAACGGAGGACGATTTGCAGAGATGCGCACGAATGACTATTTTTTAGCAGCACTTATTTTGTTTCTAGACTTTCTTCTTATGTTTCTTTTCTCATTCCAAATAGCCCCAAAATGGTCAGACGAATGTGACGAAAATAATTGGATAAATGGAACATGTAAGTAAATTGTACAAATTACTAATGGCATATTTAGAAAAGTATAAAACTATATTAAAATATATTTTGAATTCATTGTATTTTTATCAAAAAATCCTTTCTGGGCGTTTATGTTTCTCGTTGGAAAAAACCTCGTTCGGTAGATTCAAAATTACATCTAGATCAAATACAGAAAAAAATCGATTATTATACCCTTGCAGGGTATTATAATTTCAGTCAGAAGTTTGCAGTAAAGGAGGCACCTCCGACCATATAATGTATATATATTCTTGATCAGCATCAACAGCCAAGTCGATCTAGCCGTGTCCATCTGTCTGTCTGTCCGTCTGTCCGTTTCTACGCTAGTAGTCTCTCAGTTTTGAAGCTATCTGAATGAAACTTTGTAGTTAGCCATATAGCTTTGTAGTTATCATATAGCTCCGATAGGAACGATCGAGAAGTTCATACAATTAAAAATTATAACTTTTTCAGTTTTCAACAGATTTTCATCAAATTTAAGGTATAGCCATTTTATATAAGTCTACAATTTTGTCTCAAATCTTACGAAAATCGGACGACTATATCATGTCTGTGAATGTAGAACTGTAAATATAACATGGATAGGTGAATGAAATAATAGCAGGCATTACTTCATTGTTTTTTAACATAAATATATATATACATAATTTATATTGTATTGATCCCTAGTTTTATCTGCAAGGGTATATAAACTTCGGCGTGCCGAAGTTAGCTTAATTTCTTGTTTTTTAATTAACATTTGAATCTTTATAAACTACTTGAACTAAATCCGTTTGGGGTTTAATTCCGTTGATCCACTTTTTCAAGCTGAGTTCCGGTGATCTCCTATAGCAGTTACCATAACATGTGTACAAATCTTAAAAAAAAATAAATTAATCAGTTTAACTGAAAAAAATTATAAAAAACTTATTAAATAAAAAATATTATTATTGGAATAATAAATATAATATTACTAAATTAATATTAATATTAGTTAATTAAAAAATATATTTAAATTTTCCGCCCTTGTAGATACCAATAGTACCACCACCACCACATCCGCATATAAATTACACATTGCCCAACACTAGAGCGTCTTTGGCGCCAACTCACACAGCTGTGGGCTGTGTTTTGCGTTCTTGGACCGGTGAACAAACTTTAATTAGCACTAAGCTGACCTAGCCAAATACCAAAGAACCGTCCCTCAGCGATTTAGTAATCCCGCACTGCACTGAACGTCAGTATCAGCGAGAGACCGAACATGGATCCCACTATTTCGGTGTCTAAGGTGAGACGCGACGCCCTGCTTGTCTTCCGGGCATATTTAGCATCTTGGCTCACTTACCTCTTGCTGACTTCTAGGGCGTGTTTGTCTTCAAAAATGGAGCTACGCGAGCCGGGAAAAAGGCCAAGACCACCAAGCGCAAGAGGCCCGATTCGTGCACCTCGAAGAGCCTGCTGGGCGAGGAGGTTGGCAGGCAACCATTCTACGAAGAATACAGCCAGGCATGGAGCCAGGTGAGCGGCCACATTGCCGACCTGCAACAGAGCACCTATGCCCGCACTCTGGAACAGTTGGTGGCGTTCGTTGTGGGCCAGGGCGCGCGGACGGGGACAGCCAAGGACGAAGTGTTACCTACAGCGGCCCTACTAACGGGTATCAATCAGCCAGATCACCTCAGCCAGTTTGAGGCGTTCACACAGCGCCTGCATGCGCAGCGTGCTGCCCGAGTTTGCGTGCTGCAGTCTCGAGATTGCGCAACCCTGAAGGCGGCCGTGGAGACTATGGTCTTTGGTCTTATCGAAGACGACTTGGCCGTGGAGCCTGGTGTGGAAGAGGAAGAGGAGGAGGACGTGGCAGAGAGGGACCGTAAGCGGTTGCGCCGTTCACAGTGCACGCTGAAGCAGCTGAGGTCGTGGTACGCCAACAATATGCTTCCGGAGCGCAGTTCTTGCCAGTTGGTCGTTATCCTGCCCGACTTTGAGTGCTTCAGCGCCAGTGTGTTGCAGGACTTTATACTCATTCTGAGTGCCCATTGCTGTGCGCTGCCATTCGTCCTAGTTCTGGGGGTGGCAACGGCCATGTCAGCGGTGCACGGAACTTTGCCCTATCACGTGAGCAGCAAGATCCGGCTACAGGTCTTCCAGACACAGGCCGCTCCTGTAGGTCTAAACGAAGTAAGTGGGATTGAACGATTACTTTCCTATGTCGAAATTTAAGAGTCTATAATAACTTCAGCTTTATTGTATACATTTCTAGATGCTGGACAAAGTACTGCTCTCTCCAAAGTATTCTTTTCACCTCTCGGGAAAAGCCTTCAAGTTCCTGACTCACATCTTTTTGTACTACGATTTCTCCATAAACGGCTTCATCCAGGGATTTAAGTTTTGCCTAATGGAACACTTCTTTGGAGGCAACGCCTTTGCGCTCTGCACGGACTATAGCCGGGCTTTGGGACGCATTAAGCATTTAAGCCACGACGACATAGAGTCCATCCGACGACTCCCCTCTTTTCGGCCGTATGTCGAGCAAATAAATGACTGCAAACGCATCATAGCTGTGCTCACCGACGACGACTACCTAAAGAAGAAGCTGCCGCAGCTACTGCGCGACTGCATGCTACATTTTCTTCTCTTCCGCAGCTCCCTGGAGTTCCTCACGGAGCTGGTGGGAGATTTGCCTCGGTATCCCCTAGGCAAGCTGCGTCGAGAGCTGTACGTTAACTGCATGAACAAACCGATCGAAGCGACACCCGAGTACAAAGAGTGCTGGCAGATGCTGGGATTTCTGTCCAAAGACGAATTTGTGGGTAAGGTAACTCGGTGCCTGGACAGAACCGAGCAGTTCCTGACTGAGGAAATTACGCCCCTGGAACTTGGTAGTGTCTGCGTCAATGTGTTGCAACCCCAGCTCCTAGCGATCCGTCAGGCGCTTGACGGTGTGATCAAGGCCACCATGTCACATGCAACGGCTACAACAATGCAGACCACTGGCCCCAATCTGACCCAGGTGACATCGCGTCACGAGCTCCAAGCGCAGCTCCTGCAACGTAGCAAAGAGGACAAGGATCGACTGCAGCCTGCCGCCACTGAGTTCGCCCAGGCCTTGCAGAAGACGCTCCAGCTTATTGAGACTCACTTGGTTCAGGGTCATTTGAGGGCTCTACAGGACGCTCCGCCCATCCATGAACTGTTCGTGTTCAGCGACATTGGCACTGTGCGCCGAAACATAATCGGCGCTCCTCGGGCAGCGCTGCACACGGCCCTCAACAATCCGCACTTCTACATGCAGTGCAAGTGCTGTGAGCTGCAGGACCAGTCGCAGCTAGTCAGTACCCTGCCCGATCTCTCGGTGGTGTACAAACTGCACCTGGAGTGCGGACGTATGATCAATCTATTCGATTGGCTTCAGGCTTTTAGGTCTGTAGTAAACGGCAATGATCAGGACGACGGCGTCGAGAATGCGGCCCAGGAGCAAATAGATCCACAGATCCAGTGAGTAATCTTTCCTTTTCCTTCCTAAATAAATCACTTAGAATCGTTTTTTCCCCTTCCTTTTCAGAGCACGTTTCACGCGCGCCGTAGCCGAGTTACAGTTTCTGGGTTACATAAAGATGTCCAAGCGCAAGACAGACCATGCCACTCGATTGACCTGGTAACGAAGGCCATTAGTCGTGTTTCTTTTCTATTTATTTTTAGCTCGAAAAAATTGCAAGTGTCGCAGTAATAAATATATGTATAAAAAATGTTCGATTGATATTTGTCCTTAAAAAGAAAATAATCAAAAGAAGCGCGTGTTTATATCTTTTAAGTTAGCAAGCACGCCAAAATATCAACAAAATGCCTGATCTGGATTGGATCCCCTAAATGACTTCGACTGGCCTTCTCACATAAGTTTCAGCGTCTCAATGGCTGCCGCGATTCGTTCAATCTCTGCACGCGACTCCGAGAGCTTCGTCTCGTTGGTGGCCTGCACCTCCGCGGGCACCTTGGTGGCGTAGTCAGCCGCTTGAATGGCCTGACTTAGCTTGCTTACAGTCTGCACCAGCTGGTCACTTTTCTTCTGCAGTTTTACTATCTCCTTGTCCGCCTCGATAAGACCCTTCAGCAGCAGATGCACCTCACATTGGCCGGTCACGGTCAGAATAGCACAGCCCGCCGGCGGGGCGCCGTCGAAGACTATCTTGGAGCAGTAGGAGATCGTAGCTAAATCGTCAGCGTAACGCTTGAGTATTTCGTTAGGCGCGTTATCCGTGCACACAATGTAAGCCTCGGTCTTGGTTTTGTTAGGTAGATTGTAGTCGGAGCGAGCCGAGCGGATAACACGTGCCGCCTTTTGCACAAAGTCAACATCCGACTCTATCTTAGCACTACGCCAAGAGACTTTGCCTGGAAGGAATAAAATAAGTTATTCCTTTGTGGTTATCGATATATAGAATACAATACTCACTGGGGTAGCTAGCCACACAGATGCTAGGCGCTGGGTTGGCTCGCGGCAGCCGCTGGTAGAGCTCCTCGGTGATGAAGGGCATAAATGGCGACAGCAGTCGGAGACCGTAATCCAGACACACGTAAAGAGTACGCCTGGCCGCGGCTTGTTGCGCCTCGCTACCACTTTGGAAGATGGGCTTCAGGCACTCCAAATACACGTCGCAGAGATCGTAAAGCCAGAATGCGTAGCAGGCGCTGGTGGCCGCGGCAAAGTCGTAGGACTCAAAACCCTGGTTACAAGCTTCAACGGCAGCTGCCAGTCGGGAAAGGATCCAGGAATCCATTTGGTTAACAGCATTAGACGCACTCAGCTCTGTGTCGAACTTCTCCGAGCCGCTGAAGTAGAGCAAGGCGAACTTAGTGGCGTTCCAGAGCTTGTTGCAGAAGAAGCGATAGCCCTGCACGCGGTTAATGTCCAGGTTGATATCGCGAGCCTGAGTAATGTAGGCACACAGAGCGAATCGGAGGGCATCAGAGCCGCACTCGGGAATGCCTTGTGGATAGTCCTGCTTTTGCCCAGCCTTAGCCTTCTCGATTTCGCGGGGGTCAAGGTTGGAGCCCACAAGCTGGGCATGGAGTCCCTCCAACGTGATGCCAAGAATCACATCCATTGGGTCAATAACGTTTCCCAGAGATTTTGACATTTTGCGACCGTGGGCGTCCCTCACCATCGGGTGGAGGTAAACCTCCTTGAATGGTAGCTTACCCAGCAGCTTCTGCCCGAAGAATACCATACGAGCCACCCAAAAGAATAGAATGTCGTGGCCCGTTTCCAGCAACGACGTGGGGTAAAAGGTCTCCAGATCCTTAGTGTTGTCTGGCCAGCCAAATACGGAGAAGGGAAAGATGCCCGAGCTGAACCATGTATCAAGCACATCTTCGTCCTGTTTTAGTATGATCTTACTGACCTCAACACCGAATCGTTCGGCAGCCTTGTTAAGCGCCTCCGCCTCACTCCGAGCCACAACCCAATACTGCTCGTCGTCATTCTGCGAAGAGAAACAGAAAGAGATCTAGATAATCTATACTTTTTTCTATGGATATCATTAGTTAATAGCACAGGTAGTGACTCATACATAAATCGTAAATAACAGATGACCGTTTTTGGCTGTCTGATAATTGGTATTTGTATTCGAAGAATTTGTCCTAAAAACTTAGAGCAAAACCTATTACCCCATGGGTTACCGACATAAAACGGTCAACTGTTATGTAAAATCTCTCTTATATTTTTACCACGCTTCCAAGAGCTAGCTGCAGAATCATAAATGTGGAAGTCAAGATCAGATATTAATATTAATAATATCAGATATGGATACGTTTCCGTTGAAAAGTTGACTTACCGATCCCGTTTGGATTGAAGGGTCGCTGAAGCTAACGTGGTAAGCCGGAATGCGATGGCCCCACCACAGTTGCCTCGATACACACCAGTCTCGAATACCGTCCATCCAGTGATACCAAGTCTTCGTGTGGTGCTCAGGAACAATCTTTAGGGCGCCGGAGCGCACAGCCTCGGTGGCGGAAGCTGCCATTTCTGAGCAGCTTACATACCACTGCGGTTTTATCAGCGGCTCGACCACGTCCTTAGAGCGGCTGCAAATTGGCACAACCATGGGGTTGTTCAGGGTCTCACGGTAAAGGTCGAGGGCCTTCAGCTTTTCCAGAATCTGCTTGCGGCACTCGAAGCGCTTCATGCCCGTAAACTCGCCATAGTCACCAATAATGTAGCCGTCGTCGTTGAAGATGGTGATAAAGGGCAGGTTGCAACGCTTGCCCACCTCGTAGTCGTTGGGGTCGTGAGCCGGGGTAATCTTAACGGCACCCGTTCCGAAAGCCATGTCTACAAACTCGTCGCACACGATCGGCAGACGGCGGGTAGAGAACGGGTGGACTACGAACTTGCCATGCAACTGCTTGTAGCGTTCGTCCTGGGGATGAACGGCCACTGCAGTGTCACCCAGCATAGTCTCGATACGGGTAGTAGCCACAACGATTTCCTCGTCACTGTTCTCCACCTTGTAGGCGAACTTAATCAGCACTCCAAACTCCACCTTCTCCTCGTAACCAGGAATGGAGAGGAACGTGCGTCCGGGAATCTCCACTTTGTCGACCTCTATGTCGGAGATGGCCGACCGGAGCGTGCACGACCAGTTGACCAGGCGTGAGCTACGATAGATGCTTCCTTCCTCGTGGAGGCGGACGAAGGCCTCGGTGACGGCGCGGCACAGTTTGGGGTCCATGGTAAAGGCCACTCGCGACCAGTCATAAGAGGAGCCGAGGGACTTCAGCTGCTCGTAGATACGGCCGCCCTTCTCGCGCCGCCAATCCCAGATTCGCTCGATAAACTTCTCGCGGCCCAGGTCGTGCCGGGACAACTTCTCGTCGCGCCACAGAAGTTTCTCCACCACCACCTGAGTGGCGATGCCAGCGTGATCGCACCCAGGCACCCACAAAGTGGTGCGTCCCTTCATGCGGTGGTAGCGCGTGATGGCATCCTCGATAGCGTTGGTAAGAGCGTGACCCAAATGAAGGGATCCCGTTACGTTGGGCGGAGGAATAATCATCACGAATTTTCCGTTCGGATTCGGCGAGTCAATCGACTCTCGCTAAATGGGCCAGACAGGATTACAGAGATTGCATTGCACAAGATAAGAGAGTAATTACACCATATTCGGGCGTGAAGAAGCCCTGCTTCTCCCACCAGCTGTACCACTGGGCCTCCACGTAACGCGGGCTGTACGCATCTGGCAGCGGGCCACTCAGATCCTTCTTCTCCCCGGGCACAGTCTGGGCCGTGTACACGGCAGCCTCTTTCACCTCCTTTGATCGCTTCTGTAGAGTAAATTGAAGTATGACTATAGCTTTCACCGGCAACAATGGCTACCAATTACTCCCTTTCACTGTGCCACATAACCTCGATTGGAAATCTTATTCCCAGAGATCGAGGGAATGTATTCTGGATACTCACTTCAGGCTTCTCTTTTTTTTCGCCCGCAGCAGGAGCTGCCGCTGCCTTCTTGTCCAACTTGGCCTGAAGCTTCGCCAGCTTCTCCGCCTTTAGGCGCTCCTTCTCCAGCTGCTTGGCAGTCTTTGGAGGACCTTCGGCTTCGGCTGTGCCGCTGACATCGGTCTTTTGTTCCGGCTGAGGCATTTCACAGATCTGTCTGATGCAAGAGTGTGTCAGTTTGGGAAATACCAAGTGTTTATCATTACTCACATGCAATTAATGGAGTCACAGAAAAACAGATGAAAACGTGTGCACTTCGGGGGTAGAGTTGTCAACACAGTTTTTTGCGAAATAAAAATAGGCGAGTTTCGCGGCTCTAGATATTAATTACTCATCATTCAGGAAATCTTGATTATTTAAAGGATATTAAATAGCTTATATACAAAACATTTATAACATACATCATAAAAGTGATCAATTTTTAAAATTTTAATTTTTAAAATCCATCTTCGTTTGGCAACTCTGACTAGCAGACATACCTTATCGATAGTGATTATCGATGGTTTTAAAAATATCCAAAGTATAATTGTGTATGGCTTATAAAAGCCGATTTAATGGATTTAATGTTTTTTTTTTTTTGTATTTAAAGATAGTTTTGTAGCGCTAGATGTAAATAATTAAATAAAAATACTAATTACGTTACGTTGTTTTATTGCGTTCGCGCTTAAAACAAGTGTGACCACCTGTCACGGAGCGGAAAATCCAATCGTTTTTTGACAAACTGTAGCATTATTTATCTATAGGAACGTAAACGTTTTCGCAGCGCTAATGAAATATTGGCGAGGAGTAAAATAATTTATCTTATATTTGTGCTGTTGCAAAACGGCTAGTGGACGCGGGCAGCAATCAGCTGACAGGGAACAAGTGCTTGTGCTACAGTGACATGTTTAAAGAGCGACGAGCGACCTGTGCCCGTATAAATGTTTTACTTTCGTGTGTGTCCCGAATTCAGGAGACAAGAGACATCCAATAAGCAGCCATCTTATAAGAATGGCGAGTGAATTGCTGTGAAAACCTATATGTATAAACTCCGAAACTAATGTCGCTGATGAGGAAAACACTGTTGACAAGCGGGCAGCTACCACAGAGGGCAGCAACAACAGCTACGGCCCACGCAGACATGTGCAGTGCGCAGCTAATCTATTGTAAATAAACTGCGTCTACGTCTATTGTGAATGGGCACATTTTCTCGGTCACGTACGCCGATTCCGATTCCTCGATTCCCCGTTGCATTAACACCAGGTGCAAAAGGGGCTTGAATTCGCGAAAGCACAGGTGCTGAATAAAACCCCCGATCCTCCGGATTCAGTGACCGAAGAGCAGGAAAGCAGCGGAGAACCGTCAGCGCTACTACCAGGTGAGTTTCACAGCACCTAGAACCGCTATCCAATTCCCCAATTCGCGATTCGCTACAACAAGAACGTTGTGCAAAATCGATTTTTCTATTGCCAGCCTAGTTCGCCCCTCTGCCCCGCTACCACGCTCTGTTACTGGAACGTTTGGTATTTGTATTAATTGCATTAGTCGGCGGGGGAAGTTCGATGCAGGTGTCCATCTGATAAAAATTAATTCGGGGTGTTATAGCTTTGCAAATTCAGGTTAACAAGATTATTTTCCATCTTGTGGTACCAACACACTGAGCTCTAAAAGTTTTTAATTCCAATTAATTGTTGTCAAAAAAAAAATACTTCGTATAAGAAACCATTTTTATTCTTTTCATACATATTGGTTCTTCATCGGTGGATTTTAGACCTCAGGTATCCCTCATTTCCAAGATTTTATTGCATACTTTTTGACACCTTTGGAATAAAATGTAGGGCTCTAGTGATCCTGGAGCACACGTTTTTATAATGATATTTGTATTCTTCATCAATTACATCGTAAACTCTTACTGCAATTATTACAGGCGATAAGATAAGTCTGTTTTTTTTAATGCTTAAAAGCTAAGACCTTTCAAAATTCGCAAACATCTTAAAATAATAACGTTGGAAAATCAAGACGAACAATTAACCTACCAAATTCAGCCAGAGAATATGTTAGGCATTCTGTGGGCAAGTTCCAAAAACCAATTGTATTAAGTATATAATGTGTGCATCATAATTATTTGTATACCCTAGAGCGTTCTTATTGTAAGTTTGCTTAAGTATTTCGAAGACTAGCCGGTATATACCATCTTGATGTTCTATCGGAAGGCCTTTGTCGGCACATGTAGAGTATAGCTTCGTCCTTGCCACGTTTTCACAGACTATAAATCGACGGCAAATGTAATTTTCATACTAAAACTAGCACCTTTTAAAGTACGATAGCTTTTTCTTTAGTTATATCTTTCTTGTGCAGTTAAAGGCAAAAACATGTTTCTTAAAAAGCAATCTGTTGCTAAGACTTGTCACGATGTTAAACCACAGAGATTTTAAGTCTTTTTGGCTCGATTGTTTGAAACCTTAAAGCTTTAAACTTTTTTTATAAACCCACATGGTTAATAGAAGGTATACCAAATGGAACCTTGATTTTTCACTCGAGTTAATGTAAAAAAAGGAAATGTATATATATGTATGTACATACATATGGTATTAAAGGATCATATAGCTTCGATACCTATTAATTTTCTTTTGATGTCTGCTTTGTATGTGAAGAATCCATGGATAGCCGGTAGCCATGGATTCAGGAAAATAATTCTTCAATTTCAGAAAACCGCATACTGGAACCAATTTTTGACAAAATCAAAAACAATACAGACAAAATTTCTTGAAATTATTGATTTAAAAAACAAACACTTAGATTTGAATATTGAATTAAAACGTTCAGGAATTCTATCCTTATTGGTTCCGTTTCGATGGCATCTGCGCCTTTGATGCGCCCTACCCCTACATCCTTGGTAATGACTTTTTCTAACCAAACAAAGGTAAACAAATGTTTGAGAAGTCTTTGACGTACCCACAAACTTTGTTAGGTTAAACTCTTTTCGAGACAGCAACTGACCTGCGACAAAAGGACCCTAGCAGAGAAACATCTGCCGGCTCTGTCTGGGTCGGTTTTTACCTGCCTCCAGGGTTTGAAAGAACTGGGTTCAACGTACGCCTGCGCAAATACGGCTCATTGCTCAAAAAATTATGCAGCTGGTTCGGGAAGAGGGGGAAAAGTGATTGGGAAGTTGTGATTTTCAGCGACATTTTGCACTTCCTTCTCGACGACAACTAAGAGCGGAAGTTGCAAAGTAGCAACTGTCCTGAAAGACCAATTTCTCCAGTCTTTCCTCATATCCTCGTAACTGGCATGTAATCGTTTTCGATCGACAACGTATTCTGCCCTCGTTCATATACCGGTTTTGTCCCCTAAGTTGCTCGGAACGCAATTTGAAACTTTTCCGATTGGGGGCCCCTCTTCCTGTGCTCGTCCTTATCCCATCCTGCATTCCCATTCCCGGTTACTATCCCTACGGGTTGTGGTGTCCGGTTTCAGCAGGGAGAATTCATGTTTGGAAAGCTGCTTCTCTTGGTTTGCTCCAAGTTTTTTTATGCTGGCTACCAGAGTATGGGAAAGGAATCCTGGGCGGTCGGCCAGCCGTTGTTGATGATGAAACTAGACCACTTTAGAAAAATAACATAATGGTAAAGTCTGTTTTATAAACCTTTTTTTTCGGCTAATCGTTAATAGACTTTTTGTTAGGATTTTAAAACATTAAATAGTCAAAGCAGTCTGGTATTCGTGCTATGTGCTAAGTTCTACTGCTAAGAAATATCAAGGATTTACTTGGGTCATTCACAACTGGTATATAACTGAATAGCAGTGTCCTGACATAAAAATAGGGTTTCGAATTATTAATAGGTTTCCAGAAGATCTGTGTACAAAGTATGTATTTCGTAAACACAACAAAAAATTGTTTAATTAGCTTCTTCAACTATATCCTTATCCTCGGAAAACCGAGGATCATTCGACAAAGACGAGCACAGACAATCGATCGCATTGGAGCACCTCAGAGCAGCAGGCAGATGGCAGATGGCCTTTGGTCCGTGGCACATGCCAAGCGACAATCGAAGGATCGAAGAACGCTGAGCAAGGGTCGTACCAGATGCGTCCAACATTCCCGGTCGAGCAGTAATCAATGCAACAGCAGGCCAGCCAGGCCCGATCCCTCCTGTGCAGTCTTTTCAGCTCCGTTCGTCTCAATGCCCGGCCGGCTGCAATTGCTGGATTGGTTGCACACGAACTGGCATTGCATTTTACAGCCGACATCTGTCGGTTCCGAGGGGACTGCTGCTGCTGTGCCAGCAAGCCAGCTAGCCAGCCAGCTGCGCGAGCTCCGATTAAGAACTCGGCTTGCAGGTGATGTAGGGTTTCCGCTTGGATCACTCCTACTACATACTACTCCTGGCTGAGTACGGAGAACAAAATACGCATGGGGGATGGCTGAGAATCAGCTGATTTGCGCAATGTTTATAAACAAAAAGCAAGCGGCAACAGTGGCAGTAACCCTTAGACAGGTCTGGGCATATTTTTGGAATCACCACCATGGTAAGAGTCTCAGCCAGAGTCAGGGCCACAGCCAGAGCCAGAGCAACCACCGACCTACATTGGCGCACTGGCTCTGGAAAACATGGCGCATGGGGTGGTTCCGCTCACACGCACGCACCACCTCGCACGGGTCGGCCTTCGTAGGTGCAAGGACATTGGGAAACCCCCCAAAAATGTAAACAAACGAAAGCAACCCCAGCAGACACCGGCACCGACCGCATCCGCTCTTACTCTTGGTCATGTGTCGAACCCACCACCACCGCCTTACGGACGGATACGGATTCGGTAGCGTGGCGTGTGCCGGCATGTCATCCATCCACAAAATGTCTTCGTCACTTTTAGGGGGTTTCCCAAAAAAACCGACACAGAAAACCAAAACAGAGCGCGCCGTCGGTGGTAGTTAGAGCAGCGCACGGAGAATCCGCTCCCGCACCGCTCCCATTCATAAAGCATAATAAACATACCCCCGGACTAGGTGGTGTTTTTGGCACAGATCCCGCCAGAAGTCCGGAAGGTCAGGTGTGGTGGTTCCGTGGATGAAGGTCTAACAAGTTGACGACTCAACAAGTTGTTGCCCCGCCGGGTGGTTGCGTTGCAGCTCCCGCTGGTGGGTGGTGGGTGGTCTGAAGACCGTCCCAACCCATATCCCCGACCAAGGGTTAATAAAGATGAGGTTATGCAGTTAAAGACACATATCGAACAGTTAATAATTGGGTTCCTTGTGTTGTGTGTCAGTTTTGGGACTTGAGACTGAGATTCATTTGCTTAAAATTATATATTGAAAATTTTCTATTTGGTACTAAAGATATTTTGTATATAAGAGCTTTATAAATAGATCTTTACGTATTATTTCTACTAATTCCTATCGATTGCTTTTAAGGATATTCCTGAAACTTATTTGAATTAGAATTGGAGTGGTTTCAATTTAGGTATTTATTGGGCATAGAAGGATAACATTTTATATTAGCACTCGCATAGTTTTGCATACCTTTAACTTCCACTTAAAAGTGGCAGTGAGTCACGGTCCTGTTCCATATTTCGCTGCGGCATAGATCCGGATTTGGAGCGGTATTCGCGGACTGTCACTACGTCCCAGAGGCTGCCACTTGAGCACGCGCCATGGAAATCTTGACCATTTCTTCCTTTTGCTTGCTTTATGGTACGGTATCCTTGCGCTTCCGATTTCTGATTTCTGCTCAGCATGGCCGCCATTTTGTCGACCAATAAGACTGGGATGCGGAAAGTGTGGAGCGATAGGCGAACAATGGCGGAAAACGAGGAGAGGAGAGAACGCAAAGGAGAATTAATTTGATTGCGACGGCAGCTGCTGGGCGTGCTGCAGTCGAGAGAGCGAGGCAGGGAGCAGAGAAAATGGAGAGCAGCGAGTGTGCGCCGAAAGCCTGCAACGGGAAAGTCGTCATGCGCTTGGCGTTCTCCTTCTATCAACGCTTTTTACTCCGTTAACACACACAGTAACAATAAAAAGTCGAAGGGACGCCTGTTTTAAAAAGGACTCGCAGGAGCCCACTAAATTCACACACACACACACACACAAACACGTACACGCATAGGCAAAACATAAAATGTAACGAACTCAAAGCATAAAAACAAAACAAAGGCCAGCGGCAAAAGAAGAGAAACGAGCCAAAGCCAAACAGTTGTGCAATTGAGATAAAGGACAACAAAAGGGAAACTTAGAAAAGGGGACGCGTGCTTTGCTTTTCGGTCGATGCCTGTCGATTTCGCACAGTGGGTTCGTTCAAGAAACGGATGAAAGAAATTAATTGTTCTGAATAGGAGTTGATGGTTACACTTGAATTTATTTTGAGTAGGTTTTATCGCACTTGGAGGAGGGATTGTACAATTTGAATAGGATCTCAAATTCCTCGGAAAGAATATTTTAATGTAAACAAAAAATGTTTACAATACAAATTTAAATAAAATACAATAAATATCAAAAGACCTTTAAGTTAAGGACAGATATTTCCTAGTTCGTTTGTTTTTAAATTTAGTAAATTATGAAATATCTAATAAATTAAAACACTGAATAAAGAGGTAATTAATGTTCTATTGATTTTAAAAACTGAAAATTCGACCTTAATGAATTAAAAACTGAAAGTCGATTTATTTTAAGTAACTAATACTTTAAACATATAAAAATGGATTGATTTTAATATATATTGAAATACTTAGTTCATTAATCAAACCATTTAGAAACCAAATTAATTTTAAAAACAGCAGAACAGGGAAATATCTGTTTATATTTTAAGGCGAATAAACTTAAAGAATGAATTTATGTAAATCTACTGAACCGAAAGCAAATCTAACAAGCCCACTGTGCCGGGTTCGACGCGCGTGCTTAGAGTCACAAAGGATATAAAACAGGCAACTGCCAGCAATGGTAACAACAACAACAGCGGCAGGAACAAGGAAAAAGCATAAATAATCTTGTAGTTGTTGTCGCAGCTGAGGTAGAGCTCGAATTGAAATTTTATGAGAAATTGTATTAGAGAAATGCTTTGTGGAATCACACGAGACACAGGCGACTGACTACCGAGTGTGGAAGTAAGTTCGGAACGAAGTGGAATGGAGGAGGAGGGGCAGGACGGGAGATGGGAAGTGGGAATGCGGAATGCGGAAAAAGGGGACGCGCATTATGGCGGTTCTCCGTGTGTTCTTTGACGACGTCATCGCCAGTCCTTGCTATTGCTGTTGTTGTTATTATTTTTGTTGTTGGTTCCTGTTTTCGCTTTTTACCGTTCAGTCAATGACCACATTGTGTACACAACTGCAGCGCTGTGTGTGTGAGTAAGTCCTGCCGGAAGTTGACGCCGCCGCCTGGTCATTCTCGCTGCTTTCGTGCAAGCTCTCTCCTTCGTCCTGTTATTCCTCACTCTCTCTCTCTCTCTGTTTCTCTCGTTATGTGATATGACAGAACTGCTTTGGAGAAACTTGTTTTCCTGGATCCTCGGCCTCCCCGCCATCTTTTGTGTTTGCTCAAGTCCTGCCGCGCAGTGTGACCGTTTTAAAGCGCTCTGGTCACGCTTTGATCCTGCCGTGTACCCTCTCCTTCGAGCCCCAAAACACTCCCCCGGCCGCTTTCCGTAGGCGTTACCCGACTAATGACATGTTGTAAATTATATTTTTGCTCGACGTGTTTTTTTTCGCTATTCGCTGTCCATGCTGCTGTAATTACTCAGCGCGGGTTTCCTATTTATTCCTCTCGCCCGTTTTGTTTCGTTTTATAATTTTCTGTTGGTTTTTGTACGGTTTTTGTGCACTAAGAATGAGGGGAAGCTTGTTATCGAAGCGGTATCACTTAATTTTGTCCGGCAGTTGTCCCTTGCAGTTGCAGATGTGATAATTTGTATTGCAGATACGCGGCAGCATAAAATTGGGTGTTATTAGCGATTTTCAAACTTACTTATGTATCTGTCCTTTTATTCTGGAGCCTATATAATTTTTTACATTGATCGGAACTTTATATTACTTATAATCTTATAGATTATTTAAATCTATGGAGATGATCCTAGATCATCAGAATAATATATATTCAAATCCAAATATATTATTGACGTCCTATCACAGTAATTAATTTTTGAAAAAAAAACAGATATTAAATTACAAATATATTAATTAACTAATTTTAATTATTACCGTAGACGTATAAAATTATATAGATTGCAACACAGGCAACATGATTAAAGAACATAACAATAATGTCAATGATCATTTCTTTTATTTAGATTTCACATATTTTCTTAAATTATAAATGGGATAAACGTCTAAGTTGCCACTAAAATCAATAATAATTATCCTTTCCAATTAAAAAAAAAAAAAATATGTAAACATTGCAAAAAAATAGACTACTTGGTGAATCTCTTATAGAACCAGTTATCTCGTTCTCTGCACCGACAGACCAGCATCCTTCGTTCTAAAATTACTTGCAGGTTTTTTTACTCTTTTAATACCCTGCGTAAGTTTAGGGCTGTGATCAGACTCTGAACCTAAATCATGGTGGGTTTAAATTTTACCCCTATTATATTGTTTCAAGTCTCAAGTGGATTGATAACCCTGCCACTGAAGTTCGCCTACCTACGATCGCAGTTGATCCGAGAAATGTATGTCCCAGATTAGATCTTGGCCTAAATCCGAAATCCAAGCTAACACAATGCATAATGAGGATTAAGTCCCTTGCGATTTCGCAGCCGCCTCAAAGGGAACGAAATAGGGACAGAGACGGGGGCTCCGACTGCGGGAGAGCGTTTCAAATGGCAATTTCCAATGCATTTTCCTTTTGCCACGTCTAGTTTTCGCAACGACCCGAAAGAGCAAAGAAAATGCATTGTTCGATGGTCGTATGGCTGGATGAATGGATGGTGAAAAGGACGATGGATAACAACTGCCGTTTTTCCTCTCGGCTTGCACTTCCCTCTCCAGTTTTATCCTGCCAAACTTGTTTGCGCCGTCTCCCTCTCGCTCTACACTAATTTTCCTTCCACATTATGCTTTGACCAGAGCATTCGCATTAAAAGGACAACGCTCTCAGCGTGTGCGCGTGTGTGTGTGTGTGAGCCAGCGAGTTCTGTCGACGCCTGCGTCTGCGTCGTTGCCATCGTCCTGGCATCAGTCTGTAGTTCAGTCAACGCTCGCCGCTCAGACCGCTCAGACATGTCGTGCCCGTCGTGAGTGCTTCATATATATATAAATACATATATATACACACAGTTATCCTCGGAGAGGCCCCCGCCCCCGGAACAACAAAGTCAGAGACTGGAAAACACAAGACTACGTCGCCATCAGATGTTGCAAAAATAAGTTTATAAAAACAAAAGACGTCAAGCCAAAGTTATTTAAATCGCAAGAATAGTCGAAAAGTGTGTCCTTAAAGTGTGAAGAGCAGACAACAAATTGTGCAAATAAATTACACAGAAAAGGAGCAAAAGTTAAACAAGCCAATAAAATAATATAATGTGCAATAAACCAAAACGAATATAAGGACAAACCATCATCTTAAAGCGAGCACGAGTCCTTTGCCATTTTGTTGGGATTTACGCACTGAGAGCATCAAAAAAAGAAACAGAAGCGAAAAAAAACCATCGAAGCACATCACAAGTGAGTCCCAAATTTCGTCCTTTCACACACACACACACACACACACACACACACACACACACACACACACACACACACACACAAACATGTCAACACACACACATACTCGCTGTCTTGCGACTCGCCCATTTAAAACCGCTCTTCAACGAGTACCCAGCCCGCTCCCTCTCCCTATGTCTGTCTCTATTTCTCCTTCGAACTAGCAAATAGTTTTGCGCACTCGTCATTGCCTCCTTCCCCCTTAGAAAACATCGTCGGTGCTCCGCTCTTTCTCTCTCTCTCTCTCTCTTTCTCGCTCAGTGAACTCGTCGGGTGGTGGTACAGTTTTCTGCTTAGCCGAAAAATTGCGTAAATTTTCATCTAGTTTGCTGGGATGTCTCGCACTGCATTGTCCTTGTTTTCGCTATTCTAGCCGCTTATCCGGCCTGCAGAGCTTGCAGTCTGCGTGTGCCGAAAATAGACAAAATTATCCTGAACCATTGGTATTAAGTGAGAAAATTGTGTCGGGGGGACTTGTGACTATTCGCTTATTGGGCGTTTTCTATCTGACTGTCTTGTTGCGGGGATATACGGTTCGTCCTGGATGACGTTCCATAATTAATTATCCGCAGTCAACATGATTTATTGTGATTTTTTAGTGAGAGCTTCACGTATACAGAAATATATACATATGTACATGGAGAGAAATTCCGCTTTCTGAATAAAAAGAAATATTGTGATATAAATATTTTTGTACTATTTCATCATCCTTTGAAATGATATGGATATTGCTTGGGATCTCAAAAGCTTTTTAGTTTTAATAAATATATTGTAACATGCTTTTATGATTCGATTTAGGGTTTTTATTTGGAATAGTTTTTGCGGTTGTAGAAAAATAAAACACAATGAAATTAGTTTGATCAGTTCTCTTAGAAGGTTTGATCCTTGCAATTTTGGTCGAATGTCAGGGGTTTGGATTCGTTTCGTTTTCTATGAAATATTGGTTAACTTTTAGCTTTGATTTTAATCCACTTAGTTTATTTGAATTGAGTTATTTATCTAAACAGGTAAACAAATGATACACAAATTATAAATTTCCTCAATTTCAGCCTTGAATTTAAAATTTAAAAGGCCTGCTATTAGCTAAATAAACTCTTTAGTTAAACTTATTTAATATTACTAACTTTATTCAGCAGCAATTGACAATCAAAATTGGTAAGGTAATTGATAAATTCAAAAGTTACAGCGTTTTTAACACTATAATAAAAACCAATCAACCTTAAACCCCTTTTCGTTTTCAGCCCGAGTTCTGCATGATGACATATGATATGCATATTCAATTTGCATTTATTTTTAGTTTTTAAGGCATTCAAATGAACGATCGGTGCACTTTCTATGGGTTCCTATGGGTAATGGGTCTTGCTAGCACAGGAGGCAAGCCTCTCGAATGGCAGCAGCAACTGCATATCCTGCCAGCCTCTATTTTCCTGCTAGTCAGCCTGCCTGCCTGCCTGCCTGCTGTTGTCGTTACCGCGCCCATTTTGAAAGGCGCTCGATGAGTTGCAGCTGTTCCTGCGTTTCATTGTTTGCTTTGTGGCAGGCAGCCGATCCTTAGCGATCCGATCCGATCGTTCAGCAGTTGCGGGGCAGGCGGGCTGGCAGACGGGGCATCTGCTCGGGATTAATGGCCCGAACGGAGCACGGAGTTTTAATGCTGCTTCTATCACAGTTACAGATCGAAGCAATAGACTCCAAGAGATTAGTGTCTCGTAGAGACTAAACCTGATTCTGGCAGTAGGACGAAAACAGAGCGTCGACGAAAATGAAAATGTCAGAGGTGCCCCGCATCATGGTCTTTCGGCCCACCTGGGAGGAGTTCAAGGATTTTCCCAAATATGTAGCCTACATGGAGTCTCAGGGCGCCCACAAGGCCGGTCTGGCCAAGGTGGTGCCACCGCCAGAATGGGTGCCCCGGCGCAGTGGCTATGCCGATTTGGATGCCCTAAATGTCACAATACCGGCGCCTATATGTCAGGTGGTTACCGGCAAGCAGGGCTACTACCAGCAAATAAACATCCAAAAGAAACCGTTGACCGTGAAGCAGTTCAGCGAACTGGCCAGCACCGAGCGCTACGCGACCCCCAAGCACTTTGACTTTGAGGATCTGGAGCGAAAGTACTGGAAGAACATCACATATGTGGCACCTATTTATGGAGCGGACGTCAGCGGCAGCATCACAGACACCGACCAGGATGTAAGTGTTTGGGTTTTAGTGTCCCTCTGTTCCCTCTTGACGATGCATTGCATTTGCTGTTGCAGAGCTGGAACATCAACCGGCTGGGCACCATTCTGGACTACGTAAACAAGGACTACAACATCCAGATAGACGGCGTGAACACTGCGTACTTGTATTTTGGCATGTGGAAGACCACGTTTGCCTGGCACACGGAGGACATGGACCTCTATTCAATCAACTACTTGCATTTCGGTGCGCCCAAGACGTGGTATGTGGTGCCGCCCGAGTGCGGCCGCAAGCTGGAGAAGGTGGCGAATCAGTACTTTCCAGCCAGCTACAAGAACTGCAATGCCTACCTGCGCCACAAGATGACACTCATCTCGCCCCAGATACTTAAACAGCACGATGTGCCAGTTAGTAAGGTGTGTTTGTCAATAGTTCCACAGTCCAATTGGGTGGGGACCTCAATGTCTATATCGAACATTTGCAGATCACGCAGGAGGCTGGCGAAATCATGATCACGTTCCCGTTCGGCTATCATGCCGGCTTTAACCACGGCTTCAACTGCGCCGAGTCCACAAACTTTGCCATGGAGCGATGGATTGAGTACGGCAAGCGGGCAGTGCAGTGTACTTGCAGCAACGACATGGTCAAGATCTCAATGGACACGTTCGTCAAGCGCTTCCAGAGCGACCGCTACGATCTGTGGCTGGAGGGACGCGATGTTGGACGGCATCCGGAGGATCCCACCAACGGGACTCCCAGCGCCGCTCCCCTGCCCCCGCACCTCGATGTCCTGCTGTGTGATAAAAAGTAGGTTCCCAAAACTCTGGTGTGCCTTTGAATTTGTGCATTAAACAAGTCTCTTTGCCTTTGGTCTTTCCCTTCTTTGCAGAATGAAGAAGCAATGCAACCCCACCAAGGCTAAGAGTTTTAAGGAGCGCAATCCCGATCTTGACCTGGATGAAATCCAGCAGAATCCCAACGTGCCAGATGACGTCAAGGCCATGCTGAAGGAGAGCGTCCTCACGCTAGACACCGCTGAGCTGGGCCTCGACGAGGGCGACTACGCCAATGAGGATGCCATGAGCCTGCAGAGTCCCGCCGATCTGAAGACAAAGCAAGAGCTGCTGGAGTACATAGATGACGGCACAGGTGTGTGCTGTGCACCGTTAGGTGCCATCGAGAGTTAATGCTTTGGCTTAACCATAATCTCTTAATTTTCGCTCTTGTCCTTTTCTTATTTCTCCTTGGTTTTCTGTTTGAATCTTTTAATGTGTAGAGGATGACGACGAGGAGGAGGATTTTAAGCGGCGTAAACAAAAGCGCAAGTACGACGCCGATTACGATGACGACTGGTTGGCGTCGAAGCGCAAAACGAATTCGAGGAACAGCAGCCGAGGCCGTAGTCCGCGCACCAAGGATGACCGCTCCATATCGCCAGCCTCCTCCACGTCCTCGACGTCACGGGGAGCGAGACGCGGGAAGGCCAGTGGCACGCCCCGCAAGACGCCAGCGAGGCGGAAAAAGGAAGCCGTTATCACGTCGCCGCCGGTTGCAACCGGCGCTGTCAGAGCTGTGCTGCAATCGCCAACACCTGCACCCGCTGCAGCAGCAGCAGTCGTATCAGCAACTCCAACGCAATCTGCAGCAGATGGTGGCGGCGGAGGTGAGAGCAGCAGCTTTAGCAGCCACTGCACCACAACATCCACATAATCACAACAGCTTCTCCTAACCAATTTCATCCCAGCCACTAACCTCTGTCCCCTTCCCAGCAACAGCGTTTCATGACATTTCACAGCTGCTTCGTTGCACTTCCGTTTGACCCCGAATTCAGTGTTTTTAACAGCATTCCCATTGTTTATTAGTTTTGCGTTTTAAATGTACAAATTCAAATCGTCTAGTTTATTTTAATTGTAAGAGTGCGCCAGAGAAATATACGATCACGCTTTTAAATCTATGCTAAAAACTAACCAAAACCAAAACTGTTTTACTAAAACGAATCCAAGGTGTTTGTTGGTGCTGCTTGGGCCTGTTCTTCTCGCTTGTCTGCCGGCCCCCAGAATTGTCGTCTTTATCTTGTTCGCCTGCCTCTCGCCTCTCACTGCCTCATTGCCCTCCAACCTTCCCACTGCTCGCAATACCTCCCTCCGAGTCCACAGCCTCTATGTGTGTGTGTGTGTTAATATCACCAATAACAATAACATAACAAAACAATCACAGAAAATCTTGTCGCGAATATGAACTAAATTCTACCGATTGCCATTTTCCAGATGCCAAAAAGGAACAGCAGAAGCTGCAGTTCATGCAACAGCCCCGAAAGTTCGAAGGCAAGATACCAAAATTAAGTGCGGCAGCGGCAGGAGCAGCAACAGCAGCAACTACATCCAAATCTAGTCAAGAGCAGCAGCAGCAACAAATTTACGTTAACATGCTGCCCGCGGCCAACACACTCAGCGGCATTCCACAGCAGCAGCAGCAATACGGTAGCACGGACGGAAACGTCTACCAGCTGCAAAACGAGATACTCTGTGATGCAAACGGTCAGGCGGTGACGGCCGCCACGGCCTCATATCAGACCACGGCCAGCAGTCCGCAGCATCAGCAGCAGCAGCAACAGAGTGTTGCGAGCAATGTTGCCGGTAAGTGTCCGCTTTGAACTTGTTTTGCTTAATTTGTTTATTTGTTTGTTGGTTGTAGTCTTTGTGTATGGTTTAACCCTCTTGTGTACTCGAAATTGGTGTTTCAGTTAACCCCTCATTGTAAATAAAAACTCACCTTTATGATTTAACCCACGTCCCACGAATCCGAACTAATGCTTTCCTTCGTACCCTGAGTGTTGCACAGTCATTACATTTCACACTTCACCATCCAGCGAATATTTATTAATTTATGACTTTAAATCGTGATTGGTGTCAAAATTTAGAGATAAAAACTGAGGACAAACTGAGAACTTGACTTCCATTTGCTGTGTTCTTGTCGCAAATCGAAACAATTTAAACTGAGCGAGAAACTCTTCAAGAATAATCACCGATCAAAACCAAATGCCTTTAATTAATAACAAATGCTTATCGACTGCTCCAAACACTACATATGTACATGCTCTTGTCTATAATTTACGACCTGCTACCTTCTACCAGGTCCGTGTCTATCTCTTCTCGAACTCTCCTGACCTATATTGGATCTGTATAACATAAATAAATGCACAAATCATTTCAACAGCAGGAACTCTAATCCGAGCAAAGCGCGTCGAACACGGATCAAAGGTCGTGTTGATCTTATCTTACCTGATTTAGTTAGAGATTAAGCTTCCGCTGCAATTCAATATCCGGGGGCCGAGTCTGTCCAGTGCGGCCCAGCGGACGGCGACAGTGCTGCCCATACGCGTCCTTGCCAGCACTTGGGCCTAGGATATTGCAATTGTTTGCCTTACTTTTTATATTTGCGTTTATTATTTAGTTATTATTAGCAAAACACAGACTACCTCTGTAGAGACCCTTCACTTATTGTTTCACACCATCGACACATCCAGTCCTTGGCCCTCGCGAAGAGAGGAGCCGCCAACACACCAGTTTCATCCTCTCTGCTCTGTCCTCCTGTAAAACCTCAGCCTCAGTTATTCAAGTACGATTATTTATTTATTTAGATTTATTTAGTACGTATTGAGTTGCGAGTACTGTACCAGAGTTATGATTACGATTACTGTAAAGTAGACTTAAGTAAACACAGATTCTACCGACAAACAAAAACCAATTCACTCACGACGTTCTCCCGAATATCCTGTATCCGTAAATCTAAAGGCACGTGTACATGGCGCAGGTGCTAGCCACCTGTGGCATCTCTGCACGCAGTTGGCCCGCGAGTAGCTTCATTTTGCACTGCATTCGTTTTATTCGAACCTGATTTGAGTGAATTGTTGATTGATTTCGACTTCGATTACGAATTGATTTATTGATTTATGCAAATATTACATTCAAACACATCTTTTATGAACCGAAACCGAATATGTATTTTCCAAAAAATATATAAACAAAAGACAATGTGGTCACAACTATTAGTTCGTCCTCCATCCTGCATACGAACGCCAACACCAACGGAGTGGACTCGATCACAACCACCACCCACGCTCAGCAACAGCAGCCGCAGTACCACTACATCACCACCACCGGCGAAGACGGACAAACCCCAACCACCATAGTGTTCGAGAACTACAACGGCGGGCTGCCGGCGGTCACCTCCGCTGCGCCCACGCCCGTCTCCGTGCCGCAGAGCAACGCCGCTGCCACCACGACCACCACCACGGCCCTGGTCAACACGGACGGTACTATCATCGAGTTCGACGGCAGCACGTATGAGGAATACCATGTGCTCAAGAGCGAGCCCGGCAGCAGCGACTGCCTGAGCAACGGCAGCAGCGCCGTGGCCGCCGACATAATCAAGTACGAGCCACAGCACGGCATCGCCGGTGACGAGGAGGAGGACGACGAGGAGGCTGGCCTGCTGCATGTCAAGTACGAGGAGCAGAGCCTCGAACACGATCCGGACCACGAGCACGATCACGACCCGGAGAATGAGCACGAGTACGAGGAGTTTCAGGTGATCAAGGCCGAGGTGGAGGCCGAGGCAGCGGAGCAAGCCGCCGGTACCACCAGCTATACCATCAGCCAGGATCAGGGAACTTCGGTGACCTCGGTGGCGCCCAAGGCGGGTTCGGCGGCGGCAGCCAAGCAGAAGCGCAAGCGCAAGACACGCGTCATCGCCGACGACGAGCAGGGCGAGTATCTGGAGAAGATGAGTGTGCGCGGTCTGGACATCGCCCGCTATGAGCACATCATTGACGGCGTGGCGTATTGCCTCGTCTGCGCCAAGAATGACATCTTCAAGACCTTCAAGAACAAGTACAGCTTCCAGCGGCACGCGTATCTCTTCCACGAGGGCCAGAACCGAAAGATCTTCGCCTGCCCCATCTGCAACAAGGAGTTCTCGCGTCCGGACAAAATGAAGATGCACAAGAAGGACAAGCACGGCGATGTTCCCATGCCGCCGTCAGCCACAACGACGCCTCTGAAATCCGACGGTCCGCCGGCGAAGAGAGCGCGTAACGCTCGCACTCCACGAGTCCGAAAATCCAAAAGCGGAGATGGCAGCACGCCGACCAAAAAGCGGCTGGCGCAGATAGACAGCGTCCTGGATGATGTGCAGAATGCAGAGGTTCTAACAGGGTCGCCGGTCAGCGTGAGTCACTCGCAACAGCAGCCCATGCAGCACACCCTTACCACCTCGCTGGCCTCCACGACACCACAGCCACAGCCACAGCAGCAACAGCTGCAGACGCTACCCTCGTTGGACTTCAGCGGCATGATTCTGCCGGGCGGAGCGCAGTTGGCGCTGGCCAATCCAGGCGCCACCAGCTCAGTGGGTCTGCAGCGCGGACCCTCCACACCTAATGGCGGCCAGGCCGCCGCGCCCACCACCACGCTGATCTACTCGAACCAACTGGAGCTGCAGCAGGCACTGTTGCAGCAGCAGCTGCATGGCCAGAGCATCATGATCCAGGACCAGGCCGGCAATCTGGTGCCTCTTCAATTGGACGGCAGCCAGGCAATATATACCACGACGCCGCAGCGCCAGCAGTCTACGGCGGCGCCCACATATCAGACGAACCAGCAGCCGCAGCAGCAACAACAACTGGTGCAGCAGCAGCAGCCGCTGAAGGTTCCCGCCAGCCAGGCGCAGCAGTCCCACTACGAGCTTGACAACGTGACCTATCTTAGCTCCACGACGGCGGCCACCCCCGCGGCGGCGGAGCAGCAGCAACAGCAGCACGTGATTGGCACGGTGCAGAGCTACCAGATCCTGACGCCGGACGGCCTGCAGAACTTCCAGCCCAAGCTAGACTCGAGTGAGCTGGGCGACCTCTGTCCCTACTCGCAGTACACCTTCACCACGCATGCCGGCACCCAGCCCACACTGAATGCGAACGCGCTGGACGCGCAAACGCAACAGCAGCAGCACCAGCATCAGCAACATCACCACCAGCAGCAACAGCACCAGCAGACGCAGCTGCTGCAGCAGCAGCATCCGTTCGCCACGCACCACAATCCGCACCAGCAATTTATGGAGATCAAGAACGAGCTGCTTATCAAGGGAGGAGGTGACACCTATGCCCTGGACGCCGCCTCCATGTACCACCTGCCCTTCTCGCCCACGTCAATGATCAACGCGGTGAACGATGTGAACACCTCGTCGCTGCTGGAGACCAAAGAAATTAGGTAAACCAACCCTTTCCAACTAACTATATCCCTTAGCCCTTCCCCGTCTCCCTTGGACTTTCCTAGAGTAACTACGCGCCCGTTTAGATTGCCGCTCTGCATCTGTATCTCGGTATCTGTATCTCTGTACCTCTCTTTGTATCTGTACTCTTTATGTAAATTCTATCGCTATATATCTGTCTCTGTATTCCTTTCGTTGAGATCATCGGCGGCGGCGGTGGCGACGCTGATTTTCCCTTCACGTTTCTCACGTAGAGAGTCACCCACCGCCGCCGTACTTGCTACTAAGCACCTGCAACTTGCAACACCCGATGGCCGCCGGCGAACACACGAAAACTGAACATATGTGGGAGAAGGGGGGGTCTTCGCACACGTGTTGAAAAGTCGAACCAAGTACTTACAATAAGCATTAATCTGTTTATTTTTAAATAATAGTATATATTTTAGTTTTATTTTAGTACTCCATTACCTTAGTTTTTACGTACGAATGATTATTTTGTAGCGTTTTGTAAGTTTCAGTTCATTTAGTTTGTATTTTGACAGTATTGAACATTTGACTTGATTTCTGTGCATTTATTTATTTACCTTACCAGTAACACGAACCCACAGCGGTTGGCTTTACTGCCTCTGTACTTATTATCTGCTAAGCGAATGCCATTGATTGAATAACCCGAACCAGTAACCATAATAACCATTTCGTTTCCCTTTTCGTTTCGAGCAACAGACTTGTGTTCAAATACGTTTTTTAAACTTCAATGCAATTTTGTTCTTTTTTTCTTTCTTTTCTCTTGTTTTATTTTATGTACACACAACCAACCCACCAACCAACCAATCAATCAATCAATCAATCAATGAAACCAACAATCCGACAATATAAAACTCGGAAAAAATTAAAAATCGTATTATAAACCGCGTAGCTACGATATATCAGAGGCCGTGCTTCTAGCTCTCTAGAGAACTGTCGACATCCACCGAAAGCTGCAGTACCAAAAATTCTATCTAAACTGAGCGCGAAAACTCGAGCAAAAGCAACGCAAATGGAAGCCAAGCTGAAAAATGAACACTGATCGAAACTTGACGAAACAGTGTGTACACATCACATAGCTACTTAATACTCATTCGCTTGCCTCTTGGCCTTGTCCATTCATTCATATTCCTCCACCATCTTGTTGTGTGTGTGTGTGATCGACAACAACTAAAATTGAAACAAATAACAAACTCCCCCAAAACACAATCCATTCGAGTAACATAATAAAAAAATTAATTACAAAATACAACAAAAATGTATAAAAATTATAAAATTGGACATTAGTGCAAGGTATGTGTACTTTTATTTATTCGCTTTATTTCCTCATTTGATTTTGATTTGCATTCCACCATTTTATGTTTTGTAATTAACCAAAGTACCAAGGGATCAATAAATCGGAACACCTAACAATTGGTTTGACTTCTCAGGAGAAAGCTGCCGCCAGAACAGACACTTAACTATAAAGATTTGTACATATTCTAGTGAAATAAATGAATTAATTATTCTGCCAGTGTTTCCACACTGACTAAAGCTTCCCTTAAAGACCTAACCTTAAATATCTAAGGGGTGAACGTTTTTCGGGGTAAAGTACAGTGTACAGTGTCTCCTGGCTGCGGTTTTTTTACCCCCATAAACAAACATTCCATATACATTCATCCATCAAATAAACACGTCTACATTGGATCATTACATTAAGCTATCAGCCATAAGTGTCATTATTATGATTTACTAACCCGAATTAACTTTGATTTAAGCATCACTAACATTCGAATTACATTAAACTTTAAATGGATCAGATCGAACTAATCGAGCTATGAAAAATCAAAAAGAGAATCCAACAAACACATGCTAATCAAAATGTTTTTATTTTTTTCTTTTTTCACCCAACAACATTTTACGTTCGTCTGTGTTGTTTGTGCTTTTGTGTTATTCCCTATGATTTGCACACGAAATTCATAAACATGCGACACAACAACCTGAACAACATCAACAACATGCAGGTTCTTCTAAACACCACAACCGCGACCAGAAACAACCAATGTTCAAGCGGCCAAACAACACACCACCAAGCAATCACAGAACCCAGAACACGAACAACAACAATCCGAATCAAAATCAGACCAAGAACCCTGTCCAAGATGATTTGCAGCGTCGCCAAGCGGAAGCGAATCGCATTTACTACGAAGAAATCATCGTCAAGCAGGCGAACGCTCGTGCCTGCGCTCGTCTAGCCGACAGCAACAGCAAAGGTTGCAATCGCAGCAGCAACATCAGAAGCAGCAGTAGCAGCACCGGCAGCTTCGTCGACCAGTTCGCCGAATTTGTTGTGCATTCGTCCAGAACTACTACTCCCATGTCCTCCGATCCCATGTCCCATGTGCCGCCTCCTCCAACAAATAATGCAAACGATGTCTCATCTCTCCTTCCTCCCAAAACCAACAGCAGCAGCAGCAGCAACACCAACAACGTGTCCGTAGTGAGCAGTAGTGGCGGCAATGGTATCAAAACACCGGCCAAGAAATCCTCATCCGTCATCCTTCTGGCCGCTCGAGGAGCTGGAGCTGGCAAGCATCCGCCTATTAGCATCCTCAATGGCAGTTCCAAGGTCGCAACCGGAGCCGGAGGCGTGACTTTGGTCCGTGTTAATAACTCCAACCGCAATCAGCGCCAGGTGATTGTCGCCACGGAAGCTGCAACTGCAGCTGCAGAGCAAGAGCGGCAGCAGTTGGCCTCCGAGGAGGAAGAGCTGGCCGAGGAGGAAGAGCTTGATGAGGACCTGGATGAGGATGCGGCGGCCCTTGGTGCTCTGTCCTCCTCGACTGCCCAGATTCTGAGGAAGTTCCGCATACCCAAGGGCACAGCCGTGACGGCGAAGTCGGCGGGAGATAATTACCTAGCCATGCCCACTCCCACCCCATCTCCACCTGGTGGCGTCGTCAGCGTGGTTAGCACCGGCATAGACGCTGATGGGGGCTACATCGAAAACGAGGATGACATTATAGAGGAACTCAACGAAGACGATCTGGTGGAGGAGATTATCGACGAGGAACCTTGCGAGGAGCAGCCAGATCTGGAGGAGGAAGTGCCGACAAGTGCCAACGAACACGATGGTCTCGCCAACGCGGGAGCAATGCTGCTCGCTCCTCAGCCACAGCCCCAACCACCGCCACTTCAGCTGCAGACGGTGGCCTCCAACGGAACGGTGACCTGCTTTAATCTGCCGGCCAACACAATCCTGCTGCAGTCGGCTGACGGCAGCATAATCGCCGCCACCCAGGTGCCGCATCCCAGCAAGGCGGGCCATCAGCAGCTGATTGCCCTACCGGGCAGCGTGGCTCTGGCAGCCGATCCGGTGGCTCAGCCTGCTGCTGCGGCAACGCCTCAGGCCACGCAAACCCTGCTGCTGACAGCCGATGGCACGGCTATTCCTATACTGGCAACCGGAACTCCCCAACAGCCGCAGCAGCAACAGCAACAGGCTGCTGCTGCTGCTGCTCAACTGTTTGCCGCGTAGGGGCTAATGGGTGGCCAATTGGGTCGATTTTTGAACAGTGCCACCATAATGCCGACCACGTACTTCTTTTAATCTCAAATCAAATCCTTTAAATCTCAAATCGCTATTCCACAGCGATTCTTCGGTTGCTCATGGTGCAAAGCTTTCGTTGGCTTAGCTTTCCACTGTCGGCAACGCGCTTTTAGTCTCTGTTAGGTTCTCTTCTATAACAGATCAAAAATCGTCACATTTGGCCACCAATAATGGGGAAGGGATGGGGAAAGGAGTCCCCTTACTGTAAACACAATGAATAATAACTCAAACATAAGCAAAGCTACAACTCACTGATATTACTACTACAATGTTGGATGTGCATAAGAAATGTATTTTTTTATTACCAAACCAAATGCCTATATGAATTCAAATCAAATGTTGTTCAACACACCGAGACACACACACGAAGGAATCAAATATGTATGTACATTTCAAGGCAAACTTAAGAGCATCTTAATATTAATTAGATTCGTACGCCTAAGGTAACTTTTAATCGCGAAAGTGCAAAGACGATGAGACACACACCCGAAACCAGTTGTAACTATTTTATCTGCCGTCTCTGTGCAGTAAATATGTTCTAGCCTAATTTAGTTTTGTGAGGACTTCTTTTCCGATGTATCCAAGAGAGTTCTCCCACAAATACCTATATATATTTAATTTGTTCCTTGATTAAAGAGAAACAGACAGGCGACTATGTTCTTGTAGTATTTATCCAATAAGTTCTCATTCTATTTATTTATTTTTGTTAACCAATCTTATATCCGTGCATCCCAAGCCCTCTGTCCCCTTGTCCCCTTGCCCCTTATCATTATATTTTTTAATGTGTTGTATATTCTTTACAAAAATATTATATATTTTGTATCCGCAATTTTGTTATGCCATTTCACTTACAAATAGGAATTCAAGCATAGCGCACTGACCTAACATTACTCTAAGTTGTAGGCTCTATACTTTAGGATCAAGTATTTTTTTAAACGAGATTCTTGCAAAGCCAAGAACCCAACACGACCCAACAACACACTAGGCTAAGCAAAGCTAGATTAAGCCTAGAATATAACTTGTACCGATGGAAGACAATGATTCAAAAAATATATCTAAATATGTAATTTAAGACACAACAAATGAGCGAAAATAAGTTGCACTTCTGTAAGATATACATACATAAATTAAGCCTAAGGTCTAAATCATAACGAAGCGAAAATGTAAACATTAAGCAAACTCGGTGTAGCCTACATTATGTAAAATAAAAAGTCTAAAGCTAATATTACTTTACATAAAATATATATTTATTATATACAATAAAATAAAATTTTAAAAATTTAAAGCAATAGTCGGTGTGTTCCGTAATTTTTGACAAAAACAGGTAAGTAATTTAAATAACTATTGTGTTTAAATAAATGGAAAAATGGAAAGTTAATCAAAAATGATAAAAATATCTTACAATCAATAATAATGTTCGGTAAAAAGATTAAACAACAAGAAAGGGTATATAAAACTTTTGTAGATATGATAATAATTAATATAAATTATGTTTTGGTATTCATTTTTCATAAGATTTTTGGTATTAAATATGTAAGTATATCTGTTGGTTGTAATATCTAATAAATAATGTATATAATATATAATATAATATTGCAATTTGATATAATTAATACAATATAAATAAATAAATTATTCCTACTTTCATTAGAGTCACCTGTACTGTTATATTTACAGTTTTCCAGTTACAGTTTTTTACCGATAATTTCTATGGCAGCTACATGTAGTCGTCCGATTTCCATAAAATTAAAACTGAAATTTTGGAATAATATAAAAGGGCTATATCTAAGATTTGATGAAAATCTGTTGAAAACTGAAAAAGTTATATTTTTTGTTTATTCTGATCAAGAGTATAGATTTTATACGGTCGGAGATGAATCTTTGCTGCGTTTTAAACTTCTGACTAAAAATAATAATACTAATAAATAAATAAATAAATAATAAAAATTAATAAAACAAATAAATAATAAAACTTGCCGCGCTGGGAAGCATTTTATTTTTATTTAATTTTAGCGATAATCTTATTTAAAGAATATACATATTTGTAAAGTTTTTAAAATTTTCTTTGTGGATATTATTTATAATATAAATAAAATACTATAATACTAAAATAATTTCTAATTAATTTCTGTATAATTCTCCGCCCTGTTCTGTCGACCGCTGCCTCTTGCTCTGGCGTCCTCGCGGTTGGTTTTTCTATAGCCGGTACATTTTAAAGGATAACGAACGACAACAGCTGATATACAACAAAAATCTAAAATTGGAGAGTTGGAGACTTCAGCAAGTTTTTATGCAATACTTTTATATCGATAAGCCCCAAACGCTAGACCGTGTCTATCTACATATCGATAGGCATCAATATCGCAACACGAAATATTTGGACACCACTATCGAAAAAATGTAAACAAACGAAGAGAAGCCATGTGTAGTCAGCTTTTAAAAATACAAATAACGGCAAATAACGGTTCACGATCTAATGAGATTTAATTTAATTCTTAAAAACCCTGTCCATTATTTAAAACAGCTGTTAGGAATCAAGTCTACAAAAATTGCGACTGTCAAACATAAGCTTTACAACACTGACAGTCAATGTTAAGTAGGCGTGGGAAAACCTTGGAAGGTGGTGAAAACAAAATTAACACTCAGAAGGTGCTTAAATTGCAGGAAAATAATTGGAAATATTTTTAACAAAATGTATCTACATTTGTATGCCAAACAACCACGTTTTGAAATCTCTTGCAGCATCCCTCGTGACCTATCGATAGGCAACACTCGCGAGCAGTACCACTGACCAGTACTACCCTCATATACATACTGCTTTGCCATTTTTATCATGGCGATTTCTTTTTGACATTTCACTACTACTGGTCGCACGTGTTTTCGGGTTAGGCTCTGTGCTAAATTTTAATTGAATCAAAGTGAGTAGCGGAAAAAACTGGGTTTTTGCGTTGATTAACAAGTGCATTCTGTCGCTGCCGACGTCCCGCAGATGAATCCGGAGAAGTTGAAGAAGTTGCAGGCGCAGGTGCGCATTGGCGGCAAGGGCACCCCCCGCCGCAAGAAGAAGATCGTCCACTCCACGCCCGCCACCGACGACAAGAAGTTGCAGTCGTCGCTGAAGAAGCTGTCGGTGAACACAATCCCCGGCATCGAGGAGGTGAACATCATCAAGAACGATGGCACCGTCATCCACTTCAACAACCCAAAGGCGCAAGCCTCTCTGCCGACGAACACGTTCGCCATCACCGGCCACGGTGAGAACAAGACGATCACGGAGATGGTACCTGGCATCCTCACGCAACTGGGGCCCCAGGACATCAACCAGCTGAAGAAGCTGGCCACGGAGATCGCCAATAAGAACGCCGCCGGCGGCGCAGCCGGTTCTGCTGGTGCTGATGCCGGTGACGATGATGTGCCCGATTTGGTCGAGAACTTCGAAGAGGTTGCCATCGCCGGCACGAAGGCTGCTGCCCCTGCTGACGGCGAAGTGGCGGCTTCCGCCTAAGAAGAAGGATTCACACCACATACACACATTAACACCGAACACATACAAACACACAAGGCAGAGGAGCGAAGGGAAATATACCGGGCATACCGCCCAGCCGGACACACTAAAACGCACGCCCTCAACATCGGGCAAAGCCGCCCGATACCGGACCCTGGTCTTGCGCACGGTATGTCGCTGGAATAGGCTTTCCCTTCGTCACCCTCTGCCTCTTTTTTGGGGGTCATGCTACACACTATACACTAAAAAAACAAAAAATAAAGGCATCCGAGCGAGCGCTGAACAGAAGCAACACCTAAACATAATACCTTACCATAATATGTAACGTACTAAGGGAACCTTCAAACCTAATCTAATAGTCATAGTTTGGAAGCGATCAAAATGTATTTTCCAAAGCGATTAAAGCACGTTTCCTTAATCCAATATTGGAATCCAAAAGCACTAATAATTTCTCCCAAAACACACCACACACTGCGCTCATTCATACATAACTATATACATAGATATATAAACAGTTTTACGGAAGAAGACGAAGAACAGAGGAGGAACAGTGATTAGGGGACGGAACGCAGACACTCCACAAGAAGTCATTGCCAGGCCGACGGGAAAGTTGAGGAGGAATGTATTTTTAGTTATATATAATTCCCGTTCCACTTCCAATCCAATTGTAACCCCCACACGCACACCACTTCGCTCCGCCTCCACAGTTCGAAACGTAAACAATGTGCAGTCGCCAATATTATTTCAATTTATGATACCAAAATTGTTGAAAACGTTTATTATAATTTGTAAACTATTTTTTTAGGCCTTCATACCACGCATACATTAAAAGAACTGTAAAAAACATATATCAATTCCATATTTATCTCATTTACTTTGGGGAATTTACTAAATTACGTTTCGTTTTTTTTTCTTGCATAACATTCATTTGTGTGTGTGCCTGTGCCTGGCAGCGCTTAATATGTGGGAAAGGGAGGGATGTGCTACAAAAAGCACGCGGCAGTTAAAACTTGTTGACATTGAAATTCGGCAGCTGTCTGCTTAAGACTCACGGCCCAGTTGAACGGGCTGCGTGAATCGAAGGAGCCTCAGGTGTTTTCCGAGGTTCAAGGAACAGCCGCCGAATATGCGTTCAAAACTAATACATATGTATGTAACATAATAATCTGGTCAAAAAGCAAAGGTGAAAAAGCTGAAACCCGGCGTACATATGTATGTGTGTTTGCCTTTGTGGTGGAGGCGTGCGTTCGATAGTGTGTGTATGTTTTTGTTTAAAATTCTCTTAATGAGTCACCTTAAAAATCGCCCCAAAATTGTCCATTTTCAGGTTGTTGATTAGGGCGAAACGCAGTTTAACCGGAATGTTTCTTGAAGTTTCCATGTTTGCTGATTGCGGTAAGAGAACCTAAGTTCTTATCAGCGTTCAGCGAACCATAAAAAACGAATTAAGACCGATGCAAATCTACACAAAGCACTGGTATAGTACGATCTCTCATTGTGTGCACATTGTGTGTGAAAAATGGGAGCTTGAAAAACATGTCAGTTTAATTCATGTTTGTATTGGTTATTTATTTACTTTTATTTCCCCTTTTTTTGCCACCGTTTAAATTTGCCGGTAGGCCTGCCAACTTACTAGAAATTTTTCTTTTAAATACAGTAGATATTGGATTTAATGTATCATAACTTAGTTCAATGCATACTCTATTGGTGTTTTAAGAAGGTAACTTGTATAAAACTGTTAAAAGCCTTAGAAATCTCCATATTTTAATGAAATGAAATTAATTTGTGTGAATCGATAACTGATCAGTGTTGAAAAACGGTTGCGTGTACTTTAATTTTAAAAATTCAGTTGGAATACAAAAATTGAAATTTGAAATTAAGGCATAATACTAAATTATTCTTTTAAGCCTTATCTACGTTTCGTTGTTTACGTTACGTTTCGATATTGTTCTTCACCATATCCTGCCACAAAAACCACAAAGTTTAAATACATTTTAATTTGTTGATGTTATCTTTAAATAACTTATTAATTGGACTAACTAGAGAGTACGAATTTCCTTTTTACATATGCCACAAACCACCTTACAGGCAGCACGATTAGAGATTGGAGTGTCCACTCGGTGTAACACCGGTGTTCCCTTCTCTGAAATGGGTTTCCTCTGGGGATTCACCCGGATCTGTGGAGTCTTTTGGTTTCGATCGCTTTCCACGCAGCAGCAAAGCAGAAAGCTTAACGGCACCGCCTCGCCCTCGTCCAAAGTCTGCGGAAGATTCCGGTTCCGGGTCTCTGGCAGGAGAAGACTGGCGAATCCTCCCAGGATAAGCAAAGTGCCCATGACGATCAGAGGCAGCACAAGCATTTGTTGGCCCTGTGAATGAATATATCTTCCATTACATTCTTAAAGAATCTGGCTGATCCCCGAATTACTCACCATATGGTTAATCATTGGAATCACTATAGGTCCCACCATGGCCACGACGGAGCTGAAGCTCATGCCCAGACCCCGCACCACCGTGGGATAGAGTTCCGATGCCAGCAGGGGGAGGACCACGAAGGACGAGCTGATGCCCATCTTGCCCACACAGTAGAGCAACAGGGTTATGCTTGGATAGAGGAAGGTGGCCACGCAGGCCACTCCGCCCACGAGCATGGAGATGAATAGGATCCAGCGGCGTCCAAAGTAGCTCAGTCCTGGCCAGAGAAGCAGATATGTGGGCAGCTCCACCGCCCCGGCCAGGAAGAAGTTCCAGATCTCATCGCCACCGAGGGCGGGAGCATAGTAGCTCAATCCCACATAGACACTGGTATTGGCGAACCAAATAAGAGTGATAATGAGAGTCTTCCGGCGCATATTTTGTCCGCGAAACAAATCCAGGATGCCGTAGTGGACACTTGACGCAGCCTCCGTCTCTGCTGCTTTGGTGCTGGCCAACTTCCGCTGCAGTCTCTCCACGAAGTCACGGTTCACCCGAACGCCATTAACTCTGGCCATCACCTTGAGGATTTTCATGGCCCTCCTGGTCTTTCCCACCGCCATTAGCCATCGCGGCGACTCCGGCAGCAGAAAAAAACAGGAGAAGAGCATTAAGAGGGGCATGGACACTGCCAAACTAAGCTCCCTCCAATCCCGGACGACATAAATTACACCGGCCAACACCACTAAGCCAAGGGAATAGGCGATATTCGAGACGATAGTGCAGAAGACCCGCTTATCTGGACCCACCAGCTCGATGGCTAGCACATACGGACTGGCCAGGATCGCTGGTACCGTTAGGCCCACCACAAACCGCAGACCCAGCCAGGTGTAATAGTTCCAGGCGAAAGCACTTGCCGCACATGCAGTGATCTCCAGAAGCAGATAGGCGTAGAAGGAGGGACGTCTACCCCACAGATCCACCAAATATCCGAAGACATAGTTGCCCAAGAGGCCGCCCACCCCAAACACCACCAGAGCCAAGGTGACTAGGAAACTGCTGTCGCACACCAGGTTCCACTGTAAGGACAAAGAATATATTTTTATTGTATACGTTTAATGACATTAATTTTGTATTTAAGGCAAGGAAACTCACCTCTTGCACCACAGTACTGGAGTAGATGGATCTGTCGTAGTGCCAGCCATGCTGACAGGGTACCACATGCGCCGTGTCCGGCTGAAGTTTCAGCAGGTCCTCTGCCTGTTGTCGCATCAAGTCCGGAGGCGGACGATACTCCAGATAGCGCACTATATCGCTATAGTTCCTAGCATACATAGAGCACTCGGAAAAGCCGCCGTGGCGATTACGTGGAATGCTGAGGTTCTTCACCAGCTGAGCATAATCCTGGTTCCAGGGCTCCAACTCGGGAACCCGACACCAGTGTTGCGGTGTGGCCGCTATGAACAACTGACTGAAATATCACCATTATTATACAAACCATATTATATTACATTACTTAAACTATATATGTCTTTTTATTCGCTTTTTGTATAATTCTTTTTTAAAACCAAAAAAGGTGCCTAAAGTTTATACATTTCACCAATTGTAACATACGTTTTAACATCATTTGAATTGATGTTAAATCCAATCATTTTTCTTGTTTAGGCATCCTGGACTTCGTAATATATTTTATTTAAAATATGCTGAGATCTAGTTCTTGCCACCAAATATGTTTAGAAAAGTTACCATTCCTTGATTATCCAGTCTAAGCTTTTATTTTATGACTCAGTTTATATAAAGAGCATGTGAGACGAAAATTGATTTTGGTTATGAAAACAATAATTTCCCATGAAAAACTTGAATATCTTTTTATAAAACCATCTCGTAATATTGTTTCACCAAGTTAATTTAAAAAACCATGACGAATTATCAAAAAATCCAACAGGAGGTGGACCCACCTATAGGCGTGGAAGGCGCAGGGCAGGGCCGCTGGCAGTAAAACCGAACAGATGATGAACTTCTGATAGAGGCCAAAGGAGCCCACCTCCCGCAGCACTTCGTCAAAATCCATGTCCGCCCGCCAGTTAGAGATTCGCACAACTGACGATCACCTTGTCCACTTCCAGCTGCAGTCCAGGAACTGGCGGCACGGCAGGGGCTGATTGGACATAATTACATTACGGCTCTCGTGCACATTAATTAATTGGACACCGCGGCGTGGACAAGGTTCGAACTAGTTGTGCAGCGCCCCAAATCCCAGATCGCAGACCCAAATCAAAACGAGCTCTCGAGCTCAGCGGAGGGTTGGCTAGTAGGTTTGTATTTCTTGGTGGTCAAGGTGGCACTTGGTCACTAGTCGCTGGTATAAAATTAAGTTACATATCTCTAAAGCTGCAATGAAAACTATGGAAGATCGGCGTGGCAACATCTAACTACGGGACAGTCCGATTATGGTCAGTATGTACATGAAGATGTTGACGATGTCCAGGTAGAGGTTCAGCGCGGCGAAGATGTACTCCTCCGGACTGATGGAGTACTTGTGGTTACCACCCAGCATCAGCTGGGTGTCGTACACCAGATAAATGGAGAAGAGTAGGGCTCCCAAAGAGGCGTACAACAGAGCAAACACCTTTCCCGGAATGAAGATTGCGATTATTCCGAAGATGATGAAGACCACAAGGCAGGCCACCAGAACTCCGCCGCACATGGTAAAGTCCCATTTCGTCTGCAGGGCGAACAGGGTGAGGCCGAGAGCCACCGCTGCCGTAATGCCCACCGCGATGAGCACCTCATCAGCCTCGTACTGACCGGCGATCATACCCAAGAGAAATGACTCGGCGAGGGTGAACAGGAACAGGAATATAAAGTTCAGTGGCGTCTTCCGGCGCACGCCCTCGCAACAGGCCATACAAATCATGGTCACAATGAGAACGGCCTGAAAAATAAAGAATTATTAAACTTAATAGGTAAAATCAGGAAAATTTGGAAAAATACGTTTGACGTATCTAAATTTCAGGATGTGTCGTTACTAAAAAGAAAACCCCCGCAATACACAGGCATTGTGGGTGATAGCTAATAAATTGCCCTTATTTAGCACATAATGGAAACTTTTGATAACGCCTAATGTATAAATTTATTGATAGCTCACTACCAATTTATATGATTTAAAAATGTTACTGGGCTTTGGTAGGACAATGAAAGATGTTTTCATTTAAAACTTACGAGAGCAATCCATAACAGAGCCGGATTCTTCTGCACCCATTCCTGTGAAGCTTTCGAAAAGGTAAACACACAAACAAATCCAAAAGTGATCAACAATTGACACTAAAAATAGAAAATTAAAATTGTTAAAGATTATAAAATAATAAAATACATTGATATTAAAAAGGAATACATAAAATGTTTTAAGCACTGAAATACGAAAACTTTTACTTAACAAAAAACCTATTGATGACCAATTCATAGCGTTATCTAGCCACTTACCATCAATATCAGGTAAACTTTCCGAATGAATCCCTTCCGGATGCTCTGGTCATCGAAGGCGAAGCTCTTGTCCGCCTCCGCATCTGTATATGCCCCCGTTTCATCGCCTGTGTGGTTGGAGAACAGATCAAGGAAATATATAAGTTAATGGCATGACTAACCGTACTGGAAATGGTTGGCACTGCTCATGGCCTTAATCGCTGTGACTAACTAATAATATAGAAAAACTCTCACTGCCGCCGGTTACGTGCGAGTGGTTCAGCTTAATGGCGAACCCTTTTCCCAGGTGTTCACATATGGCCGACGACGATTTCAGATTAGCCACAACACCACGCTTATCACAGACCACTCTCTCGCTCCAGATAAGAGATATGATGTATATGTCTGGGTGAGTAACTGATATCAGCAGTGTTCAATACCCGCTCCCAATTAAATGGTAAAGTGAATCATGGAGGTATAGAGAGAACCTTCCCTGGCCTGCATTATCAGATGCAATTGGGCCAATACAAGGAGATTTTACAATCTCTTTTAGTGCTCTCCACGCTGCAGTGAGGTTTATATCACAGCCCATATATCTATAGCTATGTATATCTAATCTAAAAGCACTTTGCCTGCAAAAAACTCCTTCGTGCTTAACCCGTACTTGCCTTGCTGGTAGTGATACATTTTATGGCTACGCCTTGCTGGAATACACACGAGCTACTGAATAGGTCAACCCGAAAACTTAAACACACCGTAACTCTTGGTAACTTGGTGCGACTGTTGAAGATAACAGAGTGAACTGGGTGATTCGGTGCCTCCCAGTGATAAAGCGAAAAGGTATTCTCGATAAAGGCGTAGAAGTAATCCAACCGCCGGCTGTACACTCCCCTTGCAGACTACAGCTGCATCTGGTTTGAATCAACCCGGCTGGCGGAGAGAAGCCCCACAATGCCTGGGCTCTGTGGCAAGCTGTGGCTTTAATAAATAGATGCGCTTTATTGTGTGACTTTAAACTCAGTGTCGCTGCTTAGTTTACAATGTTCGGTCCTTGATTCGGGATTCCGCGCTAATTACAGACTGTTTTCTTGTTTTTTTTTACGTAACAACGGCAAGCCAGGTTGCTTTTAATATATTCTCACATAAATATATGTTTATACGTGACTATTTATTGTTGGTTGCTCATTTGTGTATCTAAATGGCATATCATTTGGTATACATATAATTTTAATGTTTCTTTTTGTATGTTTTTTCTTTTTTGGGAATTTTGAAGAACTTTATCCACTGGGCACAAAAACCTCAACTTAATCAGTAATAAAAATACATAACGAAAAGCAAGTAAGTTCGTTTCACCTTAACTGACTTTTACAACTAGAAGGAAACACCGGAAGTAGGCAAACACAACGCGAAATAGAGATATAGATCGTAAGTAGTTTGAGTAATTCGTTAGTTTGAAGAGATTGCCTTCACTTGGGGGGGGGGGGGGGCAAAAATTGTAAATACCGATGAGATTACGCGCGACAACAATATTCATATTCCGGCTAAAGCTAGACCCGGCTTAAACTGGTAAACAACATAATGGAAATCGTGCGAGCTTAGTCGCGTGATGCTCCGATTATAGTAAGAATGTACATGAAGATGTTGATGATGTCCAGGTAAAGATTCAGCGCCGCAAAGATGTACTCCTCGGGGCTGATCGAGTACTTGTGTTCGCCGCCCATCATCAGTTGGGTGTCGTAGATGAGGTAAACGGAGAATAGCAGCGCCCCGATTGAGGCGTACACCAGTGTAATGATCTTTCCCTTCATGAACATGGCCACGATACCGAAGATCAGGAACACCACCATGCAGACGATCAGGACGCCGCCCATCATGGTGAAGTCGTACTTAGTCTGCCAGGCAAACAGCGTTAGGGCCAGGCAAACCGCTGCGGTAATTCCCACTGCCAAGAGAACCTATCGGGAAACGGAATATATGAAATAAACTCGAATAGGAACCAGTTCCGCCGACTCACCTCGTTTGGAGCATATCTAGTGGCCGAGACACCCATTAAGAAGGACTGAGCTGCCGTGAATAAGCCCAGGAATATAAAATTGGTCGGTGTCTGGCGGCGCACACTCTCGCAGCAGGCCATGGAAAGCATGGTCACGAGCATCACGCCCAGAGCCACCCAGAAGAGCCAGATGTTTCGGTGGGCAAAGTCCTTTGTGCCCTGGTGGTACACAAACAGGGCAACGGCTCCAAAAGTTACTAGGAGTTGTCCCTGTAAGCAGAGGTGGGGGAAAACATTACTACAGCTGACATAAGGATCCCTGTTTTAAAGGTATTTATTCTTTTTAAATTCTAGAGCGGTCCAAAATCGGGTTTATTTAGCTAATAAGACGCAAATATGCAAAATATCCGGTTTTAAACTCAATACAATGAAACTGAAAGCTTAGAAATTAAATACAAAAAAGAGAACGAGTATTTATTTTCTCAGAGTAAGATTGACAAAACTAAATTTAACGTAAGAGTTCCCTAACAAAGACAGATTAGTTAAGAGCGACACTCACCATCAGAATCAGGTACACCTTGCGAATGAATCCACGGCGGATGCTCTGGTCGTCAAAGGAGAAGTTTTTGGGCTGGCTCTCCGGATCGTCGTAGGCCCCGTAACCACCAGTCGGTGGAGGTGGCTGGATGAAGCCCGGCTGAGGAGCATAGCCACCGGGTGGTGGTCCCTGTCCGTAGGGCTGGCCATACGGCCCCTGTGGATAGGGCTGGGCGCCTCCTTGGGCGTACGGTGGATAGCCCTGTGGTGGTCCCTGCGGCGGGTAGCCTCCACCGCCATAGCCACCTTGAGGTGGATAGCCACCGCCGTAATTGTACTGCTGGTTGGGATCTGCGGGATGAGACATTTGACTGTAGTTTAACAATGACATTAGGATGTGTTCAAGTCATTTTGCTAGAGAAATCTAGCAACGAAGAAGTGTAAAATCTAAATGAGACGCTCTTCGCTCAAGAGTCGAGCTATCAAGCATCGAGCATCCACAAATACTCTACCGCAAATATGTACATTCAACCATGATAAGACAGAACATGTTACGAGCTAGCTAAGTGTGTGGGGAAAAAGTAACGATGAAATAATGAATCATATTTAAGGGGCGCGCTCCAGGGCACTCGGAGGAGCATTCAACGAGTCCGCACACCCCGGGGACAAACAAAAGCATGCGATTATCGTAAACCAACCGGAAAGCAGAACAACTCGCTTAGAAAATCAAGTAAATAAACCTTGGTATTGGGGATACTGGGGAACACTTTGCCAGGACATTATCGCAGATCTCACTCGCTGGCTTTAGCTCTTTCACTTTGGTGATTTCTACCGCCGATATACACCGCTGTGGAGTAGAGACCCAAGAAACGTTCCATTAGTTCGGCTTAGACCCTTCGCACTCACCTTGCATATTGCTCTCGCTTTGGTATTGGTTATGCGTTGCACCAAGTTTAATGTATATTTTTACCTGCAAGCAAAAATAATAGAAAATGATTAGCGTTTGTTTACCGGTCTAATTTAATTAGTGAGTAAAGAAATATATATGACTCTGGGTTTCACTCTTTTTGGTGGCATGCAACTTTAATTATCAATCAATTTGACACATTGTTGTAGCAACTTTCGCCTTATATACCCTTTTCATAGGGTATTATTATAAAGTAGTTAAGAGAACAACCCGAAGCCACGCAAAGAGATATTTCCTTTGAAAAAAAAGTATATTTACTATATACTGAGCCTGAGTTTCAAATGAATTACAGCTTGAAGAATAATCGCAAAAGAATATGTTCTTATCACTTGACACAAAACCTAGAGGTGACTGTGCTTCAATTCTTTGAAAGTTAATAAATAGGAAAAAATTATTTTATTCTATGTAGAACCTATAAGTCAACCATAAACCATATTATTTTAAGATGATATTGTTAATTTATAATTAGAAAAATTCATTATCTACATTATCCTGTAGCTTGTACATATTAAACAAAAACAATAAGGGTATTTAAACGTTCGTTATCCCAAAAGTTAACTTCCTTTATCGTTCAAAAAGTTCGGTTTGTTGTGGCAAAAATGACGTGTGCCTTTCAAGCTTTTGTTCGTGGGTGTGGAAGTGCTCTTTAAATTGCTGGCGACGTTTAGTACCAACACAGTCAACAGCGACCCTGTTAACTTTTACGTTTTAATCTAGTCGCAACTATTAAATTGGTTCAGCTGCACGGGGATAGTCACACGCGTAAATAATACATACACAAGCTGCTGCTGCACGGTAAGTACTCGACGAAAATGGTGACTCACTCCGGCTGACCAGCTTCTCGAAATTACCGGGGAAGCACACCGTGCGATAAGTAATTGCCAGGACCCAATAAACCCACAACAGCTAAATTAACGTCTTAATGGCTATAATTACCTCTGGATTATGCACTTATTCGATCAAAAACAAACAAATTGTTCTTGTTTTTCTTGTTAATTGTTACCGAAAAATCGAACTAGAGATGAGGAGGAGACGTAGGAGTAATCGATAAAGCGCGCTTGACGCTTTCTACGATTTTTAATGCTATCGATGTTTTGCTCACGAATTTTCACTATTATTTTCAAACCAAAAAAAAAAACATTTTAAATATTCTTTAATTTTAAAAATAAAATAAAAGAAACGTTCAGTTAGTTTTGGAGGTTATAGTTCCGCCATCGTTATTCGTTATTTCATTTTAAAATGTTCATAGTACTGTTTAAGTGGGACCAGCTGTCGATAAGGAAAATGTCCGATCATTTGTAGGCAAAGGTTGGCTTTTTAAACGGAAACCTGTCGGGCACACTGCACCAACGCGATTCCGTGGATTTCACGGTGTGATTTATTTTCGTTTGTGAATAAAAAGGGCAGAATCCAAGTGGTAAGGCGTGTGAACTCGAATGCACTATTAAAATAAAAATCAATTTAGAACAAGAGCGAGAAAGATGAGCCATCACTGCGGCGCCACAAGTGCAGAGCGTTTAGGTTATGTGCGAGACGAGCCGCATAGACAAAGAAACACCTACACCGCCCCCGGCCGAATCCCCGGAACGTATTGCCCGGACATATGGGAAGCCGTGGGCGGAGATTGGGTGACTGAACTGCAGTCCGGAAGCCAGTGCCACTTATTCGCAAACGGGTCACTTCATCCGCCGTGGGGTATAAATAGCAGCGTGACGCAACGTGTGCAAGTTTCCATCCTGTTGCTTATCATCGCCGACTCGTGCGGTTTTACGGTCTAGATTTTGTGGCACACCACTTATGCCCCCTTCCTCTTTCCATTCACAGCCGTTTTCGTGCATTCCAAGATGGTCGAAGACAAGGAGAACGTGGCCAACGGTGAGCAGGTCTCCAAGAAGGGAGCCAAGAAACAGGCCAAGGCCGCCAAGGTGAGTGATCTGAGGACGTGGCGTGTTTTGAACCTGCGATAACAACCTTATCTCTTTCAATCCACAAAGAAAGCCGAACAGAAGGCTGAGAACGCCTCGGCGGCTGCGGCCAACAATGCAGGCGGCGATTCTGCCGAGGATCATGCGGCCGGACGCTACGGTCTCTCTGAGATGATCCAGTCCAAGGACAAGCGCAGCGAACGAAACTTTGTGCCCGTCCACGAGCTGAGCGGCCAGTTGGGCACGGCGGGACTCGTTTGGGTGCGCGGCAGGGTGCATACATCACGTGCCAAAGGCAAGCAATGTTTCCTGATCCTGCGCCAACAGAGCAGCACGGTGCAGTGCATCCTGGCTGTGGGCGACATTATATCCAAGCAGATGGTCAAGTTTGCGGGCAAGTAAGTGCGATTTCGTCAGTAAAAACTACATTCGTTGAGATGCTGTAATCATACCTCAAAAATGTGAAATTCCTTTCTCACTTTATTGTGAAATTATAAGCCTTTGCTAATAAGCCCGCTTTACTCTTTTCAGTATTCCCAAGGAGAGCATTATCGATATCCAGGCCAAGCCTGTGGCCGTGTCCAGCAAGATCGAATCCTGCACGGAGCAGTCGCTGGAGTTGTGCGTTGAACAGATATTCGTGATTTCGCAGGCCAAGCCTCAGTTGCCGCTGCAAATCGAGGACGCCTCGCGTCCCGAGAATGCTGATGATGCCGATGGCTTGAATATTCGCGTGAACCAGGACACGCGCTTGGATAACCGAGTGCTGGATCTAAGAACGCCGGCGAATCAGGCCATTTTCCGATTGGAGGCGGGCGTGTGCCGCCTGTTCCGTGACATTCTTACCGAGCAGGGCTTCACAGAGATCCATACGCCCAAGATCATATCGGCGGCCAGTGAAGGCGGTGCCAATGTGTTCACTGTGAGCTACTTCAAGGACTCGGCCTATCTGGCGCAGTCGCCGCAGCTGTACAAGCAGATGGCCATCGCCGCCGACTTCGACAAGGTGTACACCGTGGGTGCCGTTTTCCGCGCGGAGGATTCCAACACCCATCGTCACTTGACCGAGTTTGTTGGCCTCGATCTGGAGATGGCCTTCAAATACCATTATCACGAGGTGCTGCACACGATCGGCAACACGTTTACGGCCATTTTTAAGGGACTGCGCGACAAGTACGCTCGGGAGATCGAGTCGGTGGGCCAGCAGTACAAGGTGGATGCCTTCAAATTTTTGGAGCCTCCACTAATCCTGCAGTTTGCCGAGGGCGTGGCTATGCTTCGCGAAGCAGGCGTAGAGACTGGCGATGAGGAGGATTTGTCAACACCCAACGAAAAGTTGCTGGGCCGTTTGGTCAAGGCAAAGTACGACACCGATTTCTACATCCTGGACAAATTCCCGCTGGCGATAAGGCCCTTCTACACAATGCCCGACCCGAACAATCCCGTCTACTCCAACTCCTACGACATGTTCATGCGCGGCGAGGAGATCCTGTCCGGAGCACAGCGTATCCACGATCCTGAGTACTTAATGGAGCGGGCCAAGCACCATGGCATCGGTGAGTGTCTTTAAGATTTGGGTATCGGTTTGGATGATACTCATAAACATGTCTCTTTCTATTAATTTTTGCTAATGTTACATTTAGTCTAGGGAAAATACCTTAACTGATAAATTGTTTCAGTCTTCTTTAAACTTAAATGGAAATCAACAAGTATTAGTGTCAGCTAGAGTCTCGCACTATCTTCAAATGTACAAGTTTTAAAACACAACGATATCTTTATTAAAGTGAATATAATCTTATCGGTAGACCTTATTCAATAGCAGATAAGAAGCTGTGTTTTGCGAATATAATGGTTTGCAATAATATTTACTATTGTTTTTCCAGATACCTCCAAGATAGCGGCGTATATCGAGTCTTTCCGCTACGGGTGTCCCCCTCATGCTGGCGGTGGTATCGGTATGGAGCGAGTGGTGATGCTGTATCTGGGATTGGACAACATCCGCAAGACCTCTATGTTCCCCCGCGATCCCAAGCGGTTAACGCCTTAAACTAAATCAACCCAAACTCAAACAACTTTAATGTGAATTAAATTCGATGAAACACTGGTTTTACTTTCCCCTGTGACTTTCCAAGCATCAAATTCTTTTATTTCGTAGTCGTATGTGTTTTCCTCTATTTCTCAAGACTAACATGCTGCGCAGGGTTGTTGTAAACAACCAAAAAATAGAAAAACTGTACGAAAGAAGACTGCATAGGGTCCGATTTATTTCAAAATTAGCAAGAAAATAAATAATTGCGCGAATGTTTTGTACTTCAATTGTGGTGTTTGATTTAAGTGGATTTAATGAGAATTTTTGCATTAATTGAGAAATGGAAAAATATTAGAATGAAGCATTTTAGAATACATGTGGCATATTTGACAACTTTCCAATTTGAATCTTAAGGAACTCCACATATATTGAAAATAAAATTGGATTTTGTTATTAGGATGGACCAATGGAAATTGTAGCTTTGCTATTAATATTATTAAATAATGCTCAAGAAATGCAGAAAATGTAAATTTAAAAACTCTTACAAATAATTCTAAAATTAAATGCATATATACATATACATAAATATGCTATTTATTATTATTTTTGGAAGGATTGATTTCACGAAATAGATAAACAACATAGGAAAATTTGGTCTTAATACACAGAATGTTGACTGCCAACTAAACATTGTTAAAACGCAACCCTTTTGTAATCACTAATATTTAGTGAAAATTAATATGGAATAGTAGAGATCCTTGTGGATAAATTCTGGAGGATCATTTCCTGGTCCAGGAAGACACATTTTCTATTAGTTTTTATGAATTCACTCTCTTAAAAACGTTGGATAAATTTGATTGAGTTTTTTACTCAGCGGGTACAAGGGTATTATTAAAGCTTATTACCATTACTAGCCAAGTCGATTTAGCCATGTCTGTCTGTCCGTGTAAGTGAAACAACAGATCTCAGAGTCTGTAAAGCAAGGGCTACAAATTTTCATATCCGTTGCATTAAGTCAAGTTTATTTTAAAATTTAAGCATTCTCTTTTCCACCCCCACAAATGGAAAAAAAATCGGCGACTAAGGTATGTATATTCAAATAAATTTCGATATTGATATCGAATAACTTCGACCTGTGCAGAGGTGCAGTGAACATTTAAGATAAGAACCTGATAATAAAAATGTAAATTATTAGACAATAAAGATACTGTGTACGTAGAACTTCTGCAACATCAACATATGTACATTTGTGTTGACAGAACCAATGAATGCTGCTCAACGTGTTCCTATCAATAACTGTATTTCTTTTTTAGGCAACATGTTCCTTGCATCATATTTGCCCTAATTGTTCGACATTTTTTCAGCTTCTACCCTGTTTAACCTAATTTTCACATTATTTCGAACATATGTCCATGTATCTTTTCACTTTAACGGTAATATTTTGGGTACCGGGTATCTCAAAGTCGGTCACACTTCTACAGTTTTCCTAGAGGTTTTGAATAGGTTACAATGACAGTTTTAATATGATTTTTAAAACAATCAAGAAATTTTCTCTTAGTAAGATTTTACATATTTTTAAATGCAGGAAGTTTAAAACACGTTTTTCTAGGAAATTATGCAATTCTGTTAAAATAAAAAAGGACGAGCTATGATATTATTCGAAAATTATTTTACGGATAATTAAAGTATTTGACAGCAGTCAAAAGCTCGATCTTGCTTAATAGAAATTTAATGGAAAATACAGTGCAATAAACCTCCGTTTGGACAACGTTTGAATACGTTTTGAAGGTATTAAAGATTTACAATGAAAACCATTTAACAAATTTGGAAAAAGACTCAAAAACACTTTTATATTAAAGTATATAGACTTCTTGCAGTTTACTTTAACTTTTATTCATTTTTTCTTAATTGCAGTTTTTAATATTACAAGTACTTTGTGCAAGAAGACTGGAAATCACACCGTTAATCTTGGACTGCTTTCCAGGGGTCCTCTATTTGCGTGACTTTCCAGTGTTTCTTGTTGTTGTTCTTCCGAGAACGCGTAATCTTGAATGCAGCAATCAAAGCCAGTAGCTGCTCCGCATCCTGCACCTTGTCAACGGGTATCAGCAGCAAAATAAAACCGGGAAAAGGAGCAGGCACAATAAATTGTATTCATTTGCCATCAGATTATTATCAATACGTATACGTCACGGTGCTCGGATAGGCGGGTAGCGGGGCAGGAACTGTACGAAGGAGGGGCGGAGAGTGCAGAACAAACTGCGGGGGCACTGCAAACACTGTTGACACAGTTGGCGCATACTTTTCGGTGCAGAATAAAAGGACGACGACGACAACGCGACGAAGGCGAATGCGAATTCCTTTCAATCTGTTTGTCGAACTTTAAAATCAAACTCACACACGCACGCACACACACCGAGGCAGGCGCACAAATTCACCGTGTAGGAGTTTCGTCTACTTGAAGACAATTGAGACGCACTCCATTTTATTTTCACACCACACCGATGTGTCCTGAGACAGCCAGGCCGCAATAACTGAAACAACAGCAATAACACAATCAAGTGGGCGGTGCCCGTGTGCGCACAATAGTCGTCTCGCTCTGGCCGGCGACACTTGTGCGGTGTGCGAGCGAGAGCTGCTCGCCTTGAAATTGCCATTTTGTTTTCGACTCTGCTCTGGCGTCGCTGCCGCCGCGCTGCCACCGCTGCGACTGCTGCAGTTGGATTTACCGCTGCCTTTGGCCAGTTGGTTTTTTCTCTTCCGATTGAGCAGCAGCCGGGCTCTCGTGTCTCTCTCGCTTCTCCGATTCTCCGTTCTTCCGCGCCAGCTGAAATCGCTGAAGTGAAAAGCGAAAAAATATCCGAAATCCACGGTGAGCGATCGCGGCAAGTGCAGTTCATTTGTTTTCCAACACAGTGCGCCGTTATATTTCGAGGCAAGAAAACAGCAGAGATTTCCGCGGATGCTGCAAGTGCCGCCGCTCTCTTGCCCTCGCTGCCGCTCTCTCATCCTCGCCGCCTTCATCTCACTCGCTCCATCGCCGTCTCTCGCTCTCGCGCGCCGCCAAGAATTTATGGAATTTGGCATTTTGTGGATTTAGCGAAAATATTTTCATTGAGTGCGCCGATCAAATGTTTACTACTCGCCTAAAAATAAAAATCAAAATAAGCGGAGCTGCTCCGAAATCTCAAATATTCACGTGCGAATTCCGAAAGCGTTTCAATTTCAATTACTATTCAAATTAACAGCCAGCGGCGAAAACAAAAGCAAAACTTAAACAAAGCCAAACGTCAGTTTTAATCGAATAAAATATATAGAAAAAAGAGTTGTGAATTTGTTGAATCTCTTTACCTGCGATTATTCCAAAAAGTGTACTTTAAACAATAATAAATCTACTCTACAAATTATAATAATAAGCTTCTCATCTTATTGGATTACGCTTTCCAGTTTCAAGTGGTAAGTTAACGCATTGGAAATCATTGGAAGAAAAAAGCCCATTTGTGGAATATGAATCTGTCTTGAAGGTCTTCGAGTCCAATTGGGATTTTTGCTTAGAATAAATGTGCTATTAGCACTTATTTAACTATAGTTTAAAAAATGATATGAGTCTCTAAAGGAATTGTTATAAAGAACTGCAACCTAAATCCTAAGGATCTTAAGGAGGTATATATTTTGTTAAATTCATAAAAAATATCTGTTCAATAACATTATAAATGCGAACCACTAGATTTATGTTTAAAACTTAGTGTATTTATTCAATATATAACCTAAGCAAATCGTTGACGTTTTTTGTGATATTCAATTTTAACCTTAATCCATTTTTAATTAGTTTTTTTTCGACTATTTAAAGAAATTGAACATCCGTCGGGACTAATCTAAATTTGTAACTTATGCTCTTCATTTTATGTCACTTATTCCTTGACTTCAATCTAAATTTATCCTGGAATTCAAGAAAAAATAGTGACTAAATACTTTTATTTTACGTACATGGCTTTAAATTATTTGCATTAATTATCCTAAGCATAACATATTTCGTTCTTTTTTAATTTTTCGATTTTATTTGATTCCCTCATTGATGTAATATTTTGTAAATTACTAAACAATGGACTAAGTTAATTACGAAACATGAGAAAGTTTACTAAATATGAGTTTGAAACCTACTTTTGTAGGAACTATCCGTATTCTTGTATTAGTTAAATTTCTATCTATAGATAACAATAATTTCATTCATTTCTAAGGTAAATAAGATCCTGAAAAAAGGCCAAGGTTATAGTAAATCCTTACATTGATACTACATTGAAATTATCAACTTAATCTAAATGTTATAAGTAAACTAGTATCAAATTGACAAGAATTTAAAAATATAAAACGAAAACTCGTTTTTATGTGAAATGGAATCTTAAAAGTTAATAGATATATTTTAATATCCTTTAAAAGCGTGTATTATTTATTTTATTTTTAGTTATTAAAAAAAAATTAAAGATAAAATTACTGTCGGACGAATATATTTTTAAATGGCTTTCAAAACGGCTTAAGAAAGCATTTTTGTTTTTTAGATCTTTCATCTTAATTAATTTCCATTCCCAATTTTCGTTTTATTGGTTCGATAAACTTCCACACGAGGCAAACCCACAGATATTTAAACATCGCTTGTGAACACGCATTTGTTATTATTAATGTTTCTAGATGAAAGCTTAACGTTGTGAATTTTTCCACGTCATAAAATATGACGTGTTCATTGTTTGCTTACATGCGAAGCATTTTAAATACTTTGATACTATTGATTCGAATAATAATCCCAGGATTAGGGTCGGTCACGCATGCAAAAAAGCACTGAAAATTGGTCTCATTGTGTTTAAAAGTATATATATTTTCCTTTCAAACAATTAACAAATTGTTAATGCAATTCTTCTGCTCTTCTCTCTCTCTCCCTTTAATTTTCTTCTGCAGTCGCAGTTAGCGGAGGCAATTCTTCTTTGTAATTCTTCGGCGGAAACGCGGATGGGAAACGAAATTGACGTTCCAACGCCAAAGGGAATGGCGGCAATGGCATAAAAAATAGAGAAACAAAACAACAATCAACAATGTGGAAATGATAATTGCAATTGCCTGCACACCAACAACAATAGCGAACAAAGCAAAAGCAAGTGAAGAAAGTTAAAGAGCAAAGAAAAAACAAACGGGAATGGCGAGTGCATAGAAAGAAGTTTGCAAATAGCAAAGAAAAAGAAAAAAGAAACGTAAATACCGCGAAAAATTCAAAGAAACATAAACAAAAAGAAGACGA